TACGTCTCATTTAAATTTTCAATGTTGGAACAAAAATATAAAAATAAAAATTCCGTATCAAAATATTTCCGTATTTTCGATTCGTCCCGATCAAAGATATTCTCTCTCTATCGCAGGTTATCCGACCGGCTCTGACTGCAAGTCATTTCGGTGAGTAAATACAAAATGAAAAGAGAAACAAAATTCTGCATGACGGGACTAAATAAAATATCGTTCGAGTCAATGCGAATTGCAAATAGATTCTTGCATGTTGGGATTTTGCATGTGTATGTTTGTGACGTTGAATAAAATACATTGCTCGAAACAATCAGGGGATTACTTGATCGATAGCCTGCATTACATATGAGATTTAAAATACCAAATGATTCTCTTTTGATGTTCAGTTATCTGAATAAGAGATATTCATATCTACAAACGCGATATGGTCAGCTGCTTTATTTTCATTTTTCAAGCGGGCCGCAGAATTATTTAACGACAATTATTTGACAATATTCAATTGTCCGTGTAAAATATATTCATACGCATAAATGCCGATACCGTTGGCTACTTTTCTTTTATTTCCAAAACAGGCTGTAGAATTATTTGGCAATATTGTCCATTCATCACGATCCCTATTGTCTCGAGTAGCGTATAATGCGCGCAGAAATTGCGCCAGCGCACGCCGAGCTTGAGGTATCCTCACACGCGTGCCTTTGAATATCGCGACCGTGGTTATCAATATACGCGTTTTTACCCGCGCTGCTAACAAAGAAAGCTTAAATTCTCATTTCGCCAAAGTATCGCGAACGTAAGCTTCGTCGTGACGGAACTATCATGCGTGAAAACTTTGCCCCGCTTTTTCTCTCTCTTTGCGCTCCCTCGGAGTGACCGGTTTCTGATTGTCTAATCTTTCCTCGCATGCATTCGCGAATATCCTCGTAGATATCGATACTCCCGCATTTTCGCGACTTTTCAGGCGCGATCGCGGAAAGCGCCGTAAAAATCCGTTGGGCGAGTCGATAAATTTTCACACGGTTATTGCTCCTCGCCGATTGAGTTTATAGAGTCCGTTTTGCAGCGCGTAAAAATTTTCCACCGATGTCGATGTAAAACGTTCGTTAATTGACGCATATATCGCCGCTCTAATATAGGTATCGACCGCGTCGCGGAAGTGTGGCGAAAGTGTAGCAATCAACGTGGGACGCGCTGCAAGATGAATGCTGCGCGACATGGAGAACGGCAGCGGACATGGGTGTACATTGGTGGATCTGGTTGAATGCAACGGGACATCATCAATATCATCATTGGTGAGCGTTTGGCTCATTGCTCGCAGAGAACTCTTTTATTATTACATTGTGCATGCCGCAAATTTGCATTGACTTTTGTAACGAAAAATATATTTCATGAATTATTGCCATATATTATGGCCATATATTATTGCCATATATTGTTACCATATATTGTTGCCGTATATTGTTGCCATATATTATTGCCACACATTGCCATGTATTATCGCCATATATTATGGCCTCTTGAAATCGCGCGAACAATCGAGAAAACTGAATTTGCCGATAATCGCAAAGGCGCGCGGCAGACGTTACGGGTATCAGCAGCCCGTCTCAGGGCTGCCCGATAACAATGCTGTTGCTGCAATTTAACTTTAAATCACAGCGGCCTCCAGTCGCAGGAAACTTTCTATCGCGCACTAACCCCTCGAGCTGAATGTTCCCGAAGAAGTGCTCTTGACATAAACGCTGATTATAAGCGAACTTGCCTCGTCAGGGCCTCGTCGCGGTATCGTTGTCGCGGAAAATAAGGAAGAAAAGAGTTAAACATCCGCACCGTTGTGAAAAGAAGGGCGCTGGCGTCCCTTCTCGAGTAAAATGTTAAGCCCTTGCGAACACGAGTTAAATTTCACCGCGGCTACGAATGTCCCCTGACTAGTTTCTTCACGGAAATTGAATCTTCATAACTCGCGTTTGATCGTGCGTTGAGACTCTATCGAGGGTAGAAAATTGAAGCGGGAGTTGATGATATAAGCGTGACAAAGTAGTCGCGCATTTTATGATCGCTCTTTAAAATAGGGGCGCTTCTTTCGTCGGTGATAAAGACGAGAAGAAATCAAAGCCTGCTGCCGGTGAGGTCGTAAAAACCGCATGGATTTTCCTTCCGCAGCCGCTCTCGCGGCTGTTTAATCCGCATTACGATCATTTTTGCGGATAAGTATGAGGAAAGTGACATCCGCGGAGAAATGTCCCGAGACGTGCCTACGAAAAATGTTGCATGTGGAGAATACTCAGCGCACGTACCATCTTGAAATTAAATACCGCGAAGGAAACAATTCTCGTTCCTCCAACTTGCGCTTTACAAGTTTCGGGATCCGTGAAAATTTCAAGATCAGATACTGCTTGTTTGAGAGAGGTTTCTAGACATTCTCTGTGAGAACCTGAAGAGCGAGTATCGATTTTTTTCGAAAGGTTCAAGATGCAAATCCAAATGTGTTATTTATACACATACGAGCGTGCGATTGGCTGAAGCTTTTTTCGGGGGCGAGTTTTGTCGTATCAAATCTCGCAAGAATCGTGTGAAGAAAGCTTGAGCTAATTACACGCTCACGCGTGCGAAAACAACACACTCGAATTTGCAGCGACGACATTGCGGTGATATTTAGCGAGTACTACCTTGAAATTTCCGATTAAATTGTATTTCTCGTCAGCCGTCGTTCTGTCGCCTAGCCCCGTCTCTTTCGCCCGAGTGTTTCACCAGCTTACTTGTGTTTTACTTCTCCGACGGCTTGTCCTTCTTCTTCTTCTTCTTCTTCTTGTACGCTGGCAACTGTCGTTAGATCATGTGGGCCGCTCTTGGCTCAAGCAGCTTCGTTGCTTTTCCGATACCATCTCAGCGCGTGCTCATTCATTACATTTCTGTAATTAATAGCTCGGTTGTTGCGTACATCGCAAAATGGTATGGAAATTTTATATTTATCTTAATCCGTTCTATGTTTTCGTGAATTCCTAGGAGCGAGGAATTTGTGAAACACTCTGTACATGTGTCTCCGATTGCAATTTTAGTATTATTTCAACTTCGAATTATTAACTTAAGGAATGCCAACGTGTGTATATATATTTATAAAATAAAAATTATTCTAAATTTTCTCACATCTCGTAATCCTAAAAGACATACACATATACATATTCGACCTGTTTTCTGTATTAATAGTCTTTGATATCTTCCGATATGTACATACATATTTTGAAATATTTTCTTTGGATATTATATCAAACGGATTTTGCGTGTCACGTAATATCCTTCGGACTATACGGACATTATTATTTTGATCATTTTGATTTCTTTGATATTCATTAAGAATTATCCAGAACGCAACTGCCATGTTGAATGACTCAATTGTCATGTGAAATGTTTCGATTTTCATAAATTCATATAAAATTTTTCATTTTTCACTAATTCAAAGAAGTTTTCACTTTTCACTTCAGTTCACGCTAAGGAAAAAATTCATGATCGCTGCCCTGAGCAGCTGCAACGCTTCTCCAATCATTTATGTCGGCGCGCTCCTACTCCTCAGATTTCTGTCATTAATAACTCGATAAGTATTGCGAATCTCGCAAAACGGTATAGGACTTTTATGTTTGTCTCAACCCAATCTACCCTCGCCAACGCTTCGGATTGGCAGCTAATTATCGGACACTTCGTATGATCTTCATGATATTAATCATACACAATGTCAATTCTTCTTTTTTTTTGCACATGTTAACATGTTAATTCATGTTATAAACGCGTAACAATGTGCGAGACCGTGCTTGTCAAGTATGTTATTATGGTTGTAGCACGGACATAAACCGCCTGAAAATGGATGTAGCGCGGACTGCCATTACATGCAGGTTTTACCGCCGAAACCTGAAAGTGGATGTAGCATCGTAGTTCTCCTCTCAAAATGGATGCAGATGGCGGCCTTTTTCAGTGTGGATAGTCGGTGTCGCCGAGAACGCCGTGTTGGCCGCTCTCACGTTCCTCTCAGGGGCTGTATTCCGTACCCTGCATATCGACAGTTGTCGGTGTCGTTAGCGGCATTGCGCAGATTTTTCATATAACAAAAAAGCTGTGCAATACTGCTAACGACACCGACAACTATCGGTACGCGAGTACGGAATACAGCCCCTGTGGTGCGATTCTGTAACTCGTTATTGGAGTTAACGACACTTTCATTATCATTGCGCAGCTTTTGTATACCGCAGAAAAGCTGCGCAACGATAACGAAAGCGTTGTTAACTCCAATAACGAGTTACAGAATCCAGCTGTCTGGTTCCATTGGACTAGAGCATAAGTAATAAGCGCATTTTGCGCATTTTGGCGATGCAAACATCGAAGAGAAAATTCATTCGCTTATATATCCTTCTTTGTAGAAGACAGTGGCTGCATTCAGCAGACTCAACAGTTGGACAACATTACTAGATTTTCCACTGAATCTCGCTCCTGATTGGTAAATACTTCTGGGTCTATGAAAAATCTAAAAGAATACTCCAATCACAGACAATAATCACTAAGCGCTCTCTGATCACTTTGTTCTACTGTACAACGCGTGTACAACGCGGCCAATGTTCGGTATTGGAAATCTTGTTATCGTGATCTTGAAATGAGATTTTAATTGAATGAGGCCTGAGAATTTTACAATAATCGCATTTGCATGCATATATATAAGTAGCGTTTCGAAGAGCGCGGCGCGAACGATAGGCAAAGTTCCGAGATTGAAATCGGAGATTTTGTACAGCGAAACGTGATTCTCGATGATTCTCCGCGTATTTTTGACGTAAAATGAAAAATGTTTTTCCCTGTGTCACTACCGTCCGCGAGAGGTCTCCGCGATCTCTCCTGCCGGTCCTCATGAATCGTCATTTAATATTTAAATGAGCCGCGAATTTCAATAAATCAGCGCGCGGCTGCGCGCGATGCGCCGTTTTGATACAGCTTCGACATCCTTGTCACTGCGCAAGTATGATGTATTTCGATTAACGTACGTATATACGTCCGCTCACACACGCGCGTCAGAGGGGAAATAATCGCGGTGGTGTGTTTATCTTGTGTGTAAACTTATCTTTTCGTGCGTGTCCGCTTGTACATTCAGCGAGGTAAGTTGTATACGAACGTCGGACAATTTTGTTTTATTTTATCGGCATTTTCTGACAGTGCCTAAGATATCTCTTCTATTTTACGCTTAAACTTTTTTAAACCTACGGATATTCACCAAAGAAAAAAAATATAATATTACGCACCTGCGCCATATTTTAGCCAAAGGTTGAAATAATAAATCTGAAATCTGCATATTGTCTGCTTTTCTCCTTCATAATACTTCATTATTTTATGATGGAATCTAGTTATTAATATTTCCTCAGGGATAATGATGTTACTTTAATGTGATTATCGACGTTGTTTAATGCGCACGGATGTGCCTATACATGCTATATTTATAGAAAATCAATATCTTTAATTTTTATCCAATAGAGTTTGTAAGGATTCTCTTAACAATAGTTTTTCATGTATCTCGCTAACTCTTTACAAATATATACACAAATGTAACAAGAAGATTAACAAAAATAATTTTATTTTCCTAAGACAAAATTTATCCTAATTATATACAATAAATATTTTATTATAGAAAAAATAAATCTTTATTATAGAAAAATGAAAAACGGTAGCAGATTACTGAAAGTCCTTCTACAAGCTTCAGAAAAGGCGGCAAATATTGCCAGGACATGCCGACAGAAGGAAGCCTTATTTCAATTACTAGTACAAGAAAAATCTTTAGAAGAAAAAAATCCTCGTTTCTTTCAAGATTTCAAAACGTTAGCTGATGTCCTTATTCAAGAAACTATTAGACATGATATAGAAATAGAGGTAAGCATAAATTAGTCTTTGTAAAATATCAATAAGTAATTTTAATTTATTATTTCTCTTGAACTTTTCAACTTTATTATTGTGAATAGTTTCCAGAGTTGGCCAAATTGGTGCAAGGTGAAGAAACCAATGTATTCAGCAATACCCTGGGAGAATCAATCGTGGTTGAAGTTTGTTCATCTAGTGAAGAGACAACGCAATTGCTGACTAAAGTTATGGGCAATGATGTTGTGGCGGCAGAATTTCTTGCTGCTGAAGTCCATAAGGACATTCAGTTGTCAGACGTGCCAATCACACTAGAGATCCCTGCTGAATTTGACATCAATGAGGATGATCTTGGTATTTGGATAGATCCTATTGGTAAATAAGCAAATATATAATAGAAACATTAATTTCAGATTGTGTATGCATATATATATTTGATTGATATTTAGTAGATTTACATTAATTCAGGGCAAGAGTGAAAATGAGCAAAAGTATTTTGGACAATATTATGGTAAAGCTATGTCTCTTGCCTCTCTATCCTAATTGGTCCTAATTGGTCTGTAAACTGAGACACAACGCTTGTAAGAATCTCTGTTTGTTTCGTAGTCTGATAATACATACCTGTGGAGCAATACGTGGCACTTTTGTAGATTCAACGGCAGATTACATTAATGCAACGGAGACAGTGGACGAAGAGACCGGCTTGCATTTAAGTGGATTACGTTGCGTTACTGTACTTATCGGGGTGTATAAGAAAAGTACAGGAGTACCAGTTTTGGGTGTAGTCAATCAACCTTTCTGCACCAACATAGACTCGCAGTAAGTAGAATAAAATAATAGACAACTATTTTTATTCGTGATCAATAGCTATTTATTTTTAATACTGCAAAAATGTGTAATATAATGTGTTGAACTCCTACTTTCCATTTTATCAACATTTATGACAACAATCGTTCGATTACAATATTGTATTATTGAATAGATGGTCAGGAAAATGTTACTGGGGTTTTCTGGAGTGTGGCGTTGGTAAGACTTCTATAAGTGAGGCCTGCAATGCTGATAAGATCATCCTACTTAGCCGCTTCGAAGATACGGACGTAAAGTCGAAGTTGTTGAGCAGCGGGTTCAGATTGGTTGAAGCAACTGGAGCAGGCTACAAAATACTGAGCGTGGCTCTTGGACAAGCTGCTGCTTACATTTTATCAAAGAGTTCTACTTATAAATGGGACACATGTGGACCACAAGCTCTCCTGTCATCAATAGGTGGAGGCATCATCGAGTTCAAAGAATTTGTCATACGTCCAAACTCTGAAAATCTAAGTCTGAACTACCTACCTGTTGGCACGAATTTTTCCAACAGCAGAGGCCTGATTGCATATAGAGATCCTCAGATCTTGGAAACTTTCAAGTGTATTCTATGTAGAACAGCTAATTAAAATAAACGTTTATGTCCAAGTCGTATAACGATAAAGTCTGACGTTCTAAAGATCTTTTTGATGATTGTACGATCAAATCTTGAATTGCAGAGTCCATAAATTTTACACGGGAAAGTTCCAAATGATGGTCCTCCGAAATTTATTCTACTTTTACCGTATTCAATTCGGCTGTACAAAATGATTATAACACTCGACAAGTGAAGCACACTTGTTATAACATTATAACACTCGACAAGCATTCGACAAGTGAATTAATATGGTAATATTTATCGATCAGGCGGAATGGATTTATATATTACTTGCTAATCGATGTAGCTAATGATTAATTGTGATATATTAAATGTGACTCCAAATATAGATTATTCAATGTACGTACGTAACTACGTAGGTATTGTCATTTTTATTACAGTTTATGTAAATATTTATCTTTATTACATTTTATATTTATGTAAATGTTTTTCTTTCGCACGTTTGTATAGATTTCCTCCACACACTCTTTAAGAGCTGTCTTTTCCGAATCTGATATCGATTTGTCCTTCGCCACCGTGGTATTGCGGTGTCGTCGTCATCGTTGTCGTGGGTTGATTATTGTTATTATTATTATTTGTTCCCGGAGATGTGTTGGGCAATGGCGTTTGGTTATCTTCGATCTCTCCATTGTTACCACGTGCAGTGTCTTGAACAATAATAATCGGTCGAGTCCAATAAGACCCATCTTGCCTGTGTCTTTGGTGACCCGGTGGAATATTCTGCCATTGCCATGGCTCTCTAGCAGGACTTTGTTGTGTGTTGCTGGTGGCGATAATCATCTACAAAAATAAAACATCTCGTTTCTAGTTTTGTACAAATACACATACACACACACATATATGCTACTTCATAACGCATCTTCAATTCTGCGGATTTTCGATATATCGCCATCACATTCCGCAGGAGTCGATTTCAGATATGAGAGAAGAGATACAAAGTTAATGAGACATTACCATATCGTTCGTCTTCGAGTTTCGGCACACCCATTCCACGTCGGAACCCATTGCAATACTTTGCAGATAGTCCTGCTGCAGCGGAACCGCCCAAAACGGATTACGACCATTGTTTCCTCCTCTTCCATTCCCAAAGCCGGGATTGTTGAAGAAATTCCCCCAATTCTGATAAGCTCTAGCCTCGATGGCTACGAGAATCGAAGCCGCGATCAACAGTAACTTCATTTTTCGTCAGCTGAGAGAAGGATAAAGTATGCAATATTACGAAAATCGCCGATTAAATTAACGCAAGTGCTCGAACAATATACAATTGATTAAGGGGAAACGAGATAGAAACGAACAGAAAATCCGACAGCTAATGACTAAGATATCAACGACACGGTTTCTTATATAAGGAAATTGTCACGCACGATGCTTTGTTCGTAAAACGCCTGACTGAATATGATTAGCACGATTGACCACGGGGCGAGGATTTTGATTTCATAAACAGCGAATTATGTATTCAGCTGGTGTGTGCGCGGTTAGTCTTTTATCTAACAGGTATCTACCTTGATTGAAGATATTATCACTATTCATCAACGTGCGACGACATGCGACTTTTTATCAAATATTCACCCTCGTCGTCATCATCATCGTCGTCGTCACCGTTGTAATACCGGTTTTGAATTTTCAGCAGAATAGATCGCAAAGTTGCGCGGGAATCCCGTCGCCGAGGCGGCCGCTATCATTAAGCATCGAATTACAGGACGCGCGAGACCGGCTGCCGCGAAATTATTGTAATTTATGTCACGGTTCATCGCCGCCGCACGTTCAACGTACGAAAGGTCAATGAATGTCGTCGCGATAGTCGCCGTAGTCGTCTTCCGGAATGTTTTCGAGAAAGTTATCTTCATGCGGCTTATCGCCGATTCGTTATATAAGGCACGGTTAAATCATTTATATTTTAACGAAAGTTTTGCCTTTATTGAATCACGCAATTTCACGATTTCAGGTTTTTCCGAACATGAACCAATTTATGTCGTTATAATTTCCCAGGCAGAAAATACCGAATCACGATGAAAAAATGAATTTTCCTTGTTATTTTAACGTCAGCATGATTTTCTTTCCGGATTCGTAAAATATTCCCAGGAAGAATAGAAAATCATGATGACGTCAAAATAATGAGGAAAACTCATTCTTTCATGATTCGGTTATTTCTTCGTCATTTTAGTGTCACTATAATTTTATTCCATTTTTTTTCTACTTGGGTGTTGTACGTGAAGAATGGAAAGAATCATGAATCAAGCGATATAAAAAGATTACAACGATATAAAAATATAAACGTTTTATTTTACGTGCAAAATTCACAATTACTTATAACACAAAAACCAATGTTCTTTGTAGACAGATAAATTTGGACTTATGAACAATTTTAACAAATCGCTTGCCGTCGAACGAGACATCTTGGAAATATCGACCTTCGTTATTATTTATTGTTTTCAAACAATGATTATGCAGAAGATAGGTGATGACAGATAAATTTTATAGTCGTTACTACTTATTGTCATTTAACTGACTACTTCCGCTGATCGGAAACTTTCGTTCGTTCGTTATAGATATCACATTTTATCGCTACTCTTGTTCCTTCTTTTAGATCATCGCTCCTCATCATGGCCGCTCATTATTGCGTGCCGGTATGCGCAAGTAGGCCGAGTTGTGATGCCACCGGCTAGATGGAACCACCAGAACGAATTACCGTAACATCGAAACCGGTCACGTATCACGGTCGGCGGACCGTCTTTGACAGAGAACTCCTAGTTGTGCTCATATCCGCCCTCGCAGAGATTTTATGAGCATATGGATGATCGATTTCCGCCGTGCTCAGCGGAATTCTGCGTGCCGTTCAGAGACGAAACGTTGGTATGTACATACCAATTGCTCGAAATCGAATTCGAATGATACCCGGACCGAGCGCAAAATACGCGTTTCCCGCGCGATGAGAAACATCCGTTTCACCTACGATTTCACGGAATCATCTGGATTTGTTCATTTCTCCTTATCGCGAACAATACATGCTGAAAACAGCGCGACGCGAGCCGCATTCACAAAATCGCCCGTTCATGTTGGAATCTACGTTTCGTTGTTTCTGCCGTTATCAGCACTATTGTTTTCGTTAATTTTCAGATATCTCTCTCTCTCTCTCTCTCTCTCGCTCTCGCTCTCGCTCTCTCTTCCTCTCGCTACTTCTCGCCGCCGTTCTATTTTTCTTATACGACTTTGGGCAGCGGTCCAATCAACCATGGTCGTGTTTCGCGCTCCGAGTAAAACGAACACAAGGTCTTCAATGAACGAAAACACTCTCGTCCGCAGAAGCGCGCGCTCGCTTAAGTACCGCGTGTGTCTCGCGCTATCGTCTCTCGGATTTTTCGCCGCGCTATCGTAAACTCCTATCGCCGATCCTGATTGCCCCGAGGACGTTCGAGGAAGCTATCGGAGTCGTTCACATTAATTCGATATCCTTTTTTTTCTCCATTTTCTTCCTTCTTTCCTGTTTTCCCTTTCTACTTTGTTTTATTCTCTCTCTCCCCCCCTCTCTCTCTCTCTCTCTTTTGTTTCGACACACGCCGCGCCCGTACACGGGCTTTTAGACTTTAATGCCTCTTATTACTGCGTGTGCGACTATTGCCTTCCTAATGAACGGCGTAATTTATAATGCTCGGCGGCTGCTTTTGTGAGTTTATTGGGCGGGAAAGCGAGGACACTTCAAAGGCCCTCTTATCATTTATGTGTCACACACGTTATTGGAACGGCTATCATCGGGTCAGCCGGCGATCGCGCGGGGCAGGGGGAAGATTTGTAATTCAGTTATGTTCGCGCGTGCAAATATACAATGAAATTCCAATCTCCTGCCTTCTCTACGGACGACGACATGAAACAAGGCAACGATTAACGATGAAATGTACACATTGACGCGATCGATGCGAGAGGAGGAAAAATGACTGAAATATTCAGGTAGCGATATAAGCGATACAACGGAGAAGAAACGATTGAATTATCTTGACAACGAGGACGAATAAAGCGCGTTCTGGCTGAAGGAAACTGAATCTTCGTCTCTGTTTTTAACACCAAATTTGGTTCATAAGAATCGGAAAATCTGTTCTAAAAACTCCGGTCGAGACGCGCTCGGTTCGCTCGGATGTCAATTACAATTACAAAAATTCAGATGTCAGTTCAGATGTCAATTCAATGGATCTTTCCTCCCCGTGTACGATACTTTTGTCATTTAATCCATCAAATGTCAAGTAGTAAAATGCGTGCGCTCGAGGGAAATACGCTCGAGTGTGCACTCGATCCAGCGATTACATTGTTCCAAGCGATTCTCTCGTCGAATAGCGGACAATCGGTTCGACCTCTCGTCTCGGCGCGACTTTTTCTCAATACGGAATAATTGACGCGTTTCTTTCCCCCGCAATCAGCGATCCCACGAAATGCGCGTCGTTACATACACGTGTACACACCGAAAGGGGACCGCGGACGTTAAAGCGTCCCTACACACGTTGTGACGGGCCGCATGTCCGTCGCGATCAGGGACAGACCGCCCGACAGACAGACGCGCGGAGAGACAGAGAGATAGACAGACAGCTGGGGAAAGAGGAAGAGAGAGAGAGAGAGAGAGAGAGAGAGAGAGAGAGAGAGAGAGAGAGAGAGAGAGAGAGAGAGAGAGAGAGAGAGAGAGAGACAGACAGACGGAGCGAAAGAGAACGAGGCGGAGTTCACGAGCGGTCGTGTTCGAAATCGAGATACGTCCGCGACGAGGACGGAGGTGGTAGGTAGGTAGGTAGATAGGTAGGTAGGTGGGTAGGAATTTTAGTTGTAATGCGGACCACACACACACACACAAACACACATACATACATACATACATACAGAGAGAGCATTATTTATTAATAGCAAACCCAACGGCGTGTGTATGTACCGCCGCGGCACGAGGGAGTGGCAGAGCGCCATGCTAGAGCGAGCGCAACAGCACGATGAATCGTAGAACGGATCTCTTCGTGTCTTCCCGCTCGCCCTCCCCGCCCTCCCACCCGATTCGCGCCCCTCCGCCGGCGGGAACAGCTCGCCGTCTCTCTTCTTTCCGTCTTCTCTCTCCGTCTCTCTCTCTCTCTCGCTCTCTCTCGCTCTCTCCTAGTCCTGCCTGCAGCTCTGCCATCCTCCTTGCGATCCCTTCGCCCTTCTCATTCTCCTTCTACCGCGCGGCATGTCGTGCTTTCTCTCTTCTTTCCGCTCCGTGTCCTTGTCGCTCCCGTGCGCGCTCTCTCGTCCCTCAATCGTCCGTTCGCTCGTTCTCCTCTCTCTGTCTCTGTTTGTTTCTCTCTCTGTCTCTCTCTCTCTCTCTCTCTCTTTCTCTCTCTCCCACCCATTATCAGGGGAACGCGCGGTCGCCGCTCTCGCTCGCACGGCCGCGGGACCGCTCGCCGTTGTAGTGGAGAGTGGACGGACGCTTTGTCGGCGCCCGCGGCCGAGATCAAACGCACCGACCGCTTCCTCCTTTCCCCCCCGCGCAGTAACCCAACCGTGGCTCTACCGTTCGTTCCTCCGCCCCGGTCTCACCGACGTAGTTTCGCTCGCTCGTTCTCTGTCTTCCTCTCCTCGTCGGTATCGTCCGAGCGGCGAGCGGCGTCGAGAGCAGTCCGGTAAAACCGATCGACGCCAGCCGGTCGACGGGCCCTCGTAGTCCCTCTTGCTGCGCTCGCGGCAAAACCGTATTATAGCCTTCTCCGTATCCTGTCCCGCGTCTCGTCGGGGGCCTCCATGCACCTCGCGGCGATTGTGCGAGAGACCGCGACACGGTCCTCTGGTCCCCTTGTACCCCGTCGTCGCGGACGACTCATGTCGTGTATCTGTCTTCTCTCTCTCTCTCTCTCTCTCTCTCTCTCTCTCTCTCTCTCTCTTCTTTTCCTCTATAATATTTACCTCGCGCTTTTAACGTCGTTACTATCTAATCGATCGACGAGAGCCCGAGAGCCGATCGACCGGTCGGAGACTTCGCGCGGAGATGAACTTCGTTCGCAGCTCGGCGAGCGTTCAATCAGCAACGCTGACCTCGCGCGGCGTGCTGTGTCGCCACCTTTTCATTCTGGAATTAGACTTTTCTCTCTTTTTGCTCGCTCGCGACGCGACGCGACGGAGACGCGTGGATCACCTTGGGGAGATCGAACTCGCCGGCGAGTACTACAATCGATCTCTACGTGTATACTTATTTACGGGACTGCCGACGATTCGAGATCTGTGCGAGATGCGCGCAGGTGACTATCGGCGCGATCGCCTAACGCTCACAGCTCAAGAACCGGCCGAAAGAGAGAGAGAGAGAGAGAGAGAGAGAGAGAGAGAGAGAGAGAGAGAGAGAGAGAGAGAGAGAGAGAGAGAGAGAGAGAGAGAGAGAGAGAGAGAGAGAGCAGCGATTGAGTTCTCGCCGGTGGCAAGATGCGCATCTGGAAATAGTTTATTATTAATAGATGACTCGATTTCACGAGGAGAGACAGAGCGAGGAGCAGGGACAGACAGCGAAAGAGAGAGAGAAAAGGGGAGGAAGGGGGAGAGAGAGAGGGAGAGAGAGAGAGAGTGCTGCCGACGTTATTCTGAGGTTAGTCTGTACCGCGTTTTTGAGCCGCGCGTTTTATTCCCCTTACTGCCAAACGCGCGCGCGGGGCTTTCCTCCGTCCCCCCTTCACCCTTCCCTCCTTAGCGCACCAGCGAGCCGCCACCCTCTTCCCTCCGAATCCCTCGCAACCCCTGCTGGCCGGCCGCTGTTTCCCTTTTGCCTCTGTCCTCCTCCTCCTCCTCTTTTCCCCCCTGCCCTCCTGCCGCTGCCGCCGCCGTCGTCGCCGCTGTTGCCGCTCTCCCCCCTCCTCCGTTCCCCTGCCGCCTCTTAAAAACGAGACTTGCCGCCGACTTTCCGACAAAGGAATAAAGAAAAGAAACAACTAGAGCCTCGCTACGCGGCCTGAGGATGGCACGGCAAACCGTAGCGCGCAACGCGGCACTGCACAGCATAGCGCGCTGCACAGCGCAGCGCAAACGAGCGCAGCGCGGGGCGGTGCGGCGCAAACACAGCACTGCGCAGCGCAGCGCAGCGCAGCGCAGCACGGTGCGGCACGTTGGGGAGAGAGAGCCTTTCTGTGTAGGGAGCGCGAGGGGGATGCTTCGGGCCGGTCGGCCGCTCAATGGCGTCGTCGTCCGGGGCCCGTCGTCTGAAATAGAAAATCCCGAGCGGTGGAGTACGTTGCGCGTATTCTCTCGTTCAGCTCTCGGAATTACACAGCCCTCGTCATCCATTCGTCTCTTCATCTTCGGGACCGGGACCCGTTGTTTCGTGCCGATCGATCCGTTCGTCGATCCTCGGTAACTTCGTAGATGTCGCCCTGACGCTCGCGAAGGGATCGGTAATTTTTCGACCCGAAGGGAAATGTTCGCCGGAGAGGAAGACGGCGGCTGAACATTTCAATGGGAACGCTAAGACGAATCGTCCGGTCGAGAGATTGATTTGACATTGGGATTATTTCGTCATTATGTTGGGAAAGTCGAAGGGGATCCGGCGTGCGCGCGCGCGCGGGGAGCAACGTGGAACAATAGAGGTGTCGATGAATCGCGACGCGCAATATTTAATTTCGCGCTGCGGCGCGGTATTCACAACGCTCGCACGCACGCGCGCGCCGAACGTTACGCACAAAAGCTCGTCGTTTTTGTTTCGGGGCTAATTGTTTCTCTTCTCTTTTTATTTTCGATCGAGCGTGACGCTAACAGTAGCATAGCGCTGTCCGGTGGTGGTGGGAGTTACAGGGGTGTAACGCGTGGCCGGCCGAAGTCGGCCGCGCGGCGTGGCGCGGCGCGACCTCGATGAGCGACGGAGCGACGGTGACGCCTATGTTTCTTCTGAAACACCGCTAGGAGATAATAGCGTGCGGGTACAGTCCCCAAAAGGAATATTTCCGATTTGACACACGGCCTTCCGAGTATTGCGCAGCGCTTCGGCGGCCGCGAATCGACGTAAGTGAAAAATATCTCGACGGAGGGAACGACGAAATCGGAGCACTTTTCAGCAATTTGCTTCTCCCTCGCCGCGTCCCCTCCGCCAGTCGCTCTCTGACTGTCCCTTCCTCCCTTCATCCCTTCCCCGTCGTATCAGACTCGTGATTCATTGAGGCGTCGAAACAACAGAACCACGTGTTTGTGAACGATGACACGCGTGCCGTACGAGGCGATTTCAATGGCAAGGCTGTCTATATATTCCGGAAATAAAGTGGGACGGAAGTTCCTCTTAATAATGGCCGCCCGCGAAATTAGGTTTCGCCGCCGTAATCTCGCCCGCGCGCATAACCTTTACAGCGCGCAGGCCGGACGTTTTATTTATCGCGCGAGTATTCGGGGATGGTACATGAAGGGTGGTCGAAAGTGATCGATTATCGACGTTAGTTGAGTTATCAACAAAAGTAAGTACCGCGGTTAAATTCTGGTGATCACTATAATCCAGGTAGCAATTTTGTGATCCCAACGGATAGTGTGATATTTTACGTCACTGTCACGGAAGGTCTCTCTCTCTCTCTCTCTCCCTCTCTCTCTCTCTCTCTCCCCCCCTCTCTCTCTCTCTCCCTCTCTCTCTCTCTCCTTCCCTTTAACTTCATTTTGTATCGCTTATCTATTCCACGCGTATTACACACGGATTGACATCAATTTCATCGGGCGGAGGAATTTCTAGAAATAAAAATTTAGAAACGTACGACGTTAGCAACCTTCAACATCCTGCCCAGCGGGGCGTCATCGCATATTCGCTGAAAAACGACGATGTCAAAGATCAGAGGAAACGCGTTAGACAAGAGGACGCTTATTGAGCGTTCAGCATTATGTACGAGCGACGCGAGCAAAGTTCTGCGGAACGAATTCAATTTATCATTCAATTTGACAACTTTAATATGTGCGCACGCATACGCATTGCGCGAGATCGTTGCGCCCCGAGAAGAACAAAAATAATCACGATGACGTCGAAACGACGACGAAAAAACAACTGCAAGAAACTCTTTTTATGCAATCATGATTCGATCATTTTCTCGTCATTTTGATGTAATCGTGTTCTTTTTTGTTCCATCTGGGACATTGTTCGCGCAACTGTCGCGTACTCATCAGTGGACTCTTTCTCTTTTCCTCTCTCTCTCTCTCTCTCTCTCTCTCTCTCTCTCTCTCTCTCTCTCTCTCTCTCTCTCTCTCTCTCTCTCTCTCTCTCTCTTCCTCTTTCGCTCTTGTTCTCTCTCTTTTGGGGTCGAAATTCACGTTAATGTGTCAGTTCGAGATCGACGGTGCCAGGCATTGTTAGCGTTGTGTCTCTTGCCGCATGGAAACTCGGGAGTAACCACGCGCGGCTAATCCTTCCCTGATATTAAGCCCGTTTCACACGGCCTGCATAATTCCGCGACATGCGACGCGAGCAGTATCGTTGCTCCTAGAGACGCCGCTTTCGATCACGATCGAAAAAGTTGTTTCGCAAAAATTTGCCGAACTTGAATCGCAAAGCGCCATTTGTCTCAGTCTGCGCATGCTCGACTGCATTTTAAACCACCTGTACCGCGTCTACACTTTCGACACTCGACAGTTTCCCCCGTCGAAACGGAACATCCCTCTTGTTTCTCGTGTAACTTAAGACGGATCAGACGAGTAAGATCGTATTCCTCCCAACATTTTGCGCATTGTAGGAGATTCGTTTTCCATTGTCGAGCTGCCCCTACAGTAGTTTTCCTTTCCTCTCTTTTCCAAATCTCAACCGTTTATTTATCTCTTTTATGCCCGTTTCTATCAAGTCGACTTCAATCAAGCTTCAATTCGAATGCAAATCTTGACCCGAAGAGTTTGAAGCTAAGCTCAAGTTAAGGATGACTTTTACCAAATTCCGATTAAACTAATTTAAGCTAATGAACGATTGACCAATAAAATTGCTGCAATAGAAATTTCTGAAAGAAGGAGGAAAGTTTTGCTTCCGTACCAATAAAAATCAGTTTCACTTTTCACATTTGCAACTCGGCCTGCTGAGTTAACCGTCCGGCCAGTTTAACCGGAATTAGCTAAAAATCACCCTTAAGGGTCGGAAGTTGTTTCAACTTCTTGGTAAATTAACCGATAGTTAAATCATACGTTTGTCTTTGGTTTTCCTTCAACTTAGACAAAGACAGACATATGATTTAATCTTATCAATATCTAAGTTAACTCACCAAGGAGTTGGAACAACCCGCCCCAAGTCCCGAAAATGTACACCAGGTCAGCGAGGACGGACTCAGGGTCTACGAGGATCGCGTAATCCGGGGACTCGCGAATTCTCGGCCGTGCGAATCGGGCTTTGCGCGTTGTTTTTCGGAGGAGCGGGCTCACTCGTTCTCCGGCGAGCGCGAGCGCGGCTACGTGTTGGAGAAAGAGAAAATAGCGAGGACGGTAGGGGAGAGAGCAGAAAGAGAGAGAGAGAGAGAGAGAGAGAGAGAGAGAGAGAGAGAGGGAGGAGGGAGGGAGGGAGGGAGGGAGGGAGGGAGGGAGGGAGAGAGCGAGAGAGAGGGGGAGGGAGAGAGAGGGGGAGGGAGAGAGAGGGGGGGAGAGAGAGAGAGAGAGAGAGAGAGAGAGAGAGAGAGAGAGAGAGAGAGAGAGAGAGAGAGAGAGAGAGAGAGAGAGAGAGAGAGAGAGAGAGAGAGAGAGAGAGAGAGAGAGGACGCGGAGGTTGGCGAGTCGCGTCTCCTACCTTCGGGGATCCGCGTACCCTCGGCTCGGCACTGGGTAACGCACCGAGCCGAGCCGAACCGACTCGGCTCGGCACACCGCGTGTGGTGGGTAATGGTGATGACGGTGGTGGTGGCGATGGTGGTGGTGGTGGCGATGGTAGTACGCGGCGGGTAGGGAATTACGAGGAACGTTCTTTTAGGCGAGGACGAGCGGCCGTAGTCGTAGCCGAACCACGGGGACGAGTGTGTGCGGTGCGCCGGGTTGTATACCTGCGAGAGGGACCGAGGAGGAGAGCGTGCGGATGGATCTCTCCTCGCTCCTGGGCCGCAGGAAGTGACAGAAACGCGCGTAACGACGCCAGCGCGCACCGGCCAGTGCACACATCCCGTGCTCTTTCTCTCTCTCTCTCTCTCTCTCTCTCTCTCTCTCTCTCTCTCTCTCTCTCTCTCTCTCTCTCTTTCTCCTCTCGAACGTCGGCGATTTCCCTTCTCGTCTCTCCGCAGTGTCACGACGTTCTGTCGTCGTGCTCAAGTGTGCCGCACTGTTGGCTGTCTTAAAACCCGGACAGATTCGTAGGAACGGAGAAAGAAGAAGAAGAAGAGGAGGAAGAGTAAGAAAAAGAAGGAAAAGAAGCAAAGGAGCAGGAAGAAGGAGGCTGTCGCGATCGTTCGTTCGCTCGTCCGTCGCTCGCTCGCTCACCCGGCCGTTTATCCGACAGTAGGCAGCTCGGTCGCGCTCCACCGGATTCACTCGGCAGGCTCCGCCGTGAGCACGTGTGTACAGTGTGCGTCGGCTGTGGCGGCGGCGGCGGCTTGTGTACGATCGCGCTCGCTCGGAATCTCAATGGTGCGCGCATGAGAGGAAGCGAGGCTCCGAGTGCGGGATTGTGTCTGCTGTTGTTTACGGCGCGCCGTAGAGTGACGAATCGGCCGTCGGAGGACGACAACGACGACGACGACGACGACGACGACGACGACGACGGGCACTGGGCGAGGAGGAGGAAGAGGACCGTCGGGCCGCGTGACGTGGGCGTTTCACGCGGGGAGGCACGAGCGAGCGCTGGCCGGTCCCGGAGAGCGGCTCCAGAAGGCTGGGGATCACCACGTCCGGAAGGAAAGCTCGCATCGACGAAATCGCACGCACGCACATGAAGATCCCATGGCTACCGGCTTGGTAAAGTGGTGGCGAGCAAGGTTCCTCGCTGGCTACAGGCCCTTTTCCGGTAATGCTCCCTTCTCGACTACTACGACTCTTTCTTTCTCTCTCCCCCCCCCCTCTCTCTCTCTCTCACTCACTCACTCACTCACTCACTCACTCACTCACTCACTCACTCACTCATCCGTAGTCTCTCGCCATCGCGGGTGCGCGATATCGAGGCTCACGGATGTGTAGGACGAAAACGGAAACGTTCTCTGGATGGAGACGGCGAAGGACAGAAGTTTCTTGAGGCGCAGACATTCCTTGAGGTAGAAATCTGCCTTCGAAGTTTCTCCCTACGTCCATGACTCATTCAGGGCACGCGAGGCTTCCTGGCTGATAATAATATCTTTTACCCTGCCGTGTGTCTGGACGAAGTACCAGTAGCGGGCGGCTTTGGAAACCGTCAAGTAGTAGCAAGCGATAACACTCCTAACGCTCAAGAATTCGATTTTGTAGAAAATGACGAGTCCGCGCGTTTCTGCCTGCCCCGGTAGATGAGGATGTGCGTCGGGGCGGCTTTTTAAAGTGCGAGCACGCAGTGCGTGAACTTGAATTCCCACGTTCATTGAGCGCTCGCGCAGCGGTAGTTGTCGCGAATGAGCCTGATGATCCGGCTCATTAGCGCCGGTGCTAATGAGCGTTTCGCTGTTTGCTCTCGTCGTTGGTTAGCCGGGCAGGTTACTCGGAGAAGCCGGTTGATTCTCCGGGGAAAGCGACGATTCCTCGACGGAGGATTGATCGCCAACGTCGGACAATGCCAGGAAACTATCGAAATGGGCACCACGTGGTGTTGCGTCACACTTACACTTTTCTTGGCTTTCGGCCTGTCTCTCGTAACGCGTAAAGCCCGTATCAGACTACGGATCGGGATTGAGTATTGAATTGAAATTTAACCAAGCAGGGCTATAAGTTTACTATATTTGAGATTATTTTCTTTTTTCCAATTGGTCAAATTTCAATCCAATCTCAATCCCGATCCATAGTCGGATACGGGCTTATTAAAGCCCATTCGCACAATTAGCCGCAAAAGTTACAGGCAAATTGACCAATCACAGTCGAGATTGTTCTTTGATCGCAAGGATCGACAGTGATTGGCGAATTCGCTCGCGACTAGCGTAGACGTAGCGTAAACGAGCTTAACGAGTCAAAAATAGCGGGGAAATCGCTGAACAACAAAGTTAGCCGAGAGTCTCGCTTAATCGCGCGATATCTGATCTCGGAGAGCTTCGGATGGCAAAATTGCTCGAGTCGAGTCGCGAGCTGCCGTCAGTTTCCTCCCGCTCGCCGTCCAGCGTGGCACGATTCTTATTTTCGCGAGAAATCTCGAAATACGCGCGAGTCGACGCGGCTGCTTTTCTGCGTACACTCCGGAGCGAAACTATTTCGCCCCTTTTTTCTCTCTTTATACACCTCGGAACTCCGTCGGTGGGATCCAACCAAGGGGAAAACTTGTCTCTGAAAAGTCAGTCCCGGAAGTTAAGCTCGTCGGAGTTCATCTGCCGCGTTCCGGACTACGTCCGCGATTTTCGTCAGGCGTTTCGGAATGTAACCGCCTAATCCAACGGGAGAAATGCTTCCTAACGGGAGATTTCTCCCGTCGGGTGGCCGAAACTCGCGCGGAGATTTACGGGACACCTCGCGCGCGCGTGTTAATCCCACGACGAAGAGGAATGCCGGAATTTTAGAATAATATAAATTACCGAACGTGTACATACGCGCGCGCGCGCGCGGGAGGAGAGGCCGTAACTTTCGAGAGCGCCGTCAGCGGCGGATGTTTGTTGGCTCTCTCGCTGTAGCGGCGGTTTAGTGATGTGTGTTAGTAGCGAGTCCGTAAAGGCGAATATCAAATGTCGAAGGTAAGTTTGCGCGCACACGCGTATCGTCCGAGTTTAACAGCTACGTCTATCGCACATCCGCGTCGTGCCCGTTAGGTGGGACGAGTTTATGACCCATTACACAATACTCGACGATAAAACCGAAGCTCACAGAATTCAGAACGTAAAACTCTCGAGACGGCCGCGGCTGTCCGAGACGAATGCGCAGGAGAAGAGGAAAAAGAAAGAAACGGAGCGTGCACTCTCGCTCGCGCGAGAAAATTTAGAAAAGTTCCACTCGAGCTCTTCTAAATTTTTTTCCTCAGCCATTCGAAAGACTCCGAGGCGTCTGCGCGCCTCGGAGGGAGAATAAAAATCTGAAATTCTATAACAGAGTATACCGCGTAAACAGGCGCGATACGCGCGCGCCCTTTGAAGTCACCCTCGCACACTTTTTCTTTGACTTTCCTCCCCCTCGCTCTCTCTTTCTCTCTCTCACCAAAGCATAAGCGTATACTTCGAACATTGTAAACACGCGGGGTAAAAAGAGAAAAGGAATCAAAAGGAACGTATATGCAGATGCGGCTTGGCTTTCATGTGAGGGCTATAAAAGCACAACCCGCACATTCTCCACTTTCCGAGATTTACGATAAAGCCGAAAAAAGACACACACGTCTGCGCGGATTTGGAGGATTGTAGTCGGCTCTCTCCGACTTCTTTCCGCGTTGAAGTCGAGACGTAAAAGCTGTGCACGTTAACTTTTTTGCCGCGCGCGCGCGCGCTTTTGCGCGCACGGGGAAAGCGCCGGATCAAAAGGAGATTGTACTCTCGCCTGATCTGCGGTGCATCGTTAAAATTGAGATGCGTGAAATTATAAATGACAATGTAGATTCGGCCGTCTCGCCGGAGGGAATGCGGAAAGTGAAAAAGTTTACGTGCGTCAAACATTAAATTGATCCCGAATTGAGAACAGAGAATCGCGATTACTTCGATGATGAAAATTCGCCAAGTATGTCAAAATATCGAAAGGATGATCGAATCACATCAATATGTAATTTATAATCGATTGCACGATCATAGATTATGTGTGTTATAAATATAAATTAATATGAAATGAAAATTAAATTATATTTAAAATAATATTAAAAATAACATTAAATAAAAAGCATTAAATGAAATATTAATTTTATATTAAGATATTAAATTAACATTGAACAAAAATTAAATGAAATAATATTGAATTATATTTAAAATAACAAATTATACATTGGCGCGATATATCGAATTTGGTTTAATTACACGACAGGAGCGACGGTGGTTCTCGCTTGCTCCTCTTGTTCCTTTCCTTCCTTTCTTTCTTTCTTTCGACCGTACATCTCTCAAGAGCTCGGTTCCTTTTTACTCAAGCGAATCATCTCGGTGAGTTTTTAACAGTCATTTCCCCGTCATTCCGACGTTGCGCGGCACTTTCCGCGCCGCCTCCTGGGGGGGAGGGCTGTTTAGACGGCCGAGCTTTTGTCACCGATTACTCCCAAATTAGAGTTCGAATCTCCGCTTCGACTTCACACTCGCGTTTACCAGTTTCCCTCGGAGAGTTCTTCCCCTTCATGGGTGGAACACAACACACATATCGTGCGACTGTCGACGTGCTCTGGAAGAGCATAAAAATACCGCCTGCACCAAACATCATGCAGTAGCAACAGCAGGCGACGGCGACGGCGACGGCGACGGCGGCGCACCGGTGCGGATCGGATGCCGCGCGCCGAGCGTGTTAAATGCCGCCTTTTATTCGCTCCTCTGCCTCTCTCTCTCTCTCTCTCTCTCTCTCTCTCTCTCTCTCTCTCTCTCTCTCTCTCTCTCTCTCTCTCTCTCTCTCTCTCTCTCTCTCTCTCTCTTCTGCTGCGAAGCCAGAAATCGCGATCGCGCAAGCTGGAAGGACGGGAAAGCGAAGCGAGCGGGCAAAAGCGGCGGCGGCTTCCCGATCGCGCGCTCTCGACTCGCGCCGCGCCCAATCGTCCGGCGTCACGCGCGCGCATTTATGGTCGATATACCTCGAGACCGCTATAAAAGTCTGCGCCGAGCGATGCGCCCATCGGGGCGACGGGATGGACAAGTTCGCCAGCCGGTGAACGTAGAAACGTAAATAACGACCGCTGCTCTCGCGCGCGTGCATACACACATACACACAAGCTGCTGTTTCCCGATTTCAAATCGCGCCGACGGCACATGTATCCGTCGGCTTTCAACGTCGACTTCGCCAGAGGTGGCTTTCAATCTGTCTAATGCGCGCAATGTATTCGCGATGCAGCGTGCCGCTTCCCGCGAAATAATGTCCCGGCACAATAGAGGGATCGGAAACAGCGAGAGTCGGCAGATAGCGGCCGAGAGAGAGAGAGAGAGAGAGAGAGAGAGAGAGGAGGTTCCCGAGTTTCAATTGTATCTTCAAAACGAGAGGGAGGTCGGTTGAGTCTCTCGGTCGGCTTGAATGAGTATTACACGTGAATGAATATTGCACGGAAAAGAAGGTTTGATTGAGCGTTAACAATGAGCGCGGCGAATGCGTTCCGATCGAGGGAAGCGGAATTTCTGGAGACTTCGTTCGTCAAAAATCAAAAGTCAAATTTCCCGCGATTCAAACACGTTTGCTGCTGCCTTCGTTTTGTCATGTTGACTCGCTTAAACTTTTTTTCTGCGCGCGCTCGGCGAGAAACATAGTTAAGATTATCGCTGAAATTGGCTCGAGTTTTGAGCTAGGGACTGGGTGTGTATCGCATAAATTAATTCGGTGGTCACTGTTCAGTTGTAGGAACCAATACGGAAGGCAGCGATTCCGAGGAGCTGCTGACGGGTGTCCCGACTACTTGCAACATCTCATCACCGCCGCCGACAGAGTCGCAACCGATCTTAATTTCCCCGGAGCCGCCGCCGCAGGTCGCGGTTGATGGCCCGACCGTACCTGCAGGACCTACCGGTAATGACGAACAGCCTACTTGCGGTACAACGAAACAGCTTAGTTTCGAGGTGAAATACTTTAATTTATATACCTTGGTGTGGGAAGTAGAGAAGGGAACGACGTGTCGCGTAATCTTCTAGGCATAAAGTGGAAGAGGCTGAAAAAAGAGCCTGTCGTCGGTTTATTTGCTTTATTGTCCTCAAGGTCGCGATCAGGCGCGATAGCCAACTAATTGCTGTCTTGTGTCGTGTTTTTTTTCCCATGATACGTTATCTGTAAAATTGTACATAAAATGAAAATTGTGGCTTTATGCGCACAAGTTCCTTGCAATCTTACCGCGTTTTCTAGGAGCGCAGGAATTGACTGTCAGAATCGATTTTGTTCAGAAATTTACAGTAAATTTGTTAACAATATACTTTAATTTCTAAAATATAAATAACGTAAAGTGTGGAGAAATAATATAAATCAAGGCGGAATGTCAATATACATGTTCTCCGATTGTAAGATCGTTTTTTGTTCACTTATTAGGGTGAATATTCCAATTAGCGATCAAGTATTCACCATGAAGATAAATTAAATTAAGTATTCAAGATTTATTCTGTCAAAAAGCTGGAACATTTAGAGCTTTAATTTTTATATTTCTCTAATGAATTTATATTTTCTCAGACATGGCTAAAGTGTTATCTACTGTGACACGACAATTTAGTTTCGTTTTTTCGTTTTTTCTACTAAGTTTAATTTTGTAGAAGTTAAAGAATAACTGCACAGACATAAGAAACGTATTTCAGCATTTTTACTATGGTCTTTAATTTTACTCGAAATTTGTTATAAACGATAACGTATAAAATCTAGAATAAGGACATACGTTCAGGATAAATATAGTCTCATATCAGCTGATTTATCGAGGGCAACTAGCGCGATCGTCGGGCCGATCGGAACATTCGTCTTACTTACCTGCTCATTTAATCGTTGCTTAACTAATCGCTCAGTTGCGGCAATTTCCCGACATTGTTTCTCCGACCTCTCTGATCCGAGTCTGATCCGAAGCGCACTCGTTCTCGTTGACAGGAATTCGAGTGCGACGTGTCGGTGGCGGAAGGTGACAGGAGGCGGCAGGAGTTCTCCTTCACCCTGTACGACTTTGACGGCCACGGGAAAATCACGAAGGACGACATAGCCGGTCTGGTGACCACCATTTACGATACGCTAGGCGCTTCTATACAAGTGCCGCCGTGCGGCAGCAAGACAATTAAGGTCAAACTGACGGTGTCGCCGGATCAGCGAGCCAGCAGCAGCAGCCAGGCCGCGCCGCCTCGCAGCAGCACCTGCCTAAATGCCACGCAAACGCCGGCCACGAGCACGCTGCCGCCCGGCAATTCGTCGTCCTGTTGCCATTTGAAGCACGCCGCCCCGTGCGGCCATACCGCGACACATGCCGCTCGCGGCTCGAGCAGAGTTCCTAGAAGGAGAAGAGCCCCGCGGTATCGTTGTCAGGTGAGACCTACATTCCTCGGTGCCTACGTACGAACGCCGGCCGTCTGTCCGTCCCGACATCCGAGTAATGTGCGATACGTGTCCCGAGATGCCGACGGTACCGCACGGAGTATGAAGGAAAAAGACACGCACACGCGATTCCTCCGATTCTCGCGATCCCCCAGCCGAGGTTCCTCATTTTCGAGATGTAAATTCCTCCGTCGCTTGCGACATCATCGATATGACGGCAATCATCGTAATTGGCAAGTTGACGACACCCCGACGATAGAATAATGCGGATAAGTGCGGCAGCTTGTTGAGAAACATTCTAAAAAAAAAGGAGTTCTGAAGTTGAAGGGAGACAGAGTTTAAGCATCTGTCTTTAGAATTTCTTACTGGTTCCGACAGCAGTAAGCAGGAGTAAATTGTTGGAGTAAATCTGCAGGTATATGCGACTTTCTTCGGCAGAAATTAGTTATCGCGCTGTATTTATAATTGTGGTTGATGTTACTCGCTGGAATATTTGATAGGGCGTCATTTCTTCGTTTGTCCTTCGTGGGTTTTATGAGAATCGTGCCGTTGCCATTTTTCTCACAGACCGAGCGGAAAGAAGTCGAGACCCACAGTGAGGACGACGATGAGAACGTCCGAGCGAATCGAGTGCAGCAGGAGGAGCTGCGTAGACGAGTCGGTCCGGTGCCCCATTTACCATCCCCCTATTCAAATAGCTCCGAGGGTGATGTGAGCGACGATAGTGACACTTCCCCCGCATTCTCACCGCTGACGCCGCTTCTTACGACGAATCAGCGGAAGCGCAGCGGCGCGCTACAAAGGCAACAATTGCTGGAGATTATTCAGGCCAACATGGAAAAGAATAATCTCAGTTTTCACACATCAAGGTGAACTAGCGCAGTCATCTTTACGAAATTATAATAGCACGTTAGTGAATCAATTAAAATTTCTAGTACGTTTTAATTTTTTATTTATATATCTCTTGCAAATTAAATTTACAATCAAAGCAAATGAATTATTTCTAAAAATAATGATATAACGTTTGTATAACGTTTATGTATTGTCACTTCCGTGACATTTTTTTAAATTATCAAATTATTTTCTGCAATCACATTTGCTCATATTGATTCTCATTGTTTTCTACAATTATAGAGTTTTAATTTTTTAAGTTATTGAATTTAATCGTTGAATCTAAAATTAATTTGACCCACTCATACACATGCACACGCATTTCTATTCCGCTCGCGCAGGAAACGGCATCAAAACGAGCAGTCACGCGTTCCGTCTCACAGCCCCCAGCAAGAAACCACGAACCACAACAACCAGGATTGTCAGGCGCCTGTGGAGTCTCGTCAGATGCCCACGAATTATCACAAGCCGATACGGGAAAGCACTCATCATTCTGCGTCGTTTCCCAAGACACCGACCAAGCCTCGGATGAATCTGAGAAAGGCGCGGCACAACACGTCGCGGAACAACGCGACGCACGCTTCCCAGGCCTACGCATACTCGCAGGTGCTGAATCGCAACGTCGTCGTGCCGACAACGGTCTACAATGACATACCGGCGCAGCACATCACCAGCAGCAACACCCACCGGAACATCGTTAATCTCCTGCCGAATAACAACCAGCAGACGGCCAACCAGCAGACCAACGTGACCAACAATCATAACAACGTGCAGCGCAACAACACGCAGTTCATTCAGTCGCAGCAGTGCTGCCGTGCCAAGAAGCATCAATTGAAGCACGCGACCCGAGAGCAGGATCAGGCTCGAGCGATGGCGCAGGTCGTGCGTTGGCTCGAGCGCGAGTTCTCGCAGAACGCGGCGGCAGTTACGTCCGGTCGGAGGCATGTCCACGAGCATATACATCATCATTATCATCATTATCACGCCGAGGCTTTGGTCTGAACACATGCCGCATACTCGGCGTTACCGAGGAAGGTTAAGAGAAATCGTTAAGGTAATTTATATAACGTCTATATAATGTCGATTCGCGACCGATTTTCCGGCGAAATCCTTCATCATATTTAAAAAAATCATCAGGTCGGAGAAGGAGTTAAGTTAATATATTAATATAATATAATTGCGCATGTGTCGCGGGAAGATTAAACCAGTGAGTTCTATAATACACTGAGTAGCTATTGTGAAATTGTTCGGGAAAGTTTCCGAGCGGAATCGTTCAATTACTTCCTAAATTTCTATTATGTCTTTTTAGGAGGAACTGAGCGAATTCCAATCTGAAACTTTTCCGGATAGTTTCACAATATTCTGGAATCTTTGAGATATCAGACCATGGCAAAATATTAGATCTAAGCAATTTATAGCTCCGGTTCTTTCGCGTTTCATTCTCCTTTTCTCATTCCGACATCCGGATATATTTTGATATATTCCTCTATGTGAGTAGCTTTATGTTAATGTCTAGAAAGAAACTTATACTAGTCTAATTAATGTTTAGAGAGGAATTCATATGATTGAAAAATACTGATAACCTTGTTTTGTGAATATTAAGGCTATCATGTCGTTCTGTGTGCTTCGTTTAATCGCAATTTTTACTGTACTTTCCACGAACTCGGTAAACATTGAGAAAAAGACGTACGGTGTAAACTAAGTCATTATAGAACTCACTGATTTAAACGCGACATGTTTTAGGTCTGATCTTCCACGTTGATCGTCATAGAGAACTCGGTGCATTCTCTCCGGACCGAGTTATCCGTTGAATCTCCAATTTGTTTTCGCGCATAAGGCAAACCAATTTGTACATATTTTGCAACGTTCAATATATCGATAGGTAACTAGATATCTAGCACGAATATGAATAATGCGTGATACATTATCATATATTCTCTTCTACTCGCGTAAGTGACTGAGTTTCTTTCTTCTTCTTCTTCTTCTTTATCTCATAGGACGATGTCGAGAAATTTGGCATCAGAGACCGCAGTGCTCGCTATATTGTACATAAATTACTTCACGAGCATCGACTAGCCGATCACTAACTTCTTCCTCTTCTCGTTATTTTCCCTTTTACATTTGAAAATCCATATACGCTGCGTTTAGCTGAAAATTCTTGCGGAAGATACCGTAGTGCGTTGGGATTAACGTAAATGTACCACATACTATTCGCGCGCCAGTTTCTCCAAGGGCAAAAATATAGTTACTATAAATCTCAGGCTTGCAATGTGTATACCATGCTGCGACAGAGTGACGAGCCGTCGCTCGTCTACAATAACGATTTACCCGATAACAAAAATGTTGACATTGTTGCATCTCCCGCTGCGAGCGGAATATCGTACGTATGGATGCAACGATATATTCGTTTCGGGAGAGGAATTGAAAGACGATCTTCCATAGACTACATTGCGCGTTGCTGTAGGACCAAATTACATTCCTGAACGGAAAAAGGAATATGCAATCGCTCTCCTTTCTCACACGAGCCGCGGTGAACTACTAAACGGCTTACCTAATGTACATACAAAGTATCCCAAAGAAAATCTTTTCGTCATTATGCAGGAGGCGTTACGATCGCGCAAGTGAGAACGAGGTAGATTCGTAGCGATTAAATAAAAGTAAAAGTTTCAAGGGCAGATTATCTCCTACGAATGTTCCTGTAATCAGAGGTTGGTATGTGTATGTACATATATACATGTATATTTCTCTCTTTCTTCTTAGCGAGCGTAGTATTCCTATAGAGAACCGAGAGCGTAAATTTAATGGTGCTCGTACAGCCGTATATTGGAGCGAACATGCGGAATTGTTTCGGTAAATGGAAATGCTTTAATCTCTTTTCTATACAGGGCATCTTTCTCCCACTTTCACCGCGATATATACAAAGTGACCTATGTAATGCTTGTAACAACTTGTCGCAGGAGCTACGCGATCCGTTTTCATCATCCTAAACCTGCTCATCCTCATTTGTCTATCTTGAAGGATAAAACTTAAAAATTTCAAACGGGCTTTAGACGTTAGACGTGACATATCGCTATTGATCTAACTTTTTTCAGCTTTTTGGAGCAAAACTATATAAGCATACTCCATGATTCGGAAAATTCGCCTGTGCAGAAGAAATATCGTTGTCTGTAGAATGTCAAGCGAAACTCTCTTAGAATTTGATATTTTAGAATTTCTCTTACAATTCTCTAGTCTAGTTGTTAAGGTTTACTTGGGTCAGTCTGTATATATTTTTTAACCCTTTCGCTGCTGCGAGTCACTACGGTGATTGGCTACCCGCTGAGCGATTTCCTTGGAACGAAACGCTGCTGCAGCGGCTGTCTCGCTCGACGTCGACGGTTTTCTGAAATGGTTAATGATACTATAGATTCTCTTCGGGAGACATTTCGCTAGGAAATTCGCCACTGAGAAAGATAACACTTTCGAGGCGGGACACTCTATATATTCTGCTAGTCCTATATAACGACAAATAAAGCTCTTCCGTTATCCACAATAGTACGGTGGATACAGGAAGAGAGTGACAATTGAGTTCTTACTAGTGCCTTGTAATCTGTAACTCATTTAACACTTGCGAAAATGGGTCTTCTTTGTAATCGTTTCTTTATGCCTCGCGTGAGCGAGAGTCGTCTCGTTTATCGAACACGAGACTGCATCCTTAGAGCTTGTCATTTCGCTGTGTTACAAGCTGTCGTAAGAATTCCGATCATCTTATCACACAGTTACGAAGGGCTTACTATTTATTATTATTATTATATACATATACATATATACGTATATATGTGTATATATATATGTATATATATATGTATATATATTATATATACATATATAAACATATATATACTGAGAAGAAAACGCGTGTCAGAGCGCAACTATATATATATATATACACATATATACATATATATATGGAAGTCGACAATATTTCTCAATCGGATGTCAATGAAGAAAGAGTATTACGATTACCTTTAGCGATAGTGACTAATATGGTACGACTAATATTAAGATTAGATGCATTGAGACAAATATTACACGTAAGAGTTTTCGATAATGTTATTATGTTGCGGGACATATATAATTTTATATTGATATTTGTAATCCCTGTAGATATTTTCTGTAACTTTTTTTCTATTGATATTTATTAAAACGCATTTTTATACTACATCGCTTGTCCATCGCATCCTCGTGAATCTCCTTTCAGGAATCTTCTTACGTTTAATTATTAAAACAGAGATATTTTTACGGGAATTTTAATGACTAGGAAAAAACACCGAGAAATAATCCCGTCTTCAATCATATTTCAGTGTATTGACTTTGTTTTGCGAAGAGAAATTGGATCTCGATACTTGATGAGTAAAATGACCAAGTTCAATAAAAAGTGTTGAATTTTCGATGACAATACAAAAATGATGTTGTCTGTGGGACATGTATAATTTTATATTAATATCTGTAAAATTCCTGTAGAAATCTTTTGCAAATTTTTTTCCATCGATCTTATTAGAATGTATTTTATAAAAGAATCGGTACTCGCAGTATTTCTGGACGTCACTTTATTATACATACATAACCAAAAGACCTTTGTACAAAACACTTTTGTGTATCTCCGTTGCTTTTCGATTTACCATCGAGAGCATAAACAGCGCGAAGTAATGTGTCTCACCCTCTAGTCCGAAATCGGATAGATCGAAAGAAATGCTTATCTCTTAATCCTTACGATATTATCCTACAAGACAAACCAACTTTCGTTCGAAATTAGAAAGAAACTCCACACGGGGGGGACGTTTCTTCCTTGTTTTTTACAAAGTATATGGTTGCCACTTAGGATAGCGGGAGAACGCACTAAATTGCGCCCGGTCTCGGCGAGACCGGGCGCAGAACGCATAATGACGCACAAAATAATGATTAATAGCGTATCGATTACTTGTTGCTTCCACAATTTCAACGGCGCCGCTCCCCGGCGCCGTGAAAATTATTATTAACCCTATCATGCATCGTGTTTATTGCGGTAAATATCTACTTTTGGCCTCTCTTATAGCCCTACAATAAATGTTCTCAAGCTCACATCAGTGAACGTTTCTCGTATCCTCTACAACTGTGTAATTATAAAAGATTTAATCATAATTCTATTGTAACCGTAAAACGACTTACTAAATAAGAGAAGATCCCGTTTATACGTTTCGGTCGTGATGTAAACGTAAGAAGAGAGATTAGGGTGTTTCCTCACTTATATCTTTTCTTTTCGCATCAAATTCGCGCATGAAAGGGTTCATAATACGATTCTGCGCTTTCGGTGAGTGAATCGCAACCGAGCTCGGTTCGGTGTGTGCCGCGCGTAAGAAAGCTGCGTTTTAACAGTCGCTTAAATTAAATTGCGGGTACGCGTGTGTGTATATGTATGTGTGAGTGTGGGTGTGTGTGTGTGTGTGTTGCGCGTGCTTATATATTCATCTAAAAATTCTATTATCGCGATCTCGAGCGGGGGGAGGGGAAAGAAACAGGACCGATCGTTTCCATTTTACAAAGAATCGGACGAAATGCCCGGCGGTGGTTTTTTTCGCTTCTCCTCGATGTCGCGGGCATTCGATTGGAAATTATGTACACGTTGTACTCAGAATCGCTGTTGTTGTTGTGAGAAGCCTGAGAGAGGGAGAGAAAGGTGACGCGTGACGCGGAAACAGTGCGAGAGAGGAAAAGATGATGATGTTGATGGTGATGTCGCTTACAGTGCTACACATATACCACGGCCGATATATGTCGAACGAATATATACATCGTACAGTTAGTTTTTATTTGATTACTTTTTAGTAAACCAGCATCCGAAGCGCTTATATCCTAATAAGAGCTAATGTTAAGACACTTAATCGTTACGCGAGTTGAAAACCGTTCCCAACCGTTACGTTGCAACGTTATTTAAATCTCGTTAATTTCTTCCCTTCTTCCTTCTTCCACTTTTCCCCTTTATTTTCCTCACGCATGCGAGCGACGCAGTCGTCGGCGACGTCGTCGCGATTATACATGTTTCTCCGGTCGTACAATTGAAAAGTCCCGAAGTCGTCGGATTCGCGAGAGTCTCGAGAGACAAAAGTCTCGGATGTCGTGCGTCGAATTGCGCGCGAGAAGGATCTCCCGCTCGTTCGCGCGAGGAGCGAATCCTCGACGCCGATCCTCGCGACCGAGAAGGAGAGGCGGCATTTCTCGCGCGACGCTTCGACGCTCCTCAAACTGCGCGTGCCTTCGTCCGCGCTTAGAAAAGAAATCGAAAAGAAGAGGAGAGACCAGAGGACGGGGAACGAATCTGCGGAAGCGAACGATACAAGCCCGTCTTAGCCTTACACGCTGACGATTACACGACAATTGTATTTACCGATTGCACGTTTTGTCGACGATCGCGCGTGTCACGTGAACGCAACGCGTTACAGAAAGGTAAGAAACAAACCGCGTATACTTAAGCATCACCAAAGCGAATAACAACCCAAGCAAACAACTGTTCTCTCTGACCGTGAAGGTATGTGTATTTCTGTTTGTGTGTGTGTGTGTGTGTGTATTTGTGTTGGAATTCTTCACTAAATTGATGCAGTATGCCTCGTATGCGTATATTTCAAATACAGTGTGTACGTGTTCCATCGCGAGAGAATGGAGTCCACCTTAACTATCTCTAGGCATAATAATTATGTCATATTCTATCTGTTTTTCTTCTCGCTGAGCAGAGATCGATATCGTCCTGTCTTTCTTTCCCTCTTGTGAACGGCATACGGCGGAGTCGCGGGTCACCTGTATGTACGAGTCGTCGCCTCTTTCCTCTCTCTCTTTTTCTCTCTCGACATACCGATATTGCGATTATCGTCGGAACAAGAAGCGCGATTAACGCACGTCGAGAGTCGCGACTTGTCGGGATCGGGGCGCGCAGAAAAACGAGAGACGGCAAGCGACAAGACTCGAGCGGCTGAACTTGATCGACCGCGATCAGCTTTAATGAGCTCATTAGCAACAAGCTCGATCACAATCACGACCAAGAATTTCAACAGTTGGATGATCTCGACATTTCTCGAGCGCGATCGAGCGATTCGGCTTTTGCTCGAGTAATATTGCTTTTTTACCCGTCACGACGCGCTCACTCGATTAAAAAAAGATAAAAAAAAAGAGAGGTGTTTGCGCGTACTAAACAAATCGACGTGATCGCTCCGATGATAATGACCGATTCGAAACGCCACGTGGAATCCTCGCATTCATATGAACAATTTTGATTATCTAATTTATCATTATTTATATATATATATATATATATATATGTATATCATATATAGTAATATTATTATATACGTAATATATTGTATATAATAACATTGTTATATATGTATATTATATATAATAATAAAATAATAATTATCTAATTCGCCTATGTACACGTGTCCGAATAAAATCAAGCGGGAAAGAACGTGCGTGCGGCATACTCTGCATGCCGTAATAAGAATATTCCTTCCTATCGCGCGTCGCAATAAGTAATCGCGTTGCTCATAACGACTGATGTATAAAATACGTTTACGCATATCCCCGATCGGCGAAATCGTCGGAAACTCATATTCTTCAACATGATTTTTTCACTTTCTTTTTTTTTTGCAATCAACAACAACGCTACGAGCACGCTCTCTCGCGCGCTCGAGAAGTTGTCGACCTCTTATAAATAATCTACCTATCTCGCAAGATTCTCATATGTACTATGTACTGTCGTAGTGTAGTAGAAAAGAATGAATACAATAACGCGAATTCTTGTTACACAATTACAATCAAACGACGCTTCTTAATGGCTTCTCTTGGGGGACAAAGAACATAAAAAAAAAAGAAAAAAAAAGAGAAAATAAAAGAAAACCAGAAAGAAACACCGACACAAGCTTGCGCTCTTCGACGAACATATTACGCTGACAGGATATATAAAATATGCGCTACATTAAAATATATATGTATATAACTATATATATATATATGTATACGAATTTAGTTTTGGTAAAATATTAATTATAACGGACTATCGCTTATTAAATATACATTTCGTCTCTGTCTAATCCTTTGACGAAAAATAAAATTAACACGTGGTTATGTAAATCAAGATTTATACATTTAAAAATTGTATACTTATCAGTTGTAAATAAGAACTGCGTTATCCTCTCTTAAAATTACATCTATGTCCCTAGATCGTAACGTGGCACCACTCTCTGTTCAGCGTAGTAGATTCCGTGATTTTACAACAACGGGGCTCCCACGCGAGTGCAGATTGAAAAAACAAACTATATAAGCAACGTGCTACTTTCTGCTCGCGAGTTTCTCGCGAATCCATTGGCTCGACAAGGAGACAATTCAGGGCACTTCTTTACACTGCCTGTCTCTACTAGGCGCTGGACCATTTTACGGGCTATCCTTTTTTTTTCCTTTTTAACAGCAAGGATTCAGTATAATGTACAGGTATTGTACTTCAAGATCCTCTGCCGGTCGATCGGGTTAAACTCGGCAACAATCGGGATTGTTCTTAGTTTTCTCTGTTGATACTATGTTTTTCCTTTCTCTTTCTTTTTTTTTAATCCTACTACCTTTCTTCCTCCCTCCCACTGTTTGTTTTACAGAATACATATAATCCCCAACCCCCTCCCGGACATATATTTGTACATAGCTATTATATCCAATGGAAAGTGTACATTAAAATCAACTGAATCACGTACGGTTCACTCACAACATCAAAAATAGACTATTGCAAGAGTGCATTAGTATGTGACACCCTGTAGATAGTTATTACTCAACTCAAGGTACCATTTTTCTCACACATTTCGTGACTTTCTTCTCCCGATGGAGTCTGAGACGTAGACGATATGTACAAATTTTGTATGATATCACAATATCACTCATATATAATCTCTCTTTCTCTCTCTCTCTCTCTTCTTTCTCTTTCTGAGTCTTTCCTATTTTCTTAATTTTTTCTCTTATTTTTCTTTTCTTTTCTTCTTTTTTTTCAAATGCGACTTGACGAATTAGAGATACAAGTCGTTGATCCCGTATCGTTGGACTATAATATATCGCGGCACATGATACATTTAAGAATCTTGAGATCGTACATATGTATATATTACACATTAGATTGATTGTAATTTTTTTCAAGAGGTGTACCACACGTACATATTGCCTACGATACAGACTCGTCTGTAACTATAGCGTAAAAAAGCAATTATGCATTAGGTATGTTTTACGCTCGGCCGCGAGGTTTCTTTCGCGAAGATGCTTCCTCGTTCGGCAAAACACCGGTGGTGGCCGTTACGCGCTTTGGACGTCCTGCCTGGCTTTTACTGGCTTGCTGTGCAGCTTGAGCGGTACCTTAAAATTATACACACAATAATAAGAAATTATTGATATGAAATAATTGCGTCCTCCTTAATGTGCGTGCGTGACACGCATTGTTACGAAGATGAAAATTCAATGACTTCCTGCTCGTTTTATTTCACTTTATTTCTTCGCATTCAGAACTGATATTATATAAGAAGAAAAAAGCAAGTTTATCGCTTAAATGAGCGAACTTGTGGTTTTTTTTTCTTTTTCTTTTCTTTTGCTAAAATGGATTATAAATGTTACCTCGGGGTTTCGTCCTCGGGACTCCACCAGTGGTGTTGTTACTTTGTTGTTTGCCATTCTTCTTCATTTCGAATTTCTTCGCTTCTGCGTTACTCTTGGCGTCCGCTGCGACGGAAGCATTAGCAGCGGTGGGACTCGTGGTAGCAGTGGCACCCGTAGCAGCGGTGGCGGTAATAGCAGCGGCACCGGCAGCAGCAGAAACACCGGCGGCAGCAACAGCAGTTGTGGCGATGGTGGTGATGGTGGTGGTGGTGGTGGTGGTGGTGATAGCGGCTGTTGGTGCTGCAGTGGAAGCGGAAATGATAGCAACAACACCGTCGTTGCCTTCACTTTGCGATTTCGTGCTTCTGTTTAGCGCTCTTTCCGCCCTGCTACTGCTTTTCGCAACGGACTTTGCGATCACCATCGTTTTATTGGCCGATCGCTTCTTCGCGCGGCTTGCCTTGGGCGACTTCTTCTCCGACTGCTCGTCGTCTCTGTCGTCGTCCGAAAAACTCGCGGCCCGTTTGGTTTTCTTCCGCTGGCTTGACTTCTCCTTGTGCAGTCCTTTTCTTCTTTTCAGCTGTGATTCATCTTTATACAGCGACAGATCCACTGCGAGAAAAAGAACATCGTGCTTTATTTATTTGTAAGTCTGACATTGAAGCGTGTTACAAAGCTCATCAGGGAAATAATATATGAAATTGTAACAAAATATGATCGTGCATATATTTTTTAATAGAATAATTAAAAGATTTAATAGGACACTAATTATTATAGGGAGTATTTCAGTTACTCACAACCATCGGGATGTTCCTCCGTGACTCGAGGTATTTCTGATACCCCAGTTTCCACATCGATGGCCCGTTTCAAAATGTTCTCCGTGCGCAGTAATTCTATTTTAGTTAGCTGGAATTTATTCTTATCGATCTTGTTTAGGTTCAAGTTTGTCAGTATGCAATCGAAATCTGAAAATGGAACAGTAGAAGAACATTAAGGATAATCACATGCAACACGTATCACTTCAACATAATACAAATAAACAATATAATACTACAGGAGAGAAATTAATACGTGAAAATACCTGTAAAATCATAGAAATCTGGTGAATAGATTTCTCCGTTGTTTTTGTCTTGAGACAGCCAACGTATGCGGACGCGTCTGCTGGATTTGTAAATATTCTGCACTGCTTGACAAACATAGAAGCTACCTTCCGCATTTCTCACAGCCAAAAATTCGTTTCTGAAGGAGGAGAGAGTAAAATGAAATTTAATTATTAATTTTCACTTGTATTAATGACTGCAAAATTAATTTATTCAAAGATTTCTGTGCGCTGATACACTTACTTGTAGAACACAATGAGTTTGTCATCAGGAGTTTTAGGACCTGGAGTCTTGTTGAGATTTTTGACCAGCAATGCAATGTCTGGCAGCGGGCTCTGATAAAGACGCGTTTGAACTCGATTCCTCTTAGGTTTACTTGCTCCATCGGGAACCGCAGACGCTCCTTTCAAATCTTTCAGTTCTCTGGATTTTCGCTTATTCGTCTTTATGGAAGTAGCAATCTTTGTCTCAGGTTTTATTGTGCTAGCGACTGGTGCAGCAGCATTGTCACTGGTTGCTTTTATACTCTGATTGGTGATGGGTTTTGCCTTTGGAACTTCGTTTTTAACTTGCGTGTCTTCTGGCTTGTGTGGAGATTGTTTCGTATGTACAGGAATATTAACTGCTTTGCCATCTGATTCCTTGGATCCGTTATTTACAGGTGTCTTCTTTTCCTCAACTTTATTTTGTGCTGGTGTTTGCGCTTGTGTTTGTGTGCATAGAGCTAGAAAGATGAACATAATTGTACATAAGTTACATTCTATATATTTTTTATTGTATCAAATTAAACATTTTGCATTCAATTCAATATATATTCTCATTTTTCTCGAGTAATCATCTCAAGTTTTATTTAATGTTACAAAAAGATTGATCTCTCTTGAGATATATATAGTAATAATAAGATACAAATTACCAATTTGTGTATGTTTGTAATATTTGATTGTTATAGATTCTCTTATATCAAACAACAGGATTATTTGTTCAATCATTGGTAAAGAAAATAATACATTACTTACCAGGAAAATCCAAAGTTAATGGTGTGAGCTCCTGCTCTGTATGAATTTCACATGGTTGCTCTGGGGGAGGATTCTCAGGGCTTAAGTTATTATTTCTGTTGGAGTCAGTTTGCTTTACAGCTGCAGGCACATCTTGCTCAGGTTCGGTCTTTGTTACTTCAACGCCATTCGGTATCAGTTTTTCAGTTTCTGGTTCCTTCTCCACGCTACTGCCTATGTAAGATGGAGCCTGGTACACAGAAGGTCTGTGGTCTTGCACCAGACTGAGTGGTTGGCTGGGTGGTTGCAGAGTCACGTAGCTTAGTCCACTCCCTGACAAGGGTTTCATGGACCCACTATCTGATCCCGCAACTTTCTGCGCCATGGCATTCATGGGCAACATCGAGTGGCTAGTAGAAGTCGGCGATGTACCTACCCCAGGTATTGTTGATTTTAGGGCAGATGCGCTCATTTTCCACCGAAGAAATTATTCTTTCTATTTACTTATATGAAAGCAACGAAAGTATCTCTTATTATTATTATTGTCATTACTATAACCTGTTACTTTACTGTAATTTTAAATAGAAAATGCTTGACGATGAATAGTTACAATTAGTAAATAAGATAATATAAATGAGATATAAAAAGAATTGATGTTTCTAACAGGTCAGATTTAATGTTCTAAAATATTTCTATGAATCTACTGTACTGCTACCAGTTACACGGCAAATACAAAAAGAGTACCTATTACTTCTATAGTAGCAGCTCAAATACAAAATTAATCTGTGCCTGATGTAACACACATCTATGTGATTACTGTATACTTATTGTCCTATAATTATTGAAAACTAAATTGAACACATGGCACGTCCCTTGTATAACTTTCTTTGTGAACCTATCAGTGCAATTAAGAAACAAGAAAAAAGTTACAAGATAATACAAAGTTTATATAACACGATTATCATTGCTGGAATACGAAACTCCTCTGCTTCAGGGACCGATTGCCCGGGCAACATAGCGATATACAATTCAGCGACAAAGGAAACGCGTGTTTACCTCCACCGAAGAAGCGAAGGCGCGAAAGCGGGGGCGGAGTGGCACGACGGCAAGGAAACGCGGTGCGTGGCGAAAAGTGGCAAGAAAATTGAGAAAGGCGGGACGGGACAAGTGGCGGAAAGGGGGAGGGGGTAATTAAAGGAGTAAACATAAACACGGGCGAATTTTCGCGGCGAAGACGCAGCTGGAATACACTGGCGGGACCGATCCGACGAATACGGCAGAGTGCTCGCGTGCTTTCTCACCTGTGAGCCGCGGAGGCAGCCGGACAAGCGAGTGGAATCGGCCAGCAGCGGCACAGCCAAGAGTCTTATGCGGGAGGAGGTTGACCGCTCTACGTGCCAACGCACACGGTTAGCACGTACGAGGAAACGTTTGGCCGGTGAGTTGCGGACGCACTTCCTCGTCTATCATTTCACACGGCGTGCTCGCGCCATAATAAGGGATGCTTGGCGAGATCACGAAATTCAGACGAGACGCGCACTTCCGCACTTCTGCTAAACAAAACCGAGAAGTTCCGCGCTTATACGATAGCCCTGGTTTCGTACCAGCAGGAACAGGCAGGAATGCCAGTCGTTAGATGGCGTCCGTTCCCGGACGCCATGCGTAATTCAACGCGGTCTTGTTGCTGCGCGCCGATTCGCTGGCTACGAGGCTTCGTTCGTACTGCGATTTCATTGCGATCTTTCGAGGCACCACGAGAGCGCGTTCGTAGATCAAGCAGTCGTAGCTAAAGAAAGATCGTCAGACGCGCCGTCATCGACATTCGATCCCTCGCTTTCCCGGAAGTAGTATATGCGTGTATATGAAAACGTCGACTCGCTGCATCTTCGCTTTCTACTGCGTGAGATACGTGTCGTCTCTTGTACGCAAGAAATAATACAATTATACTGTGCACATGCGCTAATCAACTTTCAGGATTGATGAAAAGAAAAATACGTTTCAAATTGTCTTAAAATCCACCCATGCCAGATTTTAATTTTCGATATAATTTCAGATCTTATTAAATGTGTATGTGTAGATTTTTATCGTTTAATAATAAGAAGAGACAAAATTACGTTTTGCTATTCACTTTTGCCATTAAAAAATAAGTAACTGGTTAATTTGATGTTGTATTGTGCTACTTAAAAATAGTTTTTCGTTGAACCTAGATTTAAAATTGTCTTAAGATTATCTTTAGATTTTTCGTAACCAATGAAATAATTCATTCAGCATTTGAAGATAAACTTAAATCAATCTTACAAATATAAAATCTTAGGAACGGTATTAATAATCAAATGTATGGATTATTTATATGGATACGGAGGATTTCTGAAGATGGATTTTTAAAACAATTTTAAATATAAGATTAAACCAAGTATATAACCAAGTATCACCAGACCTGGAGAGAGAGAGAGAGAGAAAGAGAGAGAAAATCGAGCATGTAGTACGACTCAATGATAAGTCAAACGTACTTCATTAAACTACATAAGGATACATAAAATTCTACAGACTATAATTTTGATAAACAATACATATAAATAAATATTTCTATAAATATTTTACAGCTTAATGTTTCCAGTTTTAGATGTATCAAATTTTTGTTTTTTGCTAAAAATAAAAATTTTTAAGTTTCGTATCGTAAAATGATTATATTCTTAAACCATGTCATTATTTTTATAAAAGTTTCTAACTTATTACACTAGTTTAGAAATTCCTCGAAATCAAACATCCAACTTTTGAAATTCAAAATTAATATGACACCACATATTAATATATATTGTGCACAATAGCACATGTTACATCATACATTATGTGTATTTTTATTGTAACTAGTATGAAAATAATATTTAGAGCCATAGGAGCACATTATTAATAACTATATCACTATTAAAACAACTATATTACTATTAGAAATAAATTTGATATCCCCTAGTAGTTTCATGGCAGGTACATTTTGTGCTTCTTATATCCTCCTTCATTTGCTTGGTTAGTACATGTCTGAAAAATAAATGAGGGAATAAAATATAAATTTTTATATCATAACAATATAGAATAAATGGGAGAAGGGGAAGATGCAGATATATATAAAATTGATAAATATATTTAATATACAGAAATATCTTCTTCATAATTCATATGGAATCATATAACAATGTTTAACATCTTTCAAGTTTGTAAAAAGACAATGCTAAAACTTTCTTATGTTCATAACGATTAATATGTTCTGACATTTTCTTTTTTTTTGTTATACATTTTTCTTATTCTTCCAACTTCATTAGACATGGAATTTACCTGTAGTGCCAGATAGTTATTCTTCATAAGCACATTTATAAATTGGTGGCATATTGTTGCATTACTGTTCAGTTTGCTTTTGTAATTGGTAGAATGCAATGTAATTATCTTCTATTGGCATTATTATGCATATTTATGACAAAGCCTTTCCAATTGTCTTTTATCATTTTTTAATTGAATGATAATAATATACAGTTGTCTAGTTCTTAAAGACAATACATTGTTGCAAGTGATATCTTGAAAATTAGTTTTCTGTTGCATACATTTATTATTTAGTTTCACAAACATATGCACTTAATTTCTTAATGATGTTATGTCTTGTGTAGATTCTTTCTTTGTTGTTCTCCTCTCAGTAAAAATTTATCTGTCCGTTGCTATTGTGCCCTTATCTAACTTGATTTTATTGAATTTTCTTCATTTGTTTTTGTATTTTCTACATCTGTTTCTTGTGGCATATCTGATTTTCTTTCTTCCAAGTTATTCAATTCTGTTTCTGTTATATCTTCCTCATCTGATGACACATAAATGGAAGGGACAGCACTACTCATTAAAATACGTAATGAGGTAGAATATCTATAATCACTGTTGCGAAAATGTTTGTAGCATACTCTCAACTTTTGCTCATCAGATTTTTCTACAGGTATCATATTCAAATTTTTATACCATTGTAGACAACGTTTGGCATCTCGTGGAAATTTATGTGATGGTGCTTTCTTTCCAGAAGAACATTCAGGCACACAACATGCTCGTACCATCTTGATTCTATATTGTAAACTTTTCTAAAAATATAAAGATAGATTACTTTATATCTCAATATACTCATTTCACTGCACTTATCATCATTATCATTATTTTATAAAAGTAATTTATAACAGTAACAGCATTACAACTTATAAGTTATTTCCTAAGTACTTTATGCAATAATGATAAATGCACAAATATAATAACGTAACATCATAGTACTAACTGTATGTAAAAAACTTTTTATCTTCCTTTATTTCTTATATTTTTTATCTAGCTCGCAACTTGATTATTACTTATTAATTGAATAACTTGATAAATCTTCAGTAGTGTCAAAAAGTTAACAACCTCTTGCAATGGCAACACCTATTCTGTATCTATTTTCAGGATATCTTTTTCCAGATGGTACTAAAAGGCCATCACACTCACTTTCAATAAAACATAACAGTAAGGTTTCGACCAATCATGTTGCCCTATTCGGCCATCTGTAACCGTAACTATTTGAAACGAGTAACGCGATTGGTCGGAACCTTCCTGTTTTATTTCTTACGGAAGATATATGTGATCGCCTTAATACTGGTTATTTTAGTCTGGTTATTTAGTCTGGTTTAGTCTGATTATTTAGGTCTGTTCTTTTTAACTAAACTAAAGATCTATTCTTTTTAACTAAATTAAGTTGCACTTTTTGTTGTGAAATAAATATATAAATTTGCATTGAAGAAAAAAGAAACGAAATTTTAATACAGCATTAGTTCAGCTAAAAAGAACAGATTTCTAATATACGACATAACTAGTCAAACCAGCGGCACACGGTGCTTGTTTTCATGCTGGATTGCTTGCTGGATGAAAGTACTGCGTTCTGATTGGTGCATTTCCGAAAATGGATGGAAATGCACCAATCAAAACGCAGTATTTTCATTCAGCAAGCAATCCAGCACAAAAACAAGCACCGTGTGCCGCTGGCTTTAGTAGCGCTAATTGAAAAATATATGTCGTGGAATGCTATATGATTGGTTATAAAGTCACGTGTCATGGAAAATATATGCTATGAGATGTCGGTTTAAGGTCCTAGGAATAACTTTCATCAAGAACAAACCTTTTATCTCTATAGATTTTGCAAGCACTGCTGCAGCTGGGTATCCATACCCAATTAGAAACAACAGACTTGCGAAGTTGCTCTGTGATTTCGAATACGTCGTTAGTACCTTCGTTTATAAAAATTGATAAGGAATTATGATGCTATATTGAACTAATATAGTTCTATGTTATTTTGTAAATTAATCCTTAGATGTTGGAGAGAAAAAAAGCATAACATTGTAATATTTGTGTGTATATCATTTCTACAAAATAATATAACCTCATCAATATTTTATTGGGAATATATACTGTAAGATATATTTGCTATTATTGAAAATTCATCGACGAAATTTTTATATTATTTTGTAGCCAAAAGTCATAAATCTTAGACTAAATAGCACATGGAATAAAATATATTGTAAAAATTTTGTACATACTGAATCTCTATACAGTATTTATAAGTTAAACTCATATTTTTTAATAATTGAAAACCGCACTATAAACGATAATAGTTAGAAATTATTTTTATGTAAAAATGTGAATTTATTATATTTAAAATTGATCTTTAGAAGTTTGTTATAAGTGATTGAATACTATTAGTTAAAGTAATAATGCTTATTTAACAAGATAATCTTATAAAAAATCTTCAATATTTGTATATTCTATTGTATCTTGTCATTGTCTGTTTCATGTAAAATATTAAGTATATTAATTTCTCTTATAGTTATTCTTATAGGATTGCAATGAACATCCCATCGATTCAGCAACCAGGAACCATAGGAGTAGGCCAAATGGCACAGCCGGTAAATAATCAGCTGCCTCAGAATCAACAGCAGACACCACAGGCACAACAGCAGCAAGTGCAACAGCAACAGCAGCAGCAGCAGCAGCAACAACAGCAACAAACACAGGAGAAGCTGGACAATATCTCCAAAGTGAAATCTCTCATAGGACCTTTGAGAGAATCTTTAGCTATAGCTCTTAAAACTGCAGCACAGACATTGCATCAAAACAGTTTGGCAGATGTAGGATCTATAAAGGCAGTGGAACAACCTGATCATCGCTTCAATAAAAACATGGAAGAGTTCTATTCTATTTGTGACCAGATAGAGCTACATCTGAAGACTTCTGTAGAATGTTTGTCTCAGAATACGAGTTCGGTCAGATATCTACCACTGCCTGTTATACCAACACGTACTGATTCAGTTAGTGCCCCAGAAGGACCTACACTTACTTATCCTCAATTTCTGATGACTGTACGCGCGCAAGTGGCATATGCTCGTGAAATTCATGATGCTCTTGTATCTAATGCTCATGCGATAGCATCTGGTGAATGAAGTTGAATCTTAGGTTTATTAGGATGTTGATTTGAGAAAAATATTTATTGTTCATCAAGATGATATATAGAGTCAAATATAGATATAACTGTGTTGCTTCTAAAAAGAATGCTGTAACACTTTTCCTATTAATATAAAATCAATAAACCATATGTTAATATAAAATCAATAATTATGGGAAATCACATGCTTATTATGTTGTTGATGCTAATCAAGAAATATATATCTAGTAATAAGAATTTAATAGCATTTATGACAATATTAATGCATATTATAGTGATATTAAAGATTAATCTTATTTAAGCTACATGTACTTCTAATTCAGATGGTGACTCTTAAAGATTAAGTGCACATGCACACACAAATTTAGTATCAATTAAGTCGGACATCGATCACTTTGCGCAAATGGTTGTAAGGTTCAAGACTGATTACAATTTAAGAAAGCAACATGTACTAATTTTCACTGATATAAATCATTGTCATACGAAACATGAGGAACGTTCTTGGCCACCTGAGAAACTCAATTACAAAGCGAGCTTATATCGAATGCTCGGCGGCACGGTAACCGGTCAGTGACGGTATAACGCCGTTAATGTCTCTCATTAGGGTTCTATGAACGACGTCGCCCGAGGGAGACGCGATGCCGAAAGTTCGCACGTAGCCGGGGCGCGGAGAGACGGAGCGTCGTCGGCGGCGGCGGTGGCGGTAACTCGGAAGCGCGCTTATCCGTAACAGCTATCCGCTGTCGGCCGCTGCTTATTTGCGGTCACGTATAGAAACACATCGGCCAGAGGGGGCCGGAAAGGCGTGCAGGAAGCGCTACTGTCAGCTGGATTGGTGTTTCGGAGCGGCGCGCCGTACGATCATTCGAAAAGGAAGGACCACCTCTGTTCACCATATTTGGCAAACTTTCCCTAATATGGTAACGTCTACTTCTAAATATGGCAGCCGGGGACGCCCTCTCGCCGCACGCTGTACCACTGCGCGCCGTAGTCCACAGCCGAATATCGGCGCAACGGAGGAGCGCACGACCGATTAAACGGCCGGGAACGGCAATTCGGAGCCGTAGTGATTTTTCCACGTCGTTTTCGGTGCGAATCCCCGCGCCCCGGCCGCTCTGCCATTACTGCGGACTACTTTTTCACGGCGGCGGCGCGCGCCGCTGGTGGGGGGAGCGGCCGCGGCGCGCAGCGACACGCGCAGGCACAGGCGCTCTAGCACGTAGGTCAAGTTACGATATACCGGAGCGCGCGCATTCAGTTCGCGGAGAGCGCTCGTGCAGTGCGCCTTGTGTTGTCCCGTGTCGCTCTAGATGCTCGATCACGTGGGAGACACTGCGCCGAGTTCCGCACGCGATTCCGTGCACGCGAAGACGCGCCACCGTGGGGAAGGGATTAAATGTGCGCCGCGCGTTCGTAATGGACAACCCTAGCGGCGGAAGAGACGGTCGGTACGCGAGTCTCGGCTACGGCAGCATGGGGATGATCGGGAGCGATGCTGGCACGGAAATTTACGGCCGACCGTCCACCTCCCAGCTCGCCGCGGCGGCTGTGGCGGCGGCTTCTCAAATAGGCCGCGGTGGCGCCACCATGATGGCCGCCGCGGGCGCCGCGACGCCAGGCGTCGGCGGCGGCGGTGGCGGTGGCGGTGGCGGCGGCGGTGGCCCTGTGCAACGGGGTATCAAGCGCACCACGTCCGACGTTTGCTACGACGACAGTAACACGGCGCGACAGGCGCTCTCGCAGTCGCAGGGCATGTCTGGCATGCCCGGCGACTGTGTGCCCGATAATCTCGATGAGTCTTTCACGAGCCTAGGCCAGCCGAAGAAGTCACCCCCCTCGAACGGTAAGAAGACCAAGGGCCGGGTTAAAATTAAAATGGAGTACATCGACAATAAGCTCAGGCGGTACACCACGTTCTCCAAGAGGAAGACCGGTATCATGAAGAAGGTTCGTATTCCTTTGGCAAATCTCGAAAATTACCGCGAGAAATTCGCAGGAGATGATTCGCCGACGACGACGACGATGTCGTCGTCGTTGTCGTCGTCGGATTCGTGTGTCTTCTCTCCGCGCGCATCACTGTGTGTAACTCCTAGAGTGTACGGGAGCGGAGGAGAGACGAAGAAAGAGAGAAAAAGAAAGAGAAAGAGAGAGAGAGAGAGAGAGAGAGAGAGAGAGTGCAACGCGTGTTCGTTCGCTCATTCGCTCGCTCGCTCGCTCGCGCATGTGTCAAGTTGAAAATAGTCAGAGAAACATCGCGTTTCTCCGGCTGTGCCATCCGCGACGCGATAACGAACGGGACGCAGTGAGGTCTTCGAAGTCGAGTCGAGCGAACGCGTGCGCGATTTACGAGTGACAGCGCTCGCGCTCTTCCGCGCGCGCTTCTGGGGCAGGTTGTTCCAATTCCTTGGTAAGTTAACTGATAGTTAAATCACACTTTCTCTAAGTTGAAGGAGAAACAAAGACAAACGTATGATGTAACTATCGGTTAACTTACCAAGAAGTTGAAACAATCGACTGTTTGCTGACGAACTAGCACTCGGCGTGCTTACCCCGTTCAATCTTGCCGCTCGCTTTAAATCCGATCGCGATCTAAAAAGGTCAAAGCGAAGAAACCTCCTCCGTGCTGTTTTTGTCACCGAAATTATCACGCCGCGAATCGCATAATTCGTCTCGTGTCGCGTGCGCGAAAACGTGCGCGCCGAAATAAATGTTGAAATTATGGTCGCACGTGTATCGCGAGACATCGGTATTAACTTTTAACGGAATTAACTTTGCTATCAGAAATCGATTCTGCTTTCAATAACCGGGATTTTACGATCAGAAGCAGGAGTAAATTCCGCGCCGATGTTTCCTCGCGTGCGAGGAGCGCATCGAATCATATCGTGACGAAATTGCATGGAATATTGCGTAATTTTTTAATTACTTTTAAAATTGTCGAAAAGATTGTTTCAGGACGGTCGTTTATTTTTTATCGCGCTCCACGCTAAATACAAAAACTAACTTCTTTCTTTCTTTCTCTCTTCTTCTTTAAAAATATCTTAAATGTTCCTTGAAACATACATGCGTTTCTCAAGCTGATCGGGTTAAACAAAATTAGCTGCCTAAAAAAAGCGACCGCTGATTTCTTTTCGCGAAATCTTTTCTTCTCTCTTTATTTCTCTTTCTCCTTAGCTTCTAATGTTTCGCCTTATTCTCGTTATTGTAAATAAACATATTTACAACGAAAACTATACTTGTGAAAATTGGTAACATGGTACTTTATAACTCTATTTCTTTTTATTTTTACAATCTTTCGAATGTGATATTTTGACAACAACCACGGTACATTTAATGAAAATAATTCAGATGAGTATCTATTTGTCCATCGCACATTTCCATTAATTACTTGAGAAAAAAATTTCATCATCCGCCTACACCTCACGGCGTATTCAATCGGCAGTTATAGTGATTGTAAATGTTCGCGAAGGTAACTTTGTTACAAATTGTATTATAAAACTTGCACAAAACGCGCTAGTCATTATTAACATATTATATCTCATTTTTACCGAGACGCGCATGAAACGCGGTAAAATAGCGTGTATGTGTGTGTGTATGTGGAGTATGCGACACTTTGATATTCTTCCAGGTTTAATTGCACACAGTATTCTTATCCGCGAAGGTAATTCCGATCGTAACAACAAAGTATTACGCATTTCCCAAGTATTTCTTCAGCACTCAGTAGCTCGATAATTGCGAGATTCTTCTGGCGTGGAATGATATCGTGCCTATAAATGACATCGATTTCTTTTATCAGAGGTGGCTATTGTATATGTCGTTCTGTATAGACCAATTCTAGCTGCATATATATATGTGTGTGTGTGTTTTCATTCAGTCCGAAGGAATCACATAGATGTCCAATATTGATTTATTAGCGGGATCGGGCGTTTTTCTCTCGCGTTTTTATTAGCGTCACTAAAGCGGCGTGAAACTCCATCTAAAAAATAGCACGCGTCGTTGAAAGGAGTATAAATATATGATACAGTCAATTATCAGCGCTGTTTACAGCGCTTATTAGCCTCGAAAACCGGCCGCTTCTGTCTCGATGAATATTTACAAGCGTGGAAATGTTGCAAGGGACTTTCCATATATGCGCGTGTATCTCGTGCAGGACGAAGTAAACTCCGGTAAGACAGCCATAGGACTGTAATTTCTTTGTGAATGAGTCATTCTTGTAATTGATATTTTTTTTATATTGATTTTTATATGAGATAATTGCTATTTACACAGTAGTTTATGTGCATACGCTATTCGAAGCTGATGATAACGTGAATATTATATCGTGGCCATCTTACCCGAGTTCGCCCTGTATATCTCGCACGTTCTATCATTTTATCGTTGAAACGTTATCCGATCATCACGTGATGCTGTTTAAACGGCATCAGCAGCATATTATTCGCACATGAATAATCTTCTTCCCGTTTTCCGCGTTAATGGGGAGTTCTTGCAATACCGTCTCTCAGATACGGTAAACGTAAATCGGGAATACTATATTGGTCGCGTACATTGCAATGTTATCTCTGAGCGAATAATGTTTACGTTTACCTTATCGGAGAAACGGTGTTGCAAAAACTCTCTAGTACCTGATATTTCCTCGTTAACGTTGAGCGATCGTGATCCAGCGAGTTTCACCAAGCTTGCTCCGTATGATTTCTCGACACGGAAGGAACATCGGAGATATGCCAGTCTCTTTCTCTCTCTCTCTCTCTCAAATCGCTTCCCGATTTCGACGTTATAAAATATCCGGCCGTGAGATAAGATTTGTTCCCGTCGTATCGCGGCAAAATCGGACACGAGGAAGCGCGCGAAGGAGGGACCAGCACGCGAGTCGAACGCATGAGTGAGGGGTGAGGGGAAGAGGGAGTGGTGGTGATGGTGGTGGTCGAATCTAATGATCATCTAATTGTCTAACGAAGACGCTGATTTCTCGCTTACAGGCGTACGAGCTGTCGACGTTGACCGGCACTCAGGTGATGCTGCTGGTGGCTAGCGAGACCGGACACGTGTACACGTTCGCGACACGCAAGCTGCAGCCGATGATCACGAGCGAAGCCGGCAAAGCGTTGATCCAGACATGCCTCAACAGCCCGGACCCGCCACCCTCGGGCTCATCTGGCGACCAGAGGATGTCGGCGACCGGTTTCGAGGAGACCGAGCTGACGTACAACATCGCCGACGACGAGCAGAAAGTAAGGCAACTGGTGTACGGCTCGCAGCACGGTGGCACGCTGCACGGCGGCTATCCGACCGGGCCTGGTAGCGGGCCAGCGGGGGGCCCGACGGGGCCCCATCCGCCGCCGCCGCCTCCGCCGCCACCGCCGCCGCCGGGTTCGCAGCACGCGCCACCCTCGCACGCGCAGCACGCGCACCTGATAGCGCACGCCCATGCGGCCTCGCCGAGTTCGCACCTCGTGCCGTGCTCGAGCCCGGGACCCATGCTCGGCGCGGGCCCTTATCAGCAGTCCTGCCCCTCACCCCTGCCGCCCCATCACGCCGCATATCATCCCCATATGTCGCACTCGCACCCCCAACGGTAGTACGCGCTCGCCTCCCGTTGCACATCGCCGTCGTCCGGTCATGTCATTCCGTTTTACGCTCTAGATTAGATTCGCCTCTCGTCAGCATCGTCGTCGTCGCCGTCGTCGATGTCGCGTCGGGTCGTCGAGTTTTCGCGGTGTCGTCGCCCGCGAGGATCTTACGCGAGACATGTCGTCGTCGTCGTCGTCGTCGTCGTCGTTGTCTTTGCTGCTGTTACTGCTTCTTCCTGCATCTCGATTCACGATGGGTTCAGCAGGCTTTAGTCCTTGGCCCGAAACTGTGATTTCAGTTCCGGCTAGAAGCGCTCCCCGTTACTGCCTGAATCCTTAAGCTTTGAGCGAGCTTATCAGATGTCGAGGCAACGTGGGAAATGTTTCTTATCAGAAATTGGTTGCGTTCAGAAAATAAAGTGCTCACTGAGCGATTAGTCATTATTGGTCTTTTGGTCCCATTAGATTTTTACATTCAATTAGATTACTGATAACGTTGACGAAGTTTACTCAACCGTTGTGCAACTGTTGTGTCCTCTGAACGCAGCCATTGTAAGACTTGGAGTCAACGACTAAAGATTTACTGCACTTATCGTAGACCGAGCCTTGGGACTTGCATCCAAAGTTTAGAATTTCGCTCCAAGCGATTGGCCGGATATAAAAGTTACTTGCTGCAAATGTTAGCTTTTTGCAGAAAATTCTAGTAATTTTCACATCTGGCCAACCACGCGGGTCGACCTCTCGTCGATACTCGCGTCGATTCCGTTCGATTATTCGACGGATTCGAAAAGGTTTTTACGGGAAATCGAAAATCGATATTTTTAGCTCTGATCCTTAAAGCGCGAATGGTGCCTACAGGCAGTTGACAAACCTATATATATATATATATATATATATATATAATTTAAAAATATATTGGCTTTAAATTCTTCACGGAGATTCCCGTGAGCTCATCAAACAACCGCAGCAGTTTCGACGGTAGAATTACCCGCTCTCTGAAGTGTATCAGTAAAATCACTCTGAAAGGACCAATTAGTAATGGCGGCTGTTCGATGTAGTTGACGAACGTGGATCGGACACGAAAGAAATCGCGCAAGGTGCATGGAAGCCGCCGGAGTTCCATCGCCGCAAACGCGGGCAGTCCGATTTTGCGGGCAGCGTATGACGAATTCGTGTACCAATTTCGCTATGCCATCTTGCATTTTGACCTCCGAAATGAGCGAGATACGAGGCGGAGGAGCAAAGCGAGACGCGCTTCCCGGGGAAATCGGTGGAAACTTAGCGGCTACAATACTAGCTTGATCGCCGTACCAGCGGCACACTTTTGTCGATTCACTTTGAGAGCGTGGTAGTTTGACCCGAGTCTGTGTGACTTCTTCGATCGCACCGAGAGGAAGAGCGAGGAAGAAGAAACGAAACGAAAGATCACACCGACGACATCGCGACGTCGAGTCACGCGTCGATTTAAGAGCGAGAAAAAACTCGCGGAAGGACGATCGGCGATAGTAACATAGGCGGTTTCGCAACGACGTCGTCGATTCGTCGCGTTTTTAATTTTTAATCATTTCGCGCGTTTTCCCTCGTAAGTATTTTAGCGCACGTAGTTTCTCTCTGGGTGTCGTACATCCACTCTGACGTAATTTTTCTGCGGACCGCTGTGCATTACTCGCGGTCGTTCGTACGGCGGTAGACAAACAGACAGAGAGAGAGAGAGGGAGGAGGGGAATCTCACGTATTTATTAAATTTATATACGGTGGGCATAATAGAAATCAACGAGCGAGCGAGCGAGCAACGATCGAGTATTCTTCGGCGTCGGTCGTCGTGTGACGTAAGTGATCGCGCGCGGCCGATTCCGCGCGCAAATCTAGTCCATTCGAACACGTACTTAAATATTTAACGCACGCGCATATATCGTGTCCGCGTATATCGGCGCGCACTTCCCGACGACTTTGCGTCGTCGCGCGCGGAAGGGATTTCGGGAGCGCGTTTATCGCGGCGTCGTTGAGGCGGGAGGACGAATAATACAGCTCGGGATGTTCGCGAAGGGCGAGAAGGGACGAAGCGTGGTGAGACGGGAGGTGACGGGCGGCCGTCGTCGTCGAGAGAAGCCGAGCCCCCGGTGATCGATGATCTCGGGGATGTCCAGAGATGACTGATCGAGAGGCGGACTGTGAAACTCGACGGAACGGTATCGGTCTCGTCGTTCGACGCGTCGTCGCTCTGCGGTGAGCCGTACGTGCCAAGTCCAAAGCTCGGGTGTACTTGATACAATCGACGCGAGTCGGCTCGTGCGAGAGAGAGGAAAAGTATCTTTGTTAATTAATTATGCTGTAAGTTAAACGTAGAGCGTAGCTCATACGGTAAATTACTCGAGCGCGCCACTTGACGTTCGTCCGTTCGTTCAACAGTTTTCTTCTCTCTCTCTCTTTCTCTCTCTCTCTCTCTCTCTCTCTCTCTCTCTCTCTCTCTCTCTCTCTCTCTCTCTCTTCCCCTCTGATCTTTAATACTCTCTCATTTTCTTCTATTTAACTTACACGTATTTATTGAGCCGCGAGTTCATTGACATTTTCCGACGTCGAGGTTTCTTATTTATTCGGGAAGACGAACGAAACGTGTACATATTGTTCTGTAAGCCGACGTTGATCGCAATAGACGGTTGATACGCTCCTCCTTTCGTCGGTCGTTCATAATCGTGTAATCGTGAATATATCGCGTTTGCGGATGCATCGCGAGGTAGGATCGACGACAGAGTTCTCAAAAGGAAACGATCTTCTCCGTTCGTCCTACCTGCGGAGGTGCTTTAAGGACTCTCAGTCTCAGAAGTCAGACGGTATTCGGTGTTCTACTTCTTCACTGCGTAAAGGGAGGCGGGGGGGGGCGTGTTGCGAAGAAGCCGAGACAATCAGTGGCGTGGGTGCGAGACCGGGTGCGAATCTCCGGCGCGGTGCACGCTTTGAAAGTATTGTTGCGCATTTTTTTCTCCGAGCATCGTTGTGTCCACTTCGTTGTTTTTTCTCCCTCCCTCCCTACCTCCCGTCCGCCGATCCCTGTCCCTCCTTCTGTGCAAAGTGTTTGTACCGCAAGTGGCATGCGTAGTATCTTGGAGATTGTTTTTTTTCTCTCGTAGAATAAGTAGCTAGTATTTAGACTATTTCTTAATTTAATCCCCCCTCCGCATTTCCCCGTCCCTCACCCAGCGAGACACACCCTCCATCCATCGACATTGTGCATGCGTATGTGTGTATGTATTGTTTGTTGATAATCTGTATTATATACCGTGTTGGAAAGAAGTGAAAGAGACCGCCTAGAGCAGCAAGTGAAGCGGGAATGGAGATATAGAGAGGAGAGCGATACTTCTTTATGGATCCGATCAAATAGATGTATAGTAACTATAATCTGTCCCCCCCTCCCCCCCCCTTCCGCGTCGACATTGCAGAGTACAAATAATAATTACAATGATAATACAATCTTAACGATAATCTGCGAGTAAAATGCGGCTTCCATGACTAGTTTGTATCTCGTAATGTTTGTACATACAGCGTAACTGTAAAATACTGTGATAATATTTATATATTTTTACGCAATACACGCACACACAATACACACGCATACATATACATACACATACGTACTCGATACACACAACCTCCTTCGATAATATAGTCCATACGATTATTATAGTCGGTCGAACCTTATCACTTGCGCCGATAGACTTCCATTATGCTCAACATTGTCGATGTCACGTTTCGCAATCGCGGTAACCAGGTGCCAGGTAGGTATCTCCAGAAATTGCTGGAACTTCGCGACTTGTACTCGTGCAAACAATACAACTCCCGCAGCTGACCAAGGGTGTCCCTTTCGAGATGGAGTGGCACGCGCCGCTCGGAATTTCAGATATCAATGAATGGCGACTTCCGCGACAGAATCCACCTCTGACTGCTTGACTCGGGATATACTTAGATTAACGATTCAGAAACGTTCCGTGAAACGTGCGTGAAAGAGAAAGAGAGACTCATGCTTCATTTCTGAGCATCGTTCGTGAAATTCGTGAGAACGAAAGAGGTGCGCAAGGTAGGTTTGCGTTCCGAGATCGAACGAGAGAAGCTCGATCTGATAATCGCGACGGCGACGTCGTGTCGATGAGAGACTAAGTTATCAAGGCGGTGAAAATCGCCCGAGGGAAAAACCGATCGGCAAGATGGCGTCGCTACTTAATTCCATTATGCTTGTGGTGAACGCGGGTAATCGTAATCGCACAGTCTCCACTTCCGGTCCACGGAAAACGTCCGTAGAGTAAGACTAGTTAATGCGTACGCAAATTATAAATATTGTATTTTAAAATACAAAACGATGATGACATGCGTTTGTTGTACGTCTTGATGATTTCATTCTCGCGGGCCGTGAAAAGAGCGCTCTCGGAGAGGGCGAATAATCGTCGCGCTCGTGCGCGCATGACACGTGTGAAGCGCGTGTGTCCTGCGAGGAAAACCGTTTCTCCTTCCCGCCCCACCTTCAGCGTGCGCGCACAGACGCACAGACCGAGAGGGCACCGAACGACGCGCGTGTCTGCCACGATGAGATCGTTCTACATTCCGCGTCGCAAAAAAGATGCCCCGCTAACGAGCGGGTTTATCAGGTCGGTGAACGATCTACGCTCGGGACGCGCGAATAGCCGGCGGCGAATCTTTTTTCCACGTCTTTCACGAGGATAGATCTTCCAAGGGGTTGCCCTCTTCCACCATTCGCGGCTCGGACTCGGTGATCGGTAGATGGCGCCTCGAATGAGGGCGCGCGATCGCCCTCGGTACCGGAAGCGGCGCGGAGCTTGTGGTACCGGAGGAGCCCGGGAAGAGGATCCGAGGGAGCGCGCGAGGTCGAAGTACGATTTATCATTTAACGGCGTAGCGACGTCGCTCGACAAGTGGCCGTTGGATCGTCGGGGTTGCGGACGAGGAAGACGCGTGTCCAGGTGTACCCGCGGCTTTCGCACGCGCGGAGAGAGAGAGAGAGAGAGAGAGAGGACGAGAGAGCGCGACAGTAAGGGAGAGGGAGAGGGTGAGGGCAAAAGAGAGACCGAAAGAAAGGTGGAAAGAGAGAAAGGAACAGCGCGAACAGGCCCGAGAGATGCCCCTCGAAGAAGAAGAGAGAGGCCGCGTATACGCACGCACGCACGCACGTACGTACGCGCGGGCACGGAAGGTGGAAGCGGAGTTCCATATACGGTCACCTTTGTCAAAGCCCGGTTGTCGCCATATACAGGCAATGTTCACGATGGCAGACACTTATATAGAGTCCGACTTAAGAGTCAGGAATGTTGCTTTTTGTCGCGCCTTCTCTACCGCACGCACGCTCGTGAACGGTAGATGGTAAATGGCGGGGTAGGAAAGGCGGCGGGCGAGCCAGCAGCAGCAGCGTCGTCGTCGTCGTCGTCACGACCGCGGGCCTTTCGAGCTTTCCGATTGGTACCGCGACCGCCCTCAACGGCGACGACGACGACGACGACGGCGGCGGCGGCGGCGGCGGCGGCGGTGCTCTCGCTCCCTCGCGAGTGACTCGCCGGATGAAACGGTAATTAGCACAGATGCGGCGTCGGGAAGCTCGTCTCGGACGTGATTCGGCAGTTGCACGCGCGACATCGCGGTCTTCAAGGTACACAGTTGTACGCACTGTTTTTTAGCGCGACACACAGCGGCGAGACTCCTGCGACGGCCGCGAAAGGTGCCGAATGCGTTTAATCCGCCGCTGTCGTCACGCAAACGAGTCTCACGGGCTGCGGACTCTGCGCAAATAGTAACCGCTCTCGTCGACTAGGGAAGAAGCGCCAAGGGGAGAAAGTCGCGTCGCCGAGAGGCGAGGAGCATCGAGGGCCGCGCGAGTAAATTCGCGAGAGTCTCCTCTGCGAGTATACCATGAGAGGAGTCTGCGAGATGGCCATATAAGGAGCGCGAACAAGCTCGCGCATCTCTCTCTCTCTCTCTCTCTCTCTCTCTCTCTCTCTCTCTCTCTCTCTCCCTCTCCCTCTCTCTCTCTCTCTTTCTCTCTCTCGCTCCCTCGCTTTTTCTCTCTCTGCTAGATAGGTAGGTGGGTAGGTAAACATCGAGTAACATTACATCGATGCTGTAACTTCTCGGTCAACGATGCCAGTGTAATACAAAGCATGTTGTGTACAACAATTACATCGTCGAGTGGGGAGTCGCGAGGCTGATGTAACGTTACCGTTATTCGATGGGTTTACTGGGTAGCTGAGTAGGTAGGTGGATAAATAGATGGATAGGTAGGTGGGTTCACACACGTACACGCGCATATATACATACGCACGCGCACACACACACACACACACACACACACACACACACGATGATAAGTACATTTTCTGTCGGTGCGTTTACTCGTTGTTCGGACCGTCAACCGGGACCGATCCGTCGCTACATGAGAAAAAGTGGACGCCCGCTCGTTCACCGGTTCCCAGCTTGCCCCTGCCCCCTCCCCCTCCCCCCGTCGTCCCCCAATAACCACGCGCACTCATCGCAATTTTCGATAATCCAAGCTACCGCTTCTTCGTTTCAGGAGGATGGCGCGTCACCCAGATCCGACGTTTGCGCCAATGAAAGCGACGGTGACACCAGCGACGGCGACTCTCCCGTCGTCTCTAAGGACCTCGCTAAGAGCAGCCACTCGGGTGAGTCTCAACTCGCGCGACTGTCGTGGATGCGAGCACTTGTTTTCTTTTTCTTCCTTTTCTTTTTACCTGCGCTTGCATTAGAACGGCCGACGAAATCTGCTCTCCCGTCTCGACGAGGACGAAGATTGTCACGGAGACGGGGATGGATGTGCATTATGTCGGCTAGATCTGGAGCAGATTTGGTCGTGCCGAGTACAATAGCTTCAAGCTAAGATTTTATGCCGGACGATCGCGCCGATTTTGTTTGTCGCATTAGCCCGAGCGGAAACATCCGTTTAGCGACGTGAAGCTACAACGTGTTGCGTTACTCCATTTCTACATCTCGCGAAACGATTCAGTTCCCATTCGTTCCTTAATTGAGCAAATTGCGACGACCGAATGCGCGCCTTCATGTGCAGATCCTGCCGACGTGAGACTCGAGCTTTTCTCGCTTCAAAAAAGAAATACATGTATACATACATATCTTTGTCTTTATATCGCGCTGTACACGAGATCGAAATTGACACTTGAAAAAGAAAAGAAAAGAGAGAGAGGAAGATTCTCAAAACGTCAAAGTCGAGTGGCAGCTTCGCGGGGCACCCACACCGTCCTCCGCCGCGTCCAATTATCGGCGATACCATTCGTGTCGCGGCTGACCCCATCGCGCGCTGATAACGAACAGCTGTTCGGCCGGACAGCTCGCGTAGCTCAGGTAGGTGAATAGAGACAGGTATAAACACACACCGGTGGCGGCGGATAGACGCGAGAGGGAGAAGATAGATAGAGAGAGAGAAAGGAAAGAAAGAAAGAGATAGATAAACAGTGTAGAGGAGGAGGAGGAGGAGGCGGTGGGATACGGAGAGGAAAGAGGGAGCAGAGCGTGAGAAAAGGTGGGAGGGCGGAGGAGGAGGAGGAGGTGACGAAGGAGGGGCGGGAGGGGGGGGAGAGAGGACGTTTAAAATGCGAAAGGCGTGCGAGCGATGACGGGGTTATCCGTGTAGGGAGTCCGTAAGGAGTCGGCACGACCGGCGATGACCAAACTTAGACGACAACGCGCTGCCTAACTGGGAAGTAGGATCCGGTCGAAAGCCGCTCTCCGTCGGGGCTACCGATGCAGGTGTACACATAAATATCGATGCTAATGTGTCGCGTAGATGCCATTCGCCGTGCTGCCGATCGCCGCGCGGCGCGCGATCGGACGCGCTTTTTTCTCGCGATTCGCCGGCCGGCCGCGGCCGCGCGCTCGTCATCGTCGGCGATGTCCTCGTCGCCGGCCACGAATTCGATCGTATCGAACGCTTATGCCTCGCTGCATCCGAACTGCAGCGGCGGACAAGTGTATCTGTGTGTGTGTGTGTGTGTGTACGATATATGTAGATATATATGTATACGTACATCCCTGCGGTATAACGAAGGCGCGTGCGAGGTCTCATTAGTATGGGATCTCGAATGGATGATGGACATGCTTGCGCGAGTCACATTAATTAGGTGCGAGCATTTCTCCGGAGGGTTATTGCGCACGGAGCGCATACGAGAGAGAGAGAGAGAGGGGGAGGGCCTGTTGTTGGTCTGTTTTGCCCGTGCACACGGTCGTTCTTCGAGATCTGGCTTTCGGACGCGCCATTTGACGGACTTCGCGCTGACTTGGATGATGATATACGCGGGGAATTTTCCGAGAAGATATCGGCAATCGTGCGCTGAGAAAGTACCATAGCTACACACTCACAGTACCCCAAACATTTGAAGACAGAGGCTCATATTCTGTACTCACTGTTTCATCGTGTCAAAAAGAACTATAAAAGTGGCTTGTAAGCCTCCTGATTCCGAGCCATTTTTAGAGTCACTTTCAGTGATGAAAGAGGCTTCAGAATATAGGCCAGAGTATTGTACGCGCGGTATAAATTTTCATGTCGTAGAATCAAGACGACACCCGCGCGCGGACTGTTAATTGATTGTTACAATAAATATATAAATTTGCACTTTTTTTTTACGTGGATGTGTCCCAGTCACGCGAGACAGTGTATCATTCAATAAAAATGTTCTCCTCGTATTAACGCGCGCTGGTCAAGAAGGACGAGTATATTAACGATGCCTTTGTGAAGGCTGACAGATTCATAGCTGTGCATACGAGGAAGTATTCAGCCGCAGGAAATATAAATTTTTTTTCTGGGCATTCAAAGGCACGTGCTAACACGAGATAAATTACGCTTTATCCAGGCGAAACTTGACTGGCACTTTAATCCAGTAGACGATTAAATATCGAGTAATTATCACAAACAGAGATTGCAGTTTCAATTAACCCACCGGCTTTTTGGCGAAAATGAAAATCAACTGAGATAATGTTAAAATGACGAATGTCATTAAAATGATGAATGCTGTTAATTTCAGAAGTGTGGAACAGTCTTATTATTAAACAAGTTACAGATTGACGTTCTATGTAACATCTTGTTTGAAATAACAATAATTGCTTTTGACCCATAAAATATTTTAATTTAATTTATTAATAAATAAATATATTAATTTGACTTATTTCAATTTTTTCATATAGATTTTTCTGTAAAATCTGTATGCATCTACTACGCTTGCCAACCTTGTGTAATCTTTGTCAATCTTTATAAAATATCCATTTTTAATGCGCAAATTTATCGGCCCGAAACATTCGAGTAACAGCTATACAAAATAGATGATTACGAACCACAAGTCTATTTATATAATTGTTACGAAGGACTATAAATTCCAGGATCATTCTACATCCGCGGTGTGTGTAAGCTTTTGCGCAAAAAATTGCATTCATTATTTTAACATTGACTCGGTTAACGCTTAATTGCGCCGAAAGCCTCTCGGATATGTTCATTTGGAAGCCTTTCACCGAATGCCAAGAATCACAGCATGGAATTTTTCAGAATTACATGCCGAATGAGTATGTTTTTAAAATCCTTGTCCTTTCTGTAATTAAAATAATGTCGGAATACTGCTAAACCGGTTTTCAGTAAGTGATCTAACGACCAGCAGACGCAGGGATTGTTTCTCCTCTCGGCGCTTTCACTCCATGAAAAGTTACCGTATTTTTCAGAGAAACATGCATGTGTAATGCGGTAATTTATGTTAAATAGGAAATACGGTGAATCAGAGCGCAGTCTCGCACTTGGGTGGTCTGGATTCGAGTCGCCTCGGCCGTCATTCCTAAGTTTTTCCATAGCGACGCACCTACATCCGTAGCAAGCGGGAACGAGTTTAGCGTTATGTTGCGAACGATAAATCCCATCATTTCGGTGTGTAGACACATCGTGCTCGAAGCCTCTTCATCCTCATTTGTATCTTTGCATTTCCTAACCATTGTCAAACACGTGACACGACACGACACGAGACAACACGACGATCGACCGGCCGAGAAGTGTCGGTCCCTTCTCGTCAATTTTCGTTCGTCAATTTGTCAATTCGTCGCATCATACCGCGATACATCCGAGCCACCAAAATCCGACGTACATTCGCTAACGTTTACTAACACTCGCTGCGAACACTCGTGCGAAGAAGCGCGATTATGAATTCTCTCGACACACGTCGGTGCTCGGCGCATACAGCTACTATCATACATGCTCTCAATTGCTCTTTGGTTTCCTAGGAAATGTGCCTTCGTTCTCTGCAGGGATTATGTACCAGATGCCTCAGAGTGTCATTTATTCGCCCAGTCCAGGGGTCTTGCTCGGCATAGGACAAAACGGGCAACCGGTGCAAATATCTCAGGACGGAGGTAGGTTTCTTCTCGCCGCCGCGGAGAACGCGGACTTTACGTAACGCACGGCGCGGCGCGGCGCGCGCGTTTCGAAACATCCTCGCGCGCTCGCGCGACTCTTGAATTTCGCGTACGCGCGATCTAACGACGAAGGATACGGGAGCAAATGGAAGAAAGAAATGGTCCATTTCACGCTTGCATATGCAGGCGCGCACTCGGTCTTCTTCTTGGATAAGACTCGCGGAAATCGCTCGCGCGCTTCTGCGGATGCGTCTGAATCACCAGCGACGTCCGGCGAATATAATTGCGCGTCAGGCGCGAGATTGTGACTAATAATTTTGCATAATGCTAATAACCGGCCACCTGTAATGTCACCGATAATGCGAAAATAAATGCATAGCGCGCGCGCGCGCGCACGCGTGTCGGCGCGCTCGGGGGAGAAGCTTGCAGGAGAAGCGCGAACGGATCCTTTGCTGTAATTCCACCATTAGAACGGTCTGCAATAGGTAATATTACTATATTACCTTGTTATTTATTATTACAAACCTATCGATAATATTACTGTACATAAGTCCTTAGTCGTTTGCTCTAAGGATGACCTTCAGCAATTCTACACCCAAAAGAAAGTATTCTATTTGTAAGGTGATTTTTCCCATAGTCTCATATTCCAAGCGAAGCCTTTTACAGAAAAAGGATTCTTCTTTCGACAAAGCGATTAAAATCTTTCCTTGAACCATTCATCTAAAATTTATTAGATATTATTCCAACTGTTTCCCTCTTATTTCAAGAGGATTTTTTTCTTATATCAATTAATTCCTCTTATATGAAGAGAAATATGTTGATTTGAATGTCGGCTTCTTTTGTTCAGTCATGCTCTACATCCAGACATGAACGAAAAAACAACCATATGCTCATGGGTCAGAATATTTGGAACGCTTTTTAAGAAAGGTATGTGTGTTGCTGTGACATATAACGAAGATAATTTATCCGAATATTTGGTCAAGTACAGTTTATAATCTATTGCAAGAAGTTAAATAATATATTCTTTCTTTTAATTATGTTTCATACAATTGGTGATGATGAACATCTTTGTAGCTATGAAGTCCATAACAAAACTGATTGGAAATTTGTTTGTTATGATGATCTTGTTTCATTCGTGCCTAGTTATTGTAGAACTGGGGCCAGAAGTACATCTATATGTATATATATATATTACTTTTCGCTATACATTATGATAATTTTTTCAAATTAACTAGTATAACCAGTAAGAATAAAGTACAGTAAGAATAAATAATAATCTTAAAAAAAGATTAAATAATCTACGTACAAGAGAAAATTTATATTAAAATCAATAAAATTTGCATTATATAATAATCCCTTTAACTTTAAAAATAATGTGTTTATAATATTTTCCTCTTAATCTTCGAAAAGAATCCTCTTGAAGCCGTATATAAGAATAAAATCCCCTAAAATTTAGATTATTCCGCTCGTTCTGAAATTACTTTTTTTTGGGTGCAGTTAATTTAACCAACTCGAGTCATTAGGATTACCAACATGGAAACTAAGGGTGTCCTTTTTCGGGCAGCATTTCGGGAAACGCTCTTAGCCGAAAATAAAGTCGCTGCTTAGAACTTACAGCAAAAGGCTAAGGCTTGCTACAGCGATCGTAGATCGAGAGGAGAAAAGAGTAAAATAAAGAGAACGAACGAAACAATTGTCCACGGAAGGATCGGATGGGAAAAAAAAGAGAGAGACGTCGGCGCGAGGCGTTTTCCGCAGTAGTTCCGCGACTACGGTGTGTCTCATTTGCTTTTCCCTTGCGGCTTCCTTATAGGTACAGTGGCATCGGTGAACTCGTCGCAATCGAGCCAGCCGTTCATCACGATACCATTAAACGTCGCGATGAGCGCGGCGGGATTGTCCTTACCGGTGACCTCCAGGATGACCTTATCGTCGCCGACCGCGCGATCGCCCACGACGGCGTTGTCCACCTGCGACTTGCCGTCCGATCTGAGCAAGGATCGGGAGTAACCGCGAGCGGCCGCTGCCTGCGAGGAGGATGATCTGACTCTGCGAGCTGGCTCCGCTCGCTCTCTCGTTACCATGGCCGGAAGTCATCGCGCTCGCGAGCGCGTGCGAGCGAATCGTCATGCGGAAGCAACGACCTGCGAATATCTATCTCGACGCTTGCCGGACTCGCGAACCGGATGACGTCCGGCAGGTCTAATGTCGAGCAGGACGAGCAGCATCGCTATGAGCCTGTCCTGCTATCGTGAGTGGGATTCTTCGCCCTTTTTCGCGCTCTTCGGAGCATGGACGTCTTTATTACACTTCCGTATGAGAAACTACAATCGACAGATGATGATAATAAGGACCTGCGGAAACAATATTCACGCATTTCTCTTTTCGCCAATGCGAGGTTGCGAATATACAGGAGGAAGGAAGATCTCGTCTCGTGCACGGGAAAAAAGAACTCGGTTCGTGTAACTGAACAGAGCGCGCATGGGATCTTCGTTATTGTGACTGAAGATGTTCAGTCTGAATAGCTAGCTGCATTGAGATAACTGGGGGCAAGTCTCTGACAAAAATCTACCTGTTCTCATAGCCGAATTCTCTCGTCCGGTCCCTAGGCGACGGGAAATTTCGGGAAGTTACGCTAACGGAGTTTTGTTCCTTCCTCCGTGTATGAGTGCGAACAATTATAATAGCGAAGCAACAGCGACGCTTCTCTGCCAATGCAGCAAATCGGATAGATCGAGGGTCGAATGATGAATGAGCTTTTCGCTAGTCAAGCGCAGAACGTGATCGCAAAATAAGAGAAACGGCGGTCGATGCGTGCACGACTACTTTAACAACGGAAAAAGATCTCGGTTCGTGTAATCAAACGGTGTAACCAAACGAAAGTTCGGTGACGAGAAACGCTTCCTATAGACTTCTATACATAGATCGAGCGCTTTCACAAGAGGCTGCAAAGACTTAGTTAGATATATTCCTAGAATGTCCTGCCGGTACAAGTATTCGATCTTTGGGCAGCTGTGACTCCTCCTATTGAGGCACTCTGTATAACTTTCTTCAACAACAGGAGTCAAGCTAGGAAAAGGTCGTGGATACGCTCGTGGATAATGGAAAGGCGGCACAGCTACCTTTCAAATTTCATCTTCAGACACTTCTTGATAAGAAGTATATGTCTATCTATCTAAATCTATGCTGTTGCCGCCATCGAAAACACCCGTTTGAATATTTGGCTGCACTCAAGATTTGGGGGCGGTTGACTGCGTGTGCATTATTATTGTAAATGACTACCAGATGTCTGAACTTCCTCCTAATCCAAAGCCAATTTCCAATCAACTAGGAATCTCTTACAGGAGTCTTTTTATTTGGTTAAATGATATAATTTTTCAACGCTACAACCGAGTTTCCCTTTCTACTGAGATAAAAAATTAGTCATTGTCGGCGCCGATTGTGTCATCTTGTTTTAACAAGAAAGTAGTAATCGCAGTATGCGTATAAAAATACCCTACAGTAGCATTTATAAAAAAAAATGCACTTTTCCTGGCAATAGTTCCTTCAAGGGTGCGATTACAGATGCAAATACCAAAAATTCCCGGTGCGGCCTCCAGGCGGCAAAAATTCGGTCAGAGGAACCAGGCTTTCTTTTGTGCATTAGATCGTGCAACTTTCCAAGAACAAAGCCGTGAGAAATGGAAAAATCCACGCAATCAATTCCACGAATCTAGCGTAACACGTGTAAAGCTTTCGAGCAACGGAAATGTACAACTTTTCACCTTTCACTCCCTTTCTGCCTTCTGCTCCCAGGGAAAAGTTGCACGATCACCGTTCAGATCGATCGGACATTTCGCGAGCACGGGCGATCGCCTGGCGAGCAAGCTCGTCGTTTTGTCTCGTAGATGCGATGTTATGTTTAATGCGCGTTGAGGTAGAAACACGCGCGTACTCGCCGGCGTTAGACGGCCGAATCTGCTCCGCTGGCGAGCGTCCAAGTACGCGGCAAGTGGGCAGTGTGGTTTAGTCAATACGTTATTCGGGCATTCGTCGATCGTTTTGTATCAAGGAATAGAAACTTGAACTTTCCTCGAGCGCGATATATATGTCGGTGACATCCCACCCCCGAGCTCATACTATCGTAACGCTAGCGATCGCACTTATAAATACCCGACGCCCAGAACGGAAAAATGCGGTTCCGCGCGCGCTAGAGACGAACTTCGGTAGCGCGTGTGTGTGCGCGCCGAGAACGTTCACTGCCAATTATGAGACTGACACCGCGTGTATAAAATGCAATATCCGTCGCGCTCAAACGGCCGCGTCGCGTTGCTTTTCGGCATGCCGGGTGGCTCCACTCGCGTAGCCCCGCACGTAGCGCGATTATTGCAAACTCATCATCACACCGCGACATATTCGCCGTGCAATGTCAACGAGCTGTCCGAGGGGAAAGAGGAGAAGATGAAAAAACCGCAAACGGCATTACGCAGGTGCGCGCGATGCGGTCGCGCCGCGGTAAAAAGGATCGCGTGCGTCACCTCCTTCGAGGCAGCGCGAACGACACTTGTGAAAATGGATGGCTATCCTCCTCCGGAAAGTTTTTGTCCGAACGATATTATCTCGTCGAAACGCACGTTGGCGATAACGTCGTTAGGTGGGAAACGCAGGGAACTTTTTTTCCGGGCTGGCGATAGTACGGATTAAAATTGTCGCTCGTACGTGAGTCTTGTCTACAATTGTGGAGATGCATTGGGCTTCAAAACCGTTTGGGCAGTTCTTTTTTAACCCTCTGCACTCGGAGCCCTCTCGCGCGTTACCTACCAACAGCTCGGCGGCACCTTCGTAGGAAAATGTGCAAACAAGAATCGCGTCATATTAAATAGTGCAGTTTTGAAAGCAAGTAATTTATTGTAATGATATTTGTTTTATATGAATCTTTAGACGTTAAGGAACATATTTATGACAAAAAAATCAAATCATTTCATATCTTATATTTTTGTAATGTGTGGAAACGTCTGAAACAGTCATCGATATGTATTGCAGGTTCCTTGATACATGTACGAAATGTACTTACACACTTATCTTTCTTGTACACACTTATCTCGCTCGCTTTCTTTACGTGTTGACATTAGAGAAGTATCGACACTGTGAATGCACTTCATACGTTCTCTTTTTAGATGACACCGGCTGATATTTGTTTACACATATCTCAGTATATATATACCATATTTTTATTTGATTTTTCGTGACATTTGAGTGAAACTTCAAGAAAACATGCATTTCTGAAAAATTTGCGCTCGCATAAGGTCATCATGTATAATCACTAATAAAATCTCTGTCCTTTCAGAAAGGACATCCGAGTGCAAAGGGTTAAGTATTAGGGCGACCTCGTCGAATTAACAATGAAATTAATAATGAACCAAACCGGGTTATGAGACCGGAAATTCTATTTCCTTCAACGGACGCGTTTTGATTTCTTCTTCATTATCACGTTGATTCGAGCAAACTTTCTTCTCCGTGTATATTCTGTATTTTCGAAACTTATAAAGACCACGTTGCACGCTGACATTTTTGCAAGATTTAGAATTGATTTGGAAATGATCTGCACCATACGTTTGGCAAAGATCCGGATCACATTCCCTGACAGCCAGATAACAAGGACACTGCTTTGTATCGCCTTGCACCTACAGTCAGGAAATCTGTTCTGGCATTCGCTGCTGCACTGATAAAACTTCTCGCAGAAGTTTTGTGCTTGTATACATGGGTATGAATTATCACACTGACGGCCGGGATGATCACAAGGTGCAAAATTGTGCACGTGATTAGCACCTATTCATTCAAATGAAATGTACGAATTAGAGGCAAATAAGATGAGGGGATAGTATAAAATTTAACATACCCGAGTCCTTCTTAAGTTGTATTTTCCGGCAATGCATAGACCACAACCGATGCTTTTTGTCTTTTTTCACGGCGGTGTGAAGTCCTTGAGATTTTCTGTAGCAAGAATATCTGAAGCTTCTTTCTGCGTAAATTCATAAACTTTCTTGCATGTTTTTGTTAATAATCATTTTTGTTAATGATCATTTTTGTTAATAATCATACTTCTTAATCAATCACTGATGTGTAAAAAGATATCACTAATGTGTATCCCACTGATGATGACGATGTACCGATGTTGCGTACTTAATATATGTATATATTTTTAATCAATCATTGATGTTTAATCAAAAAAATCCTAATCAATCACTAATGTACATCCCACTGATGACGATGCACCGATGTTGCGTACTTAACCCACTATTTCTTCCCAATGTTGCGTACTTAACCCACTATTTCTTCCCAATGTTGCGTATACGCGACACGAAGTTTAACTTCACAAAATGCAATCAAAATGAACTTATTTCACAATTAGTCTAACACTTCGTAAAAAAAAATAATTACTGATGTCAGTAATTAATTATATAAACTTCGTGTTGCGTGTACGCAACATTGGGAATAAATGGGTTAATGTATTTGTATTTGATTGTACACATTTTAATTGAGACATGGCTTCTCAACTTGATCGGAGAAGTCGTCGGTCTCGTTATCCTTTGTGAATGTCCGCTTCGTTAATGAAATAGACTATATGTGGAGTCCGGGTTTTCTGCCAACGACCAGTGCCAATACGCGTGAGTTCTGTCATACGCAGCATTGCGGAGAAGACCGGTGCACGACGGATTATAGCGACATTTTTAATCATCCCGAAGTTGTCCGCGTGCTTCGTCGCAAGCAGCAGAATCGACAAAAGCGACAAAAAGCGCGCGCGCAAGCCGGGAAAAACGATCTTTCGAAATCGAATTCGCGCCTGCGAAGGTGCACGTCGATCCCGCGTAAAATTTAGCTCTCACTCAACCAGTCATAGACACACAAATGTTAATTTATATGAACAATGGAAACAGGAGACGTCGATAAAACGGTCACACAGAAGTAGCGGAAGCAATTTGTGTTCTCTACTGAATATTTCACCTCGCTATCGATGATACACACATACACACATACACACACACGTGGCAAGAATAATTTCACTGTAGGTAGACACTTTCTATCGCGACACACATTAAACGGAAATATTCACGAAGAATATCATCGAGATCTGCTCACGACTTCTTTCAGTTAGTGCGTAGTTTCGTGTTACCTTCAAATGGTGGAAGAAGCAGATCTCGGCCAGAATAGTTATATTGTAACTGTTACTGGTTACGGTGATAATATTCAAACTAGTACGACCGTGATATCCAATTTGTGAAAATAAAAAATACGTATGTTTTATGAAGCAAAGAGGGGGAGAGAAAGAGGAAGGGAGAGACGGGAAATGTCATAAGTCCTATGGATCTGTATAAATTGCGGCGCGAAAAGGACTCGGATTTGTATTTACGTGATCTTTGCTGTTACTACATAATTTCGTGATAAATCACACGTACACGAAACTATGTTGTCAACGGTGATTCACACCACGTCTCGCGATCGTCGGTCGACGTAAACACACGGGACAAGGTCTGCCGCGACGTGAATTATGCCAAAATGTGCAATATTTTAAATACTTCAAGATCAAGGCCCGATCGTTGTTGTTTGGCGGTAAACGTTCGGCGTAATCTGTAATTCGCTGATAATCGCGCGAACCGAGATGCATGTGTAGTGTGGATAAAGGTACGCGACGGTTGAAGTGAGGTATCGCAATATTAAGTTACTCGTATGTACGACTTGAGTTTCTTTTAATGCGAATTAAGAATTTCTCTAAACAAGATGACATGTAGTTATGTGATTGATACTATGTTACTATTGTATGTATAGGATTTATCAATAATTATTTAAATCATTTGTATGATTGTGTTAATTTATCGCTGGCGAGTGTTGTGTGTAAACTCGCAACGCGCGTCTCTATTCACGTATGTGTACTTAACGCAAAATAACGAAGAGCTCTCCTGTTACTTTATCACCTACGCTACCAGCTTTACTAGTCTTACGCGTACGCTTAAGATGTGTTTGATTCCTTCGGTTTATTAATACGTAAACGTTAATAAAAATTTGTTAAATATTTCGTCAGGTCGTGAGCACTTGCATTGAGACATGTGATTGGTATCTTCATAATTTCGATTGATAGTGAGAGAGACACAAATAGATCGTAACGAATTTGAGAGAATGTGGAAAGACGTGGAGGAGCGTTTTGTTGTTGAATGTTAAATATTTGACGAATCCGTGGCGGAACGAGACATTTCAAGTAGTTTAACCTTCGGAGTGCACGGGATACTTTAGAGCTCTGAACTGAACAATCGCTAAGAAACGAAACACTTTGGATGATCGTGCGGCGATTGATGAAGAAAGAAAGTATCTCCTTGAAAAGTCAGAAGCGATGAACTGAGACAAATAAAATATTATTTATCACCGTCGCTACAAAATATGCAAAAAAGGACAAATATCATCCGGTAAACACTCGAGAGGTTTGGACGATGTTTAGAATTTCATCGAAAGGCGTGTAATATTATCTGAAACAGTACAAACTTCTAAAAGATGCCTTAAAGGTCCGGAAAAAACAATTAAATATAGTTATATATGAATTTTGTTTCCAGATGTATTTATACGTAATTATATAAATTATGGAACGAAATGCTGTTGTACAAATGTAATTAAAGTAACTTTATGCCAGCCCGTGATATGGACATTTAATCGAATAGAACCATTTTTCTCTTCTCTTTGTTTAATAGCGTTTTCTCTCTCTTTCTCTCTCTCTCTCTCTCTCTCTCTCTCTCAATTTTATACGATTATGTACATGATTATATAGAAACAAAATTCACACATAGATCATATATAATTATATATAATTTATGTGTCATTTTATATAATTATATATAATTCTTTTTGACCGGAAATGTTCGAAAGAAGTCTTGTTTTTTTTTTTTTGTAGACATCTTTCAGACGTCTTTGATACATCTTTTAGAACGTTGTGCTGCCTGGGTCGAGATGATTCTCCTAACAATGCTATATATAAAAATGCACAATCGGATGCGTCAATGCGATCCGTTGCGCTTCGGATTTGGCTCTAGTCTATTATAATATTTGTAATGTTTAAGAGGTGTGTCGTTTCGCTTCCACGCAAAAATTAGTGCGCTCCGATTATTTTGTCTCGCGCGTCACGAGATCTCCGCATACGCAAGTGCCATCGGACTACGCATTGAGACGCATTTGACTGTGAACGACTTGCGAACGCGAGCGAGGAATCCCATGAGACGAGCAATAACCTGTATATTACGTTACTCTTTATCTATTTTATATATAAATATTATATATAGATTATATATATATTATATATATATACGCTATAACTTTTTTATTACTTCTGTACTGAAGTACTGCAGCGTGAAGAGTGTTTGTAACGGAATGCCGTGACGAAATGAGAAAAGAAAAACAGAAATACACAAATTCACGTGTCGCTATTTTCCTTTTCTTTTTTATTTTATATACTAACTACGATATAGATATGTTGATCGTGTGCCGATTGTTGAAATTGTTGCGGAGTACGCGATGGAGAAAGAAGAAAAGCGAAGGAATGAAATATAATTTACGAAACTTGATATTTGATGCCAGTTTGATTACGTCTTTTATACACCTTATTATGTGTACACACACATTTTCTCCCAAACAGAACTTCAAAATTTATAGAAATATTATCTGATATAATGCTACTTAGATATCTAAGGAGTTGCAAAAATATCGCCCGGTATGATTGTAAATTTTATTAAAAAAAGACTCGGTGAATTTCCACTAAACATTAACAGATCGCATATGAGAGATTAGCGCTATTTAATCTTTCCGTCGGTGATAGATACCGCCAACAGTGATAATCGCCCATATAAACAGTATAAAAGAGATATCTCGATTTAATCTTCAAGAAGTCGCAACAGTTCTAGCACGGTGTATACAACTGGAGAAATATTCGGTAAGTCGAGTATCGTTTACGTATTTTACATAGGTTTTTATATTTTTATATTTTTAGTCTGCCAAATTATTTGATCGACGATTTAATCAACGGTTCATTCCGTTCATGCAGACGTGAGTCCTTTATTTACAGGGTGATATTGCGCGACGATTGGCCGGCCTGGCTAGTAAACGTCAGTAAACGCCAGTAATGTACCGTCATGGCGACGCTGCCGCCACGGAAAAATCCGACTCCTACAAAAATTTCGAAACAGCACTTGACACCTCTGCAAACACTCCTGCAGCTGGGTTTCCCGAAACACCGAGCGTATGTACATAATTCTGCGACGTTGAGCCATGCTCACGCAACGTGTTATGTGGCAGCGCATGTGACTTATTAACTGTAAACAAACAGCTGTCAAACGTGACCTTGAACAGCAGTACTTTGTTTCTTTGCTCAATTGTCGCTAAATTGTAACGGACGAGACAAATTAATCCTGTTGTTCGAACAACTTCTGTTCGTATTTGGCTGTATCTTATCTAAAACTACGTAGCCAGATTACTGGAAGTCTCCAAAGACTAAAGACATATGTCTCTTGATTTGCAGAGGTGTTATAACTATATATAATTCGTCTTTTGTCCTTTATTAGAGAGAAGGCGTTAGCTGCGACAGGACACCGTGGTGTGCAGTTAGCATCGGACTGGCTACTTGCTCATGTACGTGACCCAACTTTAGACTCTGACACACAACGGCAATATGTCCTATATGCTTGTCCCATTGGACCATTGGCCAAGCAGCTAGAATTGTTTTGGTCAGAAAGTAAAGAACTGGGATGGAATGGTGCTCACAACTTTATACCACACATTACCCTTGTCTCTTTCTTCAAAGTAAGATATTACATTGTAATTTGAAATCTAATAATAAGGAAAATATTTTATTGTACCGAATAAGTGATCACAGATTTCTCAGTCATACAACCTGATACTAGCTTTAAAGTTACATACACATTTGAATGTATGTGTAATTAATTTTAATACTTTTACAGGCTTCTGACGAATTGACAGAAGAGTTAGCAAACATTCTGGAGGATGTGGTATATCAGGACAGATTACACGAACACATTGAGCTAGAGACATATGTGTCGCCTAATTTTATGGGCTTCTTTGTGAAGGACATCAATGCAGAATGGTTGAAGAACATTGCCATTCGCTATGTTAATAAAGTTGCTCCACTAGGTATCATTGCCGAACCGCAAGTAACGCCTCTGCATCTCACGCTGGCTTACCAATTCCCCAGCAACTTATTTCAGTCCCTCAGCTCAGCGGTCGAAAAATTAGGACCAAACACGCCGGCCAACTGGGAGCTCCGATTGTACTCGAGAGACTTGAGGCTACAGAATTTACACGTGCATAAAGTGACGCACGCCCACGTTCCCCGGGAACACGACGAATTAGAATTAAGAGTCGGAGATTACATTTACGTTCCAGAAGGTGCGTGTAACGCATCCACGGATGGTTGGGTGGAGGGTATCTCCTGGTTGACTGGCATCTCGGGCTACTTGCCGTTGAATCATACAAAGAGAACCGCCGAGTCGGACTCGTGGACGTTGCACACCACCGTAATGATCACCGACAATAAGCGATGCGAGAGCGCAGAGGAGGAAGAAGTGCCGAGGATTAGGAGACCTCCTCCGGTTCTGTCTCCGAATGAGTCTATCGATACCACCGACGGCATCCCCGCAGCTGAGCAGCTGGTAATTATTTTCGGTAGATACAAAGTAAACTATCAATCAATCGGCAAGCTCGTAATGATCGTTTTCAAACAGTTACTAGCGTCGGAGGTGCCTCTGATATCGTCGAGGGAGATCTTTATATGTCGACATGGCGAAAGAGTGGACTTCACCTTCGGCTCGTGGATCCCGTACTGCTTCGAGTCGGACGGCTGCTACGTACGCCGCGACTTGAACATGCCCAAGGAGATACCGTCCAGGAATATCCAGGACTTCCAGAATGACTGTCCCTTGACCACCGTGGGCGAGGTGCAAGCGAGCCTGGTAGGCGAAGCTATGAAATCCGCCAACATTAAGATAGACGTGGCCTTCGCGTCGCCGTCGTTGCGTTGCATTCAAACACTCGCTCACATTCTCAAGGGCTTGAAGTCTGACGTTCCCATTAAAGTGGAACCAGGCCTCATAGAATGGTTGGCGTGGTATCCGAATGGTATACCTGTTTGGATGACTTCCGAGGAGCTGATCAAAGCTGGTTTCAACGTGGACGCCGATTATGATCCGATCGTGAAGGCTAACGAGCTTCCGCTGAAAGAGAACGCTGCGCAGTATTATGAACGAAGTTACGACTTGATCAAGAAGATTATAGATTATACGGATGGTAATATTTTAATAGTAGCACACGCCGCTTCTCTGGCAGCCTGCACCAGACAATTGACCGGTGGTAGGATACCTCCGGCGGCTGAAGTCACTAGATTAGTTCAGAGAGTACCTTACCTTGCGTGCTTAACCGCGCGTCAAGGTCTTGATGGCTGGCAGCTGCATCCTCCTCCTTTCCCACCAATCACCCACACCAGTAACAGCAGATTCGACTGGAAGGTTCTCACATCGTGAACGATGCTACGAGTCTTTCCTCCCTTTTCTTTTAAGAAGAAATGTCACATACAGCCTATATTTATGAAGACTGTTATAATGGGCGATGAATTTTTATGCAGGGCTTTATTCGATGTCAATGACATTGAAAACTACAGTATTCAACGAATTATACAAAGAGAAAGGAAATAAGAGATTTTCTGAAATACTATACTTGACATACGAAATATAATAATAATAATAATAGAGCTAGTCGATCGACCGATCGTTAAAACAGTGTTTACTTCCTCAGAGAATGATCGATACGGGTATTCAGAGATATAATTATTCCATAATTATGGATATAGAACAGATACTAGCCAAAATGTTATTATTGGTACATTATATATATAAACGTACACACATATATAATGTACTAATCTGCTAAATATTTAATATATATAGACAATGTACTAGTCTTAATTGGCGACATTTCTTTGCCGAATTTTGCCGAGGCACTAAAGAAGAAGTCATTAGAAAATGGTATTTAATATTTTTTAATATACTATTTTCTGATTAATATTCATATATTTGCATACATACACACGCATATATATAAAATTATATATTTATATTAAATTTATGACACGAAAAATGAATACACATGTGCACATTATAACATGCATAACTCTGTATCCACAGAAAAACATTCTGTGTAATCTTTATATAATCAAGTTCCCTAAAAATCTTTAGAGATATGTGTCAATTAAATATATGATGTTGAATCAAATTTAATACCGTCTGCACGCAGCATAGTAAATTATAATATGCAGAGTAAAAAGATATATATATATATATGTGTGTGTACACATATACATATATGTGCGTGTACACGTCTTTTTATTGTATATACATGTATTATTATTATTATTATTGATGTTACCTTTTACAGAGAATTACATTGAATTGTACATATTTAAAGAAGAAACTTTAACGTCTACACATGTCAAAATGTCTACATTGTCCTACATTTGAAATGTTTCAAATATTGCTAATGAGAACATTTTTGCATATATGTATATACATGCATGTATATATGTATAAAGTATATTTTATTATATATTATGTGTAATATTAATAATTACTACTTAATTCCTTTATATATATATATATATGAGATACAAATTTATTAAAATATATGTATTGCATACAATCTCTGATCATGTACAAAAATATGCTATATACAAACTTGCAAAATATAACAACAATTAAGAATCATTGCACATGTTCACTGCTAAACGTGGCCACCTTCTTTTAATTTAGCTATCAGAGTATCGACATCTGGTAATATGGCACCAGCTTGTCTAACTGGTGGGTCTACTACTGACAGTATATCAATTCTCGGTGTTATGTCTACCCCAAGGTCTTTCGGGGTAAGTTTTTTGATAGGTTTTTTCTTAGCTTTCATGATATTTGGTAAAGTTGCATAACGTGGTTCATTCAGGCGGAGATCAGCACTTAAGACTGCAGGAGTTTTCATTTTGATGACCTCTAATCCTCCATCAATTTCACGTGTGATAGTCAATTCACCATTATTATGCTCGATCTAAATAGAAAGTAATGGAAGGATAAATATTACATAACACAATAAAATTTGTTATTCTTACCTTGCTGCAGAATGTTCCAGATGGCCAATCTAAAACACCTGCAGTCATTTGAGCAGTCTGATTGTTATCATCATCTATAGCTTGTTTACCAAGTATCACCAAATCTACTTTTTCTTCTTGGGCTAACTTTGCTAGAAGTTTAGAGACATGAATAGGTTGCAGGGTCTGATAATCAATGCCAGATACTTCGACATGAATTCCACGATCTGCACCCATAGCAAGGGCAGTCCTAATTGTATCTTGTGACTGTGTTGGCCCACAGCTGACCGCTATCACTTCCTGGGCTATCTTTTTTTCTTTTAGTCTAACTGCTTCTTCTATAGCGATCTCATCGAAAGGGTTCATTGAATGTTTAATACCATCGACGACGACCCCGGTTTTATCCGGTTTCACACGAATCTACACAAGAATATAAAGTATAATAAAGTACGTAAGAATATATAAAAATAAATTTCTTCATATAAAAATATTGAGCATGCTATTGCTCGGAATTTATCTCATCATCAAAGTGAATTTTTACAGCCATTATCAGAAAAATACCAGACGCTTGATATCTTGTATCATCAATAAAATTTACAACAAATTATTCATTCTTACCTTTACAGCATAATCGATTACTCTTTTTACACCCACGAGTACTCGTGCCATTTTCGTTTAATATAAAATTAATTTCCAACGAATGAGTTGCTTAACTAACTTTAATTAACGGCAGTGGCGGTAATCTCGCACTAACTGAACGTGGCCAAGAGAGTCTAAAGTGCAACTTCTCAATTGGCCTGTTCTTTGTAGCTGCACTTTTGAACTGATGCAATAAGTTAAAGTGAAATAAATATAGGTTTTCTCACTCTGGCTTATTGCAGCAGTTCAGCAGTGCAGCTACAAAGAACAGACCACATATGCATATCATATTTCCCCATAATATTCCCTATAATATTCCCCAAAAATATTCTTACCAACTTAAGTGGATGGCATATAGAAAAACGGAACCAATAGTAAATCAAGTAAATAAATCAACTAATTACAATAAATGAAACGTAAACGGTAACTGCAGTAGAGTATTTAGCAGATTATATCTCTTTAATTTTGAGACATAATCTTGAATATACACGATAATTATTTAATTAAGTCAAGATACGTCAACTGTTAAAATTCTTGATGATGTCGAGTTGTATCGTGTAAATAAAGAATCATACACAAATGATGTCAATATTGTTTAAAAGCGTGAAATTTCTCTTTTAATTTCTTTATTCTTGTGTCGTGGTATGATTATTTTTGCATTGAGTTATTTAATATCGAAGAAAAACCGGCTCTTCGATATTCAACTTATACTTACGGAAAGTAAACGAATCAATATATGATATTTGCAAGCAGTGAATAAAAATATTAAAGTTTTACTCTATCAGATATATTTCTCAAATATTTTATACAAATAGGTTTTCGATACAAACACTTAAGTAAAAATAAAGTTAAATATCTCCGACAGTCACTATTTTTTATTCAGCTTCATATATCTTGACGAGAAACAGAAATAACATAATTAATTTATCATGTATAAAAAATAAAGAATTTAAGTTACAAAATGTTTTCAGAATCATGTTGTTATCGGCACTGTTACGGAAATTATTGCCTATTGAATTTCATCTATTTAAATATTAAAATATTTCTTAAAATCCTCGTCAAAGTAAGTGATGGCTCGTAGCGGAGACTTCGGAATTAATTTACAAAAATAACGGGTCTAATAATCACGTATATTTCTTTATTGGCCCGTTAAGATAACGGGTCTAATGATTCTCTATAGACCTCTTATTTAACTTCTATATATAACAGGTCAATATTCTTAGACCCTTTATTTAACCAAAACTACTGTGGTTCGAGTCTTGGCTAAAAAAATTATTTTTTAGCCGAAACTATTCTGTAGGCCTCTTATTTAACTTCTTAAATAACGGGTCTAAAATATTTTTTAGCTGAGATTCGAACCATAGTGGTTTTGATAAAATAAAGGGTCTAAGGAATACTGACCCGTTATTTTAAAAAACTAAATAGGGGGTCTACAGAAGTAGACCCTTTATTTAATCAAAATTACTGTGGTTCGAGTCTTGGCTAAAAAAATAATTTTTTAGCCGAAACTATTCTGTAGACCCCTTAAGCCAGCGGCACACGATGCTTGTTTTCGTGCTCGATTGCTTGCTGAATGAAAATATTGCGTTCTGATTGGTACATTTCCGAAGATAGATGGAAATGCACCAATCAGAATGCAGTATTTTCATCCAGCAAGCAATCCAGCACGAAATCAAGCACCGTGTGCCGCTGGCTTTACTTAACTTCTTAAATAACGGGTCTAATGACTAGACCCGTTATTTTAACCTGTCACACTTTTCACATTTAGAATAAGATAGATGCATATCTGAGTGCTAGAAAAAGTAAGAGCACGAAGAAATCGAGTGTGAAAAGTTCAAACAATGTGAACAGACCTACAATCATCTCGGGAAACATACGTGTTCTCTAGCAAATGATGACAGTGGGAAATGATGAATGTCACGAGTATAAACCTAGGAAATGTAACACAACGTTGTGGAAGAGAAACATTCAAATCGAAATATAAATAAAATTATTCAAGTGTAGGATTACATAGTAGAGTTTAATTTCATTCGTTACCTATTTGACATTTTGAAGATAGTCACAAGTATTGGCATGTATATTTAGTTTGATTACATGAAATTTAAAAACTAGAGTAATATTGCATCATATATGAAATATTCTTAATTAAATATATTATATGTGAACAATTCCACAGCATTATGAGACCTGGTGAGAGACGACAACAAGGTCTGCAATACGGCATTTATTTGCTGTTTACGCAGACTATAAATATTGGCATTGACAGAATACCACCTGCTACTCTGATTGGAGTTATCTCACAGGTAATCTTTTAACATAATCTATATTAGGAATTTATAAAAAAATATTTGAAACTGGTAAGTTAAATAATATATTTTTTCTTTGCATTATTTTTCATAAACGATAATATGGTTATCAGTATCACAGAAAAATTATATAGTCATGTATACGTATCTGAATCATAATTTTCAATTTTATGAAGTAAATTAATATTGCATATATGTGCGTGTAAAGTACTTTGTAGAATTATATTACTATTCACTTTTTAGACTTTGTTGTATATTGGACTAATTAAAGTACCATGGAATGCTGAAGAAGTATGCATATCGGCTGTAAAGATATTTAAATACAAAAACTGGCGATCATTTTTCTTTTCAAACTTTGAACATGGATCTGATATGCATTTATATTATAATATGATTTCTTTCATTCTAAAAGGCTCCTACTTAGAACCTATCTATGGAACAATGAACTTTGTGCTTTTACTTTTTATATTGTCAACTGGATGTAGTGCTATGTATGTATCCTTAGGATATATACTGATGCAATTAACAGGAGATTATGGATATTATACAACTTGTGCTATCGGCTTCTCAGCAACATTATTTGCATTGAAAGTGATTGCTCTATGCGAAGAACGTGATAGATTACATAACATCAATGGATTCCAAGTACAGAGTAAATTAGCTGTATGGGTTGAACTAATTCTAATACACCTGCTAGTTCCAAATGCTTCCTTTGTGGGTCATTTGGGAGGAATTTTAGTTGGATGCTTATATTCTTATACATTTGTTGGAGAAATTATTGATAACATGATACACACAATAACTGGCAAACCTATCATACATGAAGAACAATTTTACAGAAGAAGGAATACACTATTCACATAACATGTATATATTTTATAACAAATCTTTATTAAATTTCTTGTACTTACTTTTGTATCATATAACAAATACAATCTTGATAACTTAAATTTAATAAAATGTTATGTTATATCAAGAATTATATATTTTTACATTTATATTAAGTTTTCTACATTTTATATAATGTATAAGTTTTTAAAGTAAGATTTGTATATTGAGCAATTTTTTTAAATCTTGTAAATTTTCGTTACATAATTGTCAAATAAAATATAAGTATAAAAAATATATGTGTATAAAAATATAACAAATTTGATTTGTACTATTCCACATTGTCACATAAATCTTCATCACACAGAATGCAATAAAGTATCATATAGAAAACATATTTTTCGTGTATAAAATAAGAGAGAAAGCCTTATGTCTGAACTTATTTATCTAAAATCGTTTATACCTTAATTGTATTTAATAAAATATAATTTTTTTAAATATTCCAGTTATATTCATAAAATAAGCTCGACAAACATGGCTGACCAATCACAAAAATTAAGGAAATGGATGATTAGAGTTTAGTTAATCTTTTCAACGAGTTAGAGTGAAACAAAATATACTTGTCTCACTTTAACTTATTGCATTAATATGCATCAGCTTAGGAAGAACAAACCTATTGTTTCAATCCAATTTTAATTCGATGATACGCGTTGCATAGCAACCCGCGTAGATTATAGATATTAGCAAAACTTTCAGGCTGAACGTTGTACGCTGAGTCGACCGCTTTTGCCCAAATTTCCGTCTCCTTACTGTTCTTGTCTACGGGAAGTTCCACATTCCATAACGTCCAACTCCAATATCGACCTTCTTTTGCTTGAAAATCCTGCTCTGACAAATTTGCTGTATGCCAATTTGCTCCTTGATTGTTGGTTACATCAACACGAATGATCTTCCGGCCACCGCCAGACCATGCGTAACCTAGTGTAAAATTATAATTAATTAGTATTTCTGTTGTATATTTGAAATAATCGATTGATAAATTTTATTCTTACCTTTTACTTCGATCTTCCCGTTTTTGACTTCAACTGTATCTGCATCTTGTGGACTGCAAATTGCTGATATTACAGGCATCTCTTGTATTGCAGGCGACTTGGAAAAATCAACATTGTCCCAAGTCGTACTTGGTGAAAACCCTTTGTAATCGCCCTGTTGCCATTGCGATGGACTCTCTTCTTTCGAAACTGTAATCTTATTAACCCATTTTACGTTCCGCGCGCCTACGACTCCAGGGACAATTACTCTTAAAGGAAATCCATGATCTCTACTTAACGGTTGACCATTCATTTCATAAGCTAAAATCACATCTGCCCTTGGGTCCATAGCTTTAGCAATAGGAATACTTGCACCGTATGGCGTTCCAGATGGATCTAGATCATATCCTTCAAACTGAACATGACTAAATGCATTCTCATTGATTCCTAGATCTCTTAATATGTCACATAATCGTACACCTGCCCATTTGGCATTTCCAACTGCACCTACATTCCAACTGAGACCTCTCAATTTTTTTACCTAGAAACAAATTAAGTGATGTGTTAATAGCATTCACTTGTGTATTCTGAAAAACAATTTCTTATCATTATCGATATACAATCCAGATTTACCTTTGCCATTTCTGAACGCCTATTTCCTCCACACATTACTGCAGCTGTTATTGCGTACTTCTTATACTTTTTTAACGCATCAAAATCAAATACTTTTTTAGTTTCTCCTTCTATTGTCAATTCTAATGTATAGTCCTTTAAATCTATTTCAGGTACTGGCAAGTGATTTCTGATATAAAATAATTCACTGAGAGAAAATACAATATTTGTGAGGAAATATACTTATAAAAAAGGAAATAAAATTTTCAAATAATAAACATGCTTACTTTGGTGTGAGAAAACTGTCAACTAATATTGGAGGTGGTGGTTCTGCACAAAAAGGTTTTTGGTTGTTAATTGTTAAGGTTTTGTGCCTAGAAGGATCATTTGCATATGCATCATGCGAATCATTCTTGTTGGACTTGGCATCCTCTTCAGAAATATTTCCTATCCTCATGGATTCTAATAACGAATATATCTCTGGTGTATTGTGATTTGCAAAAATAGACCAGAAAGGATCTATGGAACCTCCTGCTGCCATTAAAATTTTTGACGAGCCACCTGGATGCTTATCTATAAATTCTGTTATGTCATATACACCTTGTCTAAAAGTAATCCAAATACGCTTTTCTTTATTATCATGTTTTCCAACTTCTTCCATAGTATATGTCTTCATATCTTTACGTAATTTACCACATTGTATATCTTGCGTATTACTGAGAGCATAAACATCCTTTTTGTATTTAAAAATATAGTATGATATGCCTAGAAGTGATGCAGCAGTAGCAACATATGTTATGTTAACGGAATCTTTTTTAATCTTAGAAGAACTAGAAGATGCATATTTTTTCTCTATAAAACACTGTCGACATGCAATATCATAATTTTTTACAACTACTTGTAGCAATGGCATTTGAGACCTAAAATGAAAGTAAAAAAATATAATTTTTGAAATTAAAGAAATATCTGTTTACAGTATAATAAAGAGATATCATTATTTAAGGATGTTATAATTTGAAAATATCATTTGAGAATATTGTATTGTAATTAATGAATAGAACATTCTTAAAGCGATGAAAGGATTATGTAAATACCGTTGTCTTATCTGGCAAAATGCTTTCCAATATAAATTCATAATCAATTGTGTAAATGTTCCTCAATATCTCGTACACACAACACACTGTTAAAACTATAATTTGGAATTGGCTAATGTATCAGGCTGACCGATTACGAGTTTATCGCGAGTTCATCATACATTACTAGGAATTTTAGTAAATTTAAAAATTAATTGAAGCTAACACGGCATCTTTCGGCAGAGAAAATATTACACAAAGTCATTCTATTGGATATATATTATCTAAACTATCCTAGATATTATGTAGCCAGTAAAATAATTTTGTTTAATCAGTTCTTTTGTGGAAAACTGCTAATATATTTGTCTTGCATATGAAGCTGATAGAACTGTAAAACTAATGAATTCTAATGAGACTTGGCAAAAATAATAGGGGTCGATAAAATGTAGGTTAAATTTCAATTAAAAATTAATTTCAGCTGAAACTCAAACCATAATTTACTAATTTCTATGAAATTTAGCCGAGATTCGAGCCATATTAACAAGCTCACTAAAATTAGGTGGTTTGAGATAAAATAAACTATCGATAGTTTAAAATAACTTATCGATTGTTACCGACAGTATTCATTTGGTATGTGGTGTTGGGGACCTGCCCGAAAGGATCGCCTTAAACCATTATTGAGGATAGGACAGGATTTGGCTGGTGTATGTGTATAGTCTTTTGCCGGTTCCCGAGGCTGGTGGACGTGGTTTTGTCGTTACGGAACTACGCGTCATTCTTTGAATATTGGGGATTGCGTGCGCGTGGTCCCTGTTTGTACCACAATTATTTGCAACATTCTAATTCCTATTTTCATACTTTTTGTTAAATAACGTTGGACCGAAATCTTAATCGGTGCCTGTAGCCAAAATTGAGAGAGAGAGAGAGAGAGATTTTGCCGGTGTAATTCTAATTGGCTCTAGTGTCGAGTTAATATCAACGAAGAGAAGTTGATACTCGTTTTTCTGATTTTAGATTTATAAATACGTGTAGAATATAGATATGGCGGTAAGTATTATTACTTAAATAAATACTTTGCATTTTTGTTTTGAATAAAGTGCAAAATTATTTTCAATTTCATAACGTTGTATCAAATAAAATATATTTCCTTCGCATGCCGGTTAACTTCCTTTTTTACTCCAACACTGATTCTCAACACATTTTACTCCGAAGATATTTTATGTAAAGTACTAATATAATTAAATTTTCCTCTTGTAAGTGCATGAAGACATTTATTGATATAATTCACTGCCAACCTTACATTGGTTGGCATAGCAACTGCGTGCGTGATCGTTTTCATCGTTATTATATATAACCTATGATATGTTACCTTTTTATATTGATATATTTAACTCAGTATCATAATAGCCTCAAATAGACAAAATATAATAATGAAAAAAGAACTTGTACATTTATATACATTCAATTTTCTTTTAATTCAAATTTTATTGACAAAGATATAATGCAAGCAGTACTATGAATAAATATTTGTTAGAAAATCACAGAAGAAGGGAATATTTATGTGATAAATATATTTATATCACTTCAAAATTAAATAATTTTCTGATTTTCTGATAAATTGTTTCCTCAAGAGATTAATGTTAAAATTTTCTGACACATTTAACCAATAATTTTTTCAGGTTATTGCGAATGTACAGGAGGTCCGTGAGATCACAAAGATAGAGCGTATTGGAGCCCATTCTCATATTAGAGGTTTAGGGCTCAATGATAGTTTGGAACCTCGTCATGTAATTATCTTGCATAACTTAGCAAGAAGCAATATTTCTATGTTGCAGATAATAAAATAATTGCTTGATATTTTCAGGTATCTCAAGGTATGGTTGGCCAGCTTATGGCACGTCGCGCAGCTGGTGTTACTTTGGAGATGATCAAAGATGGAAAAATAGCAGGTCGTGCAATACTATTAGCTGGACAACCAGGTACAGGAAAGACAGCAATTGCCATGGGAATGGCGCAGGCTTTGGGACCAGATACCCCTTTCACATCGATGGCTGGTTCTGAGATCTATTCTCTGGAAATGAGCAAAACAGAGGCTCTAACTCAGGCTATCAGAAAATCCATTGGTGTGAGAATTAAAGAAGAGACGGAGATCATAGAAGGCGAGGTGGTAGAGATCCAAGTAGATAGACCTGCAACTGGTGTTGGTGTCAAAGTTGGCAAACTAACACTGAAGACTACTGAGATGGAGACTATCTATGACTTGGGAAATAAAATGATTGACAGTTTGATGAAAGAGAAAGTTAGCACATTACTTGTACTTTGTATTGCCAATTTCTGCCTCAACTCTCACGTTACAATTTTTGTATTACTTTCAGGTGCAAGCTGGCGACGTTATAACAATAGATAAGGCCACAGGAAAGATCAACAGACTCGGACGATCCTTCACAAGGGCGCGAGACTATGACGCTACCGGTTCACAAACGCGCTTTGTGCAATGTCCCGAGGGGGAGCTACAGAAGCGTAAAGAAGTAGTCCATACTGTAACTCTGCACGAGATCGACGTGATAAATAGCAGAACTCACGGCTTCCTGGCGTTATTTTCCGGTGATACCGGCGAGATCAAGTCGGAAGTACGGGATCAGATCAACGGCAAGGTCGCTGAATGGCGGGAGGAGGGCAAGGCGGAGATCGTACCGGGTGTACTTTTCATCGACGAAGTACATATGCTGGACATTGAGTGCTTTTCGTTCCTTAATAGAGCGTTAGAGAACGAAATGGCTCCTGTTGTAATCATGGCGACTAACAGAGGTATATAATAATGATATATTATAATATTTGTGTATGATTATCATCTGTCGGCCAATAATCCTATAGCAGTCGATACCGCAAACATTTAAAAATTATCTGCAAATTATCATTAAATCGACACCTTTATTCTGTTCACGCAGGCATCACGAGGATCAGAGGGACAAATTACAAGAGTCCTCACGGCATTCCGATCGATCTGCTGGATCGTATGATCATCGTCCCAACCAGTCCATACCAGGAGAAGGAACTGAAAGAAATCCTGAAGATAAGATGCGAAGAGGAGGATTGCGAGATGGCGGATGATGCTCTGACCGTGCTAACGAGAATCGCTCTGGAAACGTCCTTAAGATACGCGATTCAGTTGATTACGACCGCTTCACTGGTCAGTCGCCGAAGGAAAAGCACAGAGGTAAGCGATGACCTAAGCGATATAGTTTACTGAGTAAAAATGCGCTCACGATGATATAATGATCTCTTGATCGTCCTCAGGTCAGTATCGATGACGTGAAACGCGTCTACTCCTTATTCATCGATGAAAACAGGTCCACGCAGTTTCTCAAGGAATATCAGGACGATTTTATGTTCAACGAATTCTGTGAGTGTAGATGATCTATTGTAAATATAATTTCTTACGATGCAACCTAGTGTGCTTAATTATTCATCGTATTCAATTTGTTTCAGATGAGTCTATGGATACCTCGCAATAATAATACGTCGCGGTAGTGTTGGAAGATTTTATACCGCTCCGTCACAATTCTCATGTTTCCTAATGTACTGTAATGTAATTATGATCTTACATTAAATAATACAAGTTCAGTTAGGACAAATAATTTTCCCACTGATCATCGAAATAACTGAAAAATAATTCCTTACACTACAGATGTAATTACTTGTTGTCCAAATACAAACAGTATTCTTTGAATTAATCGTATGTTAACAACATTGAACCGGAAATAAATATACATTGTTATCTATATTGTAAAAAAATAAACATTTGAAAAATCTTGGCTCGCAGTCGTGGTAGGAGAATACACGAGCGGGTGAATATGTAAATCCCGCTTATTAATGTATCAGTTTTGATTCAGCGTCTCAGACGTAGTAACGTATATTTCCGATGACAGGAGTCATTAATTAACAGTTGCGGAGAGGTATATTCCTTTTTTTGGTGTGAAGCTTCTTAGGGAACGAACTACATTAGATGTAACATAACGAGTTATTCGCGATAACGATAATACGCACGCGCGCGCGTGCAAGGCGTGTTCGCGTTTTGCTCGCGTTGTTTTCCGTTTCAATCTGTCCGATAAAATAGAATAAACTCCGTGTAAATTTTCTGCCGTCGCCCGAAACGAATCTGCAAGTCATGAGTCGAGAAACTGGCGCCCGTAAGAAAACTCGTCGAAATCGCGTTCTAACGCGAGCGAAGTGTTTACTTTGTAAAACGCGATGCGCGCATCCGGCGAATTAGCATTCGACATCGACAGTGTAGTTAAGCGCCTTCGTTCACGTCTTCTTCTCCTGGGTCTTCTTGACTGAAAAAAAAGAAAGAGAGAAAGGGAGTAGTAGTAGCCGACTAGTTGGTAGTCAATTGAAAAGTCGCCCCACATAAATTACCTCGAAAACTCGTTTTCACGCAACTGTACGCGCTATTTGCGCAACACCTGCGTATACGCGAATCGCGCGCATTAAAATTCAGTTCGCGCGTTTCGCCGTCTCCTCGTATCGCGGTTTCGCTAATACTGGAGCGAAGGAGAAAGTCACGTATGGCGAAGAAGCATATCGCGAAAACGAGATTTCTCTATAGTCTCATGCGCTATCAGGTCGCGATTATTATTATCATTACAATTGTGTACTCACTAGTTATCAGTTTGATTCCATCTTCCGGCTTGAACGACGACTGCATCTTTTTATCCTTCGATACAAAGCCCAAGCCGTAGCCCACCTTGTAGACCGGCAATGGAATCACCGTGGATGACACGGGCACCATAACTGAAAATATGTATATGCGTTCCCAATTGTTGCGATTACGTGAAAGTTATAGGTCGTGAATTTACAAACTCGATGAACAGTCAACTAACAGTAATATTACGATATCGACGTTGTGATTTCCTGCTCAGAGCGACGTAACTGTTAAATACAACGCATGTTATATTACGCTTATATAATTGAATGCAAAATTATAACATTGATGCAATGTTACTTTTAGTTTGCGTTTACTGAGGGATATTTATTTATTGCACACGCGGTGGAATATTCATCGCGAGTGCATGGACGATTGCAGCGTCGTTTTCTCTAAATTTCTCACGATGTGATCTCGCTTGGCAAGAGCGAACATTCGCTGCAATTTCAACTGACGATATTCATCCGTCGATTCAAAAAGAACACAATCTGCATGAGTAGAGAATTATTCGCATTTAATAAACAACTCGCTGTTAATAAACGACTTTTGGGTTGAAATTTGGGGTTCGAGGAAATTCAAACAGTTCCGCAGACTTCTTCTCGCGTGTAATTTTTCCGCGAGCTGGAAAATCACTATGTATCGTGAGCCGAATCGGAATAAAGAGAGAGAGAGAGAGAGAGAGAGAGAGAGAGAGAGAGAGAAAGAGAGAGAGAGAGAGAGAGAGAGAGAGAGAGAGAGAGAGTACCCAAAAAAAAATAATTTCGGAACAAACGGAATCATTTAAGTTTTAGAGGATTTTATTCTTACCTATGGCCTCAAGAGGATTCCTCTTGAGATTAAGGGGAAAATATAAACACAGTTTCAAAGCTCGAGGGATTATATGTTATATATATAATGCAAATCTTATTGATCTTAATATAAATTTCCTCTTATACATAGATTATTTAATCTTTTTTTAAGAGGATTATCATTTATTCTTACTGGTTCATTTAAAAAAATTATTATAATGTATAGTGAAAAGTAATATATATATATATATATATATATATATATATATATATGTACTTCTGGCTCCAGTTCTACAATAGTAGGCACAAATGAAATAAGATCATCACAACAAACAAATTTCCAATCAGTTTTGTTACGGACTTCATAGCTACAAAGATGTTCATCATCACCAATTGTATGAAACATAGTTAAAAGAAAGAATATATTATTTAACTTCTTGCAATAGATTATAAACTGTACTTGACCAAATATTCGGGTAAATTATCTTTGTTATATATCACAGCAACACACATACCTTTTTTAAAAAGCGTTCCAAATATTCTGACCCATGAACATATGATTGTTTTTCCGTTCATGGAATTTTTCCGTCTGGAGGTAGAGCATGACTGAACAAAAGAAGCCGACATTCAAATCGACACATTCCTCTTCGTATAAGAGGAAAGTTAATTGATATAAGAGGGAATCCTCTTGAAATAAGAGGAAAATAGTTAGAATAATATCTAATAAATTTTAGAATGAATGCTTCACTTTAGTCGCTTTATCGAGAAGGGGAATCCTTTTTTCTGTAAAAGGCTTTGCTTGGAATATGAGACTATGAGAAAAATCACTTTACAAATAGAATACTTTTTTTTTTGAGTGAGAGAGAAAGAGAGATCTGTATTTCGCTTTCACGTCAGCGACAAACGATGAAACGCGTCGATCGCGGGGCTTGCATAATTTTCTCCCTCGCGTAATAGACCTTCTCCATATCTCGCACTGTCACCCATACGGTGGCATTCGATACGCGGTCAAGGAGGTCCGTATAGAACGAGCGATCGGAATTCATTGTTATGGAGCCTGCGAAAATTCTCACGTTCGACTGACCTTTCGTATTTCCTTAGCCGAGTGTGTGTATGTGTGCGCGCGCGTGATGCGGATTTAATCGGTGGAAAGCATCTCGCGACAGCGCGAGAGCGTTCGGCGGGATTCTCACGATTTTTTGCAGAGACGTGTTGCATTCGCAAACAATATCGAGTGCGAATTACGCGATTATGTATCTGATGTCACGTACGTTGATGTTAATCGACTTATTAATTATTACAACTTGACGCAAAAGATTTGCTGTTCGATTAAATTTTGTCTCCGAGAAAATTACCGACTTCAGAGGAAAAGCGAGAAGATCTGATTGAATATTTGAGAAAATACCGAGACCCGACGTTGCTCGTTTTGTTTATACGAATTATTTATTTTTCGACAGAGAAAAAGAGAGAGGAAAAAAGAGAAGTTGAATAACATCGATTAAAATACTAAAGACTATATAAGTCGATTCGCGCATCGCTGCCGACGCGTTAAAGTTCGTTTCATCGACAACGAAGATTTCATTAACGTTTATGATCTTATTAATTACGGACTTATTAACAGAGCGTTTGTTTCCAAACATTTTAAAATTCATTAAAACATAAAACAGTATTACTAACCACAAATACTTGATGCAATTTAAACAGCGAACTGGCTCTTTTTGTCTTCCTTCGATTCGCTTACACCGAACTCTCGATAATCATCCCTCGAATGATATCGTTCTCGATTCTATTCGACAAAAGCGACAAACCATTTTTCCGCAACTAACACCTTCGCGATGAGCATTCGGTCGTCGGTCCTGATGGAAAATATTTACTTATCACGCGGGAACGGAATTCGTTAATAGGAGCATCGCCCGATCGCTTGTTTATCGCGCGCGCGCGAGTGCAAATTTGAATCGATTCGTCCTATATAACGCTGAAAAATACACCGCCCATTCGAATCTATATCACAACGTCGTCTCTCTCTCTCTCTCTCTCTCTCTCTCTCTCTCTCTCGTCCATATGAATGGCGTGAAATTGCGATGACGATTCCCAATGCGGCGGATGACATTCTGACGGCTAGATTCAATCTCGCCGAAATAATATAAAAATAGCGAGCGGGATCGCGAGGAACAACGACGTTTGTGTTATGTCAATCCAGGCCGCGCGATGTGTCGACGCGTCGCCGCAAAATCCGGTAGCGATATTTCCACCGAATTTCCAATTTCGCACCCGACTGAGCACGATTTTTCCGCGCATGGGCTAACACTTCGCCGCGACGCGCAGGTTGAGCAAACTTGCGCAATTAGCAGAAACGAAACCGAGTTATTACGAAAGAAACTGGAGCTGGAAAAAAGGCATTTTCTGTTTGCGAATCGACTCATCGGGCCAGCTTAATTACCGGCGCATGAACAATCACTCGGGCGTGCGCTAATCGTTTTCAAGAGGGAGAGAAGAGGTGAGAGGAAGAGACAGAACGCAGCGGGATTCTCTAAATGTCGACGAATTCGCCGACGTGAATCGCATTACACGGAGGGGAGGAAGGAGGAGAGGAAAGCATCGGGAACGTGTTCGCGAGTGCTCGCGCGTCGGAGAAAAAGCAGGTAGAAAGTCGCGAAGGAGCCAGCAACGGAACGATGAAAAGCTACACCGAGGAGGCGCCGAATGTCGCGTGACGATCGCGTGTCCTTTATGTAATCGAGCTGTTAGCTATAAATATTGAGAGAGAGAGAGAGAGAGAGAGAGAGAAAGAGCAGCGAGCCGGCGCTATCATCTGTCGAATGTAATTACCGCTGTCGCCGATACGTAGTTAGGAGCGGCTTTCGTGCGGGCGACGTAACGATCATGCGTTTCTCATATATCGTATGTCTCCGCTCGGCATTTCGCGAACGATGTAAACGACGTGAACGAACGCAGGATCTCGTTTACGGGCGAGTCGTAACGCCCGGCGTGATGTATCGCGGCGATGTACACGGTAATTATATCGAACTCCGCCGTGAGAGATCGGGCCGTTGAATCGCGCTCGCGGGCAACAACCGCAAAGCAGAAAAATGAAAAAAAGCAAGATGGAGCAGAATAGAATAGAATAGAATGGAATAGAGAATCGACTTTGTAAAATAACACTGTCGGGACAGCGGAGTGATAGATATAGGCAGATGGATGGATTTGTTAAGCGCTCCGCGGATCTATCCTGCGACTTGGAACGGCGACGTCGTTGTCGTTACATTGTCATTGCGCGAGTCTATGACAGAGAAGCTGCGCAGCACTACAATGTAACGACGCTGTTGTTGAAAGCCACGGAATAGGTTTACCCGTCAGGAGAATCCCGTCGAGCGCGAGAAACGAAGAGACGAGGAGAAGATACTAGGAATTCGCAATACAGTGATGAAGAAATATTCAGAGAGCATGAATTTTATGTTTTACAGAGAGAGAGAGAGAGAGAGAGAGAGACATGTCATCCTTTCGGTCTCCACATTTCGTCTCTAACGACAATCCAAGGACGATGCATGTGCAGTTTCTATTAACACCTTCTAAGTTGCTACGCGTGGGTGTCTTCTGCATTTAGCGATTCGCCTTTCCAACCGATCGACGTCGTTGCGACGTGATCGCGGCTTGCCTCCGATGAGCGGAGCGGAGCATCATGTCGTTCGCGAGATGTGCGAAATTTCACGCTCTCCAAGAGAGAGAGAGAGAGAGAGAGAGAGAGAGAGAGAGCACAGTCGCGGGAACGAGCGCGACATCACACAGGTTTTCTTTTTCTTCGCGATCTTTCTCACGATTTTCTCCTATCTCTTTTGAGCGATGCTCCGGAGGAAATCGACCATCGACTACGCATCATGTCGCATCAGGTGCAAGGCAGTCCGCATAAAATTAAGCGGCCGTTGCATTGAACGCGCGCACGTGGACTCGCGTGGAACTCGCTATAATTGAAACCTACGCGTTAGCCGCTGATGTCACCGTCCCGTTCATCTCACCTGTCAAATATCGGATTCGGAATTCCTCGTGCGAGCGCTCTTTATATGGCGCGCGAGACGCCGCGAGACTCGGGGAGAAAGAGAGAGAGAGAGAGAGAGAGAGAGAGAGAGAGAGAGAGAGAGAGAGAGACTCCAGTTTGTCGCGAGCCAGGAAGACACACGCGCCCGAGGGAGAGAGCGAGTAATTTCCTCGCGTTAATCACTCCCGGCGACAATTACGGCGCGGTGAAAGTTTTTTCTTTTCTCTCTCTCTTTCTCTTCTCTCCTCGGAGGTTCCGCCTGAACGACAAGTTTTCAGCGAGGAGAGGAGGAGAGAGAAAGGGGAGGAAGCTTTTCGGGATTTCTCGAGTCTCGACATTCGAAATCGAGTGAGAACGGATTTCTCCGCGAAAGAGGCGAGAGGGATATTATAATTTAATCGTCGCGCTTATACATTTCTCCCGACTCTCTCGCGCTCGTTTCTCGCCGCGAGACACAACGGGACGAGAGGACTCCTCTATTCTCTTGGGTTCTCTGTTCTATTTAACCGGGCCGCGCACGCTTCTGCAATAATAACGACACACGTGTTTCTCGCTTGAGTCTCTGAAAGGATAAATGCGGACTGAAAGGATCTTTTTTTGGCTTCTCATTGAGCGGAAAAATAGAACTTCGGGATCGGCCGTCAAAGCCGTCGCGGCCGCGAACTGTCAGCTGGTGAGCGCGATTTCGCGCGTGCCGCTGCCGCAATTTTTAATGCATCCCGAGAGAGCCCGTGCATTCTCCTCTTCCTGTTCCTCTTTTATTCGTCATCGTTTCGCGAGACCGCGGAGACGGGTGGTTGATTTCCCGTCCCAGTGTCGAGGAAACACGCGGCTCGTACACGTGCCGGCGTGCGTGCCGTGCTCTCTAAATTTCCCGGAGTGAAATCTCGCTGAAGATCAGCGGATCAGTTCGCTCCAAGGCGACAGCGAGGATACGCGAGCCTGCCTGGCTCCAGTCCGGAATAAATCCCGGTCCATATACGCAAATGAATACCCGAGCAAAAAATTGTTAGGGCCATCCTCATGAAGCATAAGGACTCGATAAGGTTGAAAGTAGAATGCCCTAAAAAGAGATGCTTCATTATTACTACATCAGGCCTCGAGATGGATCTCTTAGGGATACCTTAGATTTTACGAAATAAGGTTTTGATAGGAAAAACTGAGAAGGATCTTGGAAGGATTTTTCAGGGACGCTTTAGATTTTACGAAATAACACTTTAACATGGAAAACTGATGTGGGCTTTAGAAGGATCTTTTAAGAGGATGCTTTAGATATATAAAATCAAGTTTCGTTATAGAAAATTAATAAGATCTGAAGCGTGTAATAAAATTATCATAGTTTAGTGTTTGTTTTAATAGGTACGTTTATGTGGTTCTTTTAAAGATTTTTTAATTATACCGCAATTAAAAACAAATTTTTATTAGTTTTATTAGTTGCCATATTTGTTAGTCTCTTCCAAGAATTTTTCTAGTATAGCCTTCGTTTTGAAATGCAGCAAACTTTAATAAAAACAGTAGTAGGATTTTTATGTGTGAGCTAAAGAATGCTATATTTTATTGTAAAGTATGCTATATTTTTAAAATAAAAAGTTCTTGTTGTATACTAACAAGGTTATAAAGAAATACAGAAATTACAGTCTAAATTTCTTGGAATGAAAAGAACGAATACTCTTACTCAAGCAATATTTTCACTCAAATAATAAAAATATCTCCTTATAAGTTCCTCATAATATTGCCTTATAAGGACCCGTTAAACCATTTATTACACACCTTGTAGGGCCCTTGTCTTTCTATTCCTACTAAGGTTCGATTAATGTTAGAGAAAAATAATCAGGCCCTTTACCAGAGCCCTATTAATTTTTCTACTCGGGTATACCTTGATCGATTCTCGATTCGCACGAGGATTCGAACGAGTCCGTTCTTGCAACGACGGAATAACGTCGGTTTCGCGCTTCCATTTCGAGCGGAAAGCGTTCTGCCGGCGATTCCGAGTGCGGACAGACTCGCTCTGTATGAGCGAGAAACTGCTACTCGGCTGCCACGCTACTTCTCGAGTGGAATCCCACTCGAGGAGATCTGGGCTACACTGAACGAGAGTTCGGATTTCCCCGGGAAATATTCCGCGGCTCCGCGATGCCGGCGCGACGGGGAGGAAGAAGAGGAGCGCGCAGAAAATCTCATTATCGCGGGATATTTGAGAGCGACTTCGCAAATACAAACTGCACGGCAGTCGTCCGTTCGTTCGCCCACCTGGCTCGAAGACGTTGTCCTCGTTCCTCTTGTAGATCGTGGGCTTGGCTTGCACCGCGACGAGGATCGCGGCGACGGAGCAGACGAGGATGAGCGTGCAACCGCCGGTGGTCTTCATATTTCTTTCCACGGCGCGCAAGAATCTCGGAGAAGAAGAAGCTTCTGGGGAAAATCAGATCGGACGGTCGGTCGGTCGGTCGATCCCGCGCAAATCACACCTCACCGTGGCGATGCTTGATACTGCACTAGACGGCTGTCGGGCCGTCGTGGACCGCCGCGCGGATGAAAACACACCTGCCGTCGAGTGGGGAAGCTCGAGAATAAGGGAATTGGCGCAATCCGTGGGAGATCGCGCCGACGTGCGATTGTAAGTGCCGCCGACGTGCCTACGCGAGGTGGTGAGCGACGATGACGAGTTGGAGTAGGAGGAGGAAAACGGAGACTCAACGACGACGACGAGGAAGAGGAGGAGCGATCAGGAGAGAGAGGAAGAGCGGACATCCTTCATTCTTCTCTCGCGAAATCGCGCGTGTGAAAGTGCGACTTTCCTCGGATGGTGCCAACTGCTTTCCAAGGGTGTTAGCGTCGATCAGCGTCGTCGTCGTCGTCGTAGTCGTCGTTGTCGCGCACGACGATCTGGATCGATCTTCTCCGGAGAGACGGATCTCCCGGAGACGCTCGCGCGACGTCGACGTGATTATCAGGAGCGTTTACGTGCGTAGACAGAAAGATAGTCGCGATACGTCTCGTTAACGCCCGCGCGATCTCCGCAGTCTCCGGAACGTCGCGAAAACCGATAGAAGCCACCTCGGGCGAAATTATGCGACGGCACGCCTACGACTTATTATATCCTGTTCGAAGGCGAACAGCGTGACAAGCGGCGGCAAGGTGCTCGTGAGCAATGCCGAGGGAGCGTCAAGGATTTGTATTAATCATTCTTTGCATACGTCGTTCGCCTCTCCGCCGACACGCTCGCACGCGTTGGACCAGAGGAAGGCGTAGATTATAAAAGTACTCGCGCACTGGACCCTGGTTCTTTAGCCGCGGGTACGCCCGCTCACTTCGCCGACAGTCTTATCAAAGACAGAATCTCAATCGACTCGGGAATTTAATATTACACTTGACAGCGGGGACAGAAAATGTCAGGGCGAGAAAAGGCGAAGGAAGGAGCGAGACAGAGCGATATACAGGGTATCCCAAAACTGCCGGATTTCCTCTTAGACGGTGAAATGGGGTGCACCTTGGAACCGAAAGTTCCTCTACCACTTTTAGATCGGAGCATTAGTTTATGAGTTATTAAATAATGAATCTGAGCAATTAGATTATTCGGCGGGCACATACAGTGGAGTGGGATTCGAGTTTTGACTTTAATCTATCAAACTGAAAATTTTCACATTTTCTCTCTCTCTCTCTCTCTCTCTCCCTCCCTCTCTCTCTCTCTCTCTCTCTCTCTCTCTCTCTCTCTCTCTCTCTTTCTCTCTCTCTCTCTCTATATATATATATATATATGAGGGTAGTCCCTGACCTAACAAAGAAAGGAGGAAGTACCTGACCTAACAAAGAAAACACAAAAAATTTGGGAAAAAATATCTTTATTTCTCTACCTAGCCTCCTTTTAGCTCAATATACTTTTCCCAGCGATGTTCAATAGCTTCGATACCCTGTTTATAGTGGGAATCGTCGAGCTCCTCAAAATAGCCATCAAGCCACCTTGGTCCATTGTTTTAACTGTTCCTTCGTCTCAGGTGTGAAGTGATGGACCCATGTTTCATCCATGGTTATGAATCGACGCAAAAACTCGGCTTTATTGCTGCGAAACTTCGCCAAACATTCGATTGAAACATCCTCACGACGCTGTTTTTGTTCCAATCGCGGCACCCATCTTGCGCACAGCTTTCTCATGTCCAAAATTTCAGTCAATATGCGATGTACAGCACTTTTTGAAATGCTTACCATGTCTGCTAACTCGCGCACTTTCAGTCGACGGTCATCCAATACCATTTTGTGGATTTTCTTCACCATTTCTGGCGTGGTCATCTCATTTGGTCGACCACTGTGATGTTCGTCTTGGCAGCTCATACGGCTTCATTTAAACTCTCCCACCCAATATTTTACTGTTATAAACGAAGGAGCAAACTCCCCCAGAGTAGAATCTAGCTCCGCTTTGATATTGGTTGGACTGAGGCCTTTCAAATGAAAGTATTGTATCACATAACGATGACCAATTTTTTCCGTGTTTACAAATTCACCGAGAGCGTTCATTATTGATGGCTGCTAAACAAACACTAAACAACGTAGCGTCGTCAAACTTTAAACTTAAGCTTTATAAGGTTGGTACTTTCTACCATAGTCATTCTTTTCAAACAACAACCGCTATCTATACGTTAGGTCAGGTATTTCTGGGACTACCCTCGTATATATATATATATATATATACACACATACATATATATATATATATAATAAATATATAAAATAAAATTTTCTCTATATTTTTTCTTTCTCTCTCTCTTTTTCTCTCTCTCTCTCTCTCTCTCTCTCTATATATATATATATATATATATATGTATATATATATATATATAGAGAGAGAGAGAGAGAGAGAGAGAGAGAGAGAGAGAGAGAGAGAGAGAGAGAGAGAAAGAGAGAGAGAGGGAGAGAGAGAGGAGAGAATAAGCACAAACGGTACAATGTTACAGCGGTACAGCGGTATAGCGGTACAGCGCTAATTACACAGGCAGTTCGGTAGTCAGCGGGCGTGACAGGAACAGCCTGGCGAGCCTAACAATGGAAACTGGGTTAAAAAGTGAAAGGATCCAGATTGGCGGAGGAACGACCGTAGCCGTCTATTCGGCTTTCTATTCAGCCGACGACAGTTCTGCGGTGGCCGACAGACGCCCCCAGGCTGTACCCGCTTTTTCATGCTGAAAGCGGCAAAAATTGGAAGTGGCTTCGAGAGCGAGCGTCGTGTCAGCGAGGGTGTTGGCGGATCGTGTTCGTTCATTTTTATCGCTCCCTCTCTCTCTCTTTCTTTCTCCCTCCCCTTTTCTCTTCTTTGCGCCAATTTGCTAGTTGCCTCGCGCGCGAAGAGAGAATCGTCACGTGGAGACGGCGAATTACCTGGCCGAGGGAAGCGCGATTCTTGCCGACGCTGTTAGGAAGATCACTCGGATTCGCAGGATTCGCTCGCTCGTTGCGGCGGACGCGGAGAATGTGGCTCGATAAAAAAAGAAGTGTCACGCACGAGAAAGAGAGAGAGAGAGAGAGAGAGATCACGCGTTCTACTTTCTTTTACTTGAGACCGCTCGCTCTCCTGTAAGCCTCTTAAGTGATTCTCAATCTAGCGGCCGCGACGACAGAAGTGAAGACTCGTCGAGCGACAAAAGATCGACGACGATCACGACGAGAAGTCTGATTCATCGGGTACCTGACGAAGCGACCTTTATGTCGTCGGCGAACGGGAGCTTGGCAAGCCGATACCGTTATTGCCCTTTTCCTGCGCAACGACTAATCGAGCGGCGGGCGCAAGGGAGGAGAAAGGATCGGGGGAGACGCGAGATAGCCAGCGAGAGAAAGAGAGAGAGAGAGAGAGGGAGAGAGAGAGAGAAAGAGAGTCTCCTTCGGAGACATTCAATAACTCGCACGCACGTGCTCCGGATCGTTACAACCGCCGTTAGCTGCACTGGAGGCTTCTTCTCCGAGGCCGCTTATTGCTTACGCTTCCCGAGGAGAACGATCGCGACTTTATCATCGCGCGAATGTGCGTGACGGCGCGGCGGCGCGTCTCCGCCGCAAAAGAAGAGTAACGAAACGACCGTCCTCGCATCGCGACCCGTCGGGAAAATCGAATTCAATTCGAGCCGATCGAAATCGCCACTCGTGCTGCGCCACCCTCGGCCCGTGATCGCTGTCCTTCCGCTCGCCGGCTAATGACCCCGGGTAATTAACGTCGTTGTATAAGAGAGCGGACGTGCAACGTGCGTTTTCAGCGGGATCGATCTCGTTTCGTCTGGGAGCAACGTTCCGTAAAACGCGACGACGTAAAACGCCGGACCATTCTATCTTTATCATCGCGGCGCGGCGCTTTGACGATTGACAAGCAATTTTCATGAATATTGGCCGCGCCGTCGATTTTCCGACTGACCGAGGTATACATTCGTTGTACTAACACACGTACACACGTAAATCCACAGAAAGAGAGAGAGAGAGAGAGAGAGAGAGAGAGAGAGAGAGAGAGAGAGAGAGAGAGAGAGATTCCAGCCGGACGTGTATATCGAGCGGCGCGCGCGCGGAAACGGTATCGGCACGACGAGTGACGAAATCAATATCGAGATGTTTTATATCTTCTTCACGGGTACAGTCTCGCCAGCATCCTCGTCGACATCCTCGTCAGCGTAAGCGGCGCTTTTAAAGGGAACATAACAGCGCGCGCGCGCGCGCGAAAGGTCTCGACTTTCGTCGTTATAAACTCTTTCGCGTACCTTCGGCGGCTGCGTGTGTCGTGTTTCGCTTCGTTAAATCGCAAGTGGAGATGCTTCTTCGGAAGGAAGCTTCGACGAAGAGATGAGAAGAGTCATCGGTATTTTATGTATATGCGCGATCGCGAAAGCGGCTACGATTTTACGACGGCCTTAAAAGGCTCCCCCTCACGCGGAGGAGGCAGTGCCGTTGCAATTGTAGGAAGTGCACGAGCGGAGTCTATCGGTCACGGGCGGTACACGGGACATCTGGAAATTCGAGACGGTTGTTTCGTGGGGATTTTACACGGGTATGCACTCAATGGGGCACACAGTCGATGACTAAGCCGCGTTTCCGGCCTTGGCGGAAGAAATCCACCCCCGCGTGCACGGCGCGTGGACTTTGCGAACGCGCGCCGCCAGTCGTGGAGGGTGATGTGATGAACAGAGTCGATCAATGGGATTGTGAACAATGAACCATCACATGCACCCATGTTGAAATAACCTGACAGTGAGTGAATCGAAAAGAACGTGAAGGTTGAAGGAAAGAGAATTTTTTGCGAGAATCAAACATTCCGTTGCGTTCTAGAAAGTTTGGTTCGTTCATTGTCAAGTTAATTCCGATTTTCGATGATGGGACTCTCGCTAAGTTCAACCCGCGGAACGATCTGTTGCTTAATGAAACTGTTGGGGGTCTGCAGAAATTTGTCGAACTTTTAATCATATCTCTTTTATCGAGATTGAACTGGCGCGAAAGGTTTGTCGTGGTCGTCAATCAAGACTGGAAACGAAATTACTCAATTTAGGAGAATCGATAAATCTTACGAACAAAACGAACAACATCCAAAAATTAAAATGAAATTAAGATAAGTTAAGAAGAATTGATAAAATTAAAAAAAATAAATTTAATTTAAAAAATGCCGACCTAGTATTTTTTAAACGTCCTTTTTTCATTTCCCCCTTTAAACGATCAATTTTCCCACGAGAATTAATGAGAAACATAATAGATCTGTTGCAACCTAATTACAAAACCTAATGAGCCCTTGAATACCTAATTAAATAACAATAATTATTAATAATATTATTAATACTTATTATTATTAATAATAATTATTAATAACGATAGTACATATTGTGTATCGTATTGTTCAAGTCATTCGTTGTTATCCGTCATCTCGTCTGATTCAGCGTTCGCGGAATGATTCATCTGCCGAATCGGTGAGATCATCGACAACTCGACGAGCTATATTAGCGAGCAGCTAATATATCCATCGTTCATAATGAATCAGCTCGCTAGTTCATAATGAATGTATCCGCTGATTAAGCCGACTCGGCACACTAGAGATTCACCCCGCCGTGAGACGCACGATATCGACATGATAGCGCAATTCGTTCACCGCGGGCAGGACAATATCGCGCGTGTCCCTAACGAATAACCGAATGCGAAATCCTCCTACAGTTCTCTCTCTCTCTCTCTCTCTCTCTCTCTTTCCCTCTCTCTCTTCCCGCTCGCCTGCGAGTTCGCTCCGGCACGGCGGCAGCTCGGCT